AAATAATTGTCCTAGTTAGGGGAAAATAGACGATAATGCAGTGTATGCTTTTGGGTGGAACTATCTTGTGATTGACAGGTCGCTACCATGAGGACCTGTCAATCAGGATAGAGGCGACTTGTATCTGCTGCTCTGTTTAAAGTTTTTTGTTAAATAAGAGAAAGCACGTCATGTATGACTCTGTTAGTATGTTTTGTTTTATTTTTCTTATAATTTTAACTGTGTTTACATTTTAGTTTAGTTTTTTTAATATCCAGGATGTATTTAATAACAGTATAACATAACTTAAGTCAGTAAAAACAGAGGGACAGTAAAAATTGTCTTTGGGCCAGTAAGTTTCAAACCGGTGAGCCACTGGGTTTCTCCCATTTCTCATGAGACATTTCTGAGTTTGTTTTTTTTCCTATTGGTTTGAAGCAGGTGAGCTCAGCTGTAAAAAAGGTGATACTTGTGGTGGCCCTGAGAGCTCAGTGCACTGGAGCTTAAAAAAGCACATGCAAATCAAACACAAACAAATTAAGAAAACATCCTCATCAATTTAACACATTTAATAAATACAGAAAACAACCAAATACAGAAACGCTACAGACAACATCAGAGGACACTAAAAAATAATGAACACGGCTGGGACATGCTTGTTGTTGCAGTTTGTAAATGATGTTGTTAAATTAGCTAAAATCTCAGCCGTGTCCATCACTATTGTAGTGACCCTCTGGAAACAGCTGTCACATGTGCTACGTGCAGCTCTCTGTGCCACAGTAGATCGCACATTTCCTTGCACCATCCTTTGTTCTCCCTCTTCTCCATGTCCGCCACTGATTTACTAATACTAAAAGCTACTCGCTTGTGCCCCCTACAGGTCATCTCCTGGATTATTTTCACCGGCCTCTTCTCCTATCTGAAGGTGGTGATTGGGACTTTGCTTCACGAGGCAGGTCACGCTGCCCTGCTGTGGTGCGGCATCTCTATACAGGCCGGCTCCCTTATCGGAGCCCTCACCATGTTTCCTCTGGTCAACACCTACCAAGTGTTTGCCCGGGCTCAAGACTGTGTGGATAACTGCAGTTAGCAGGAGTGAGATATGTAATTAGTTTGTCTGAATTCTGGTGTTTTATAGACACAGCTCCCATTAATATTTTTTTTTTTACAGCAAATAACAGTTTTTAATCCAGTTTTTGGGTTCCTGTTCCTGAGTGAAGCACCAAATCTTTCTCATCATCCTTGGGGGATCATGCTACCAATGAGGCATCCCCTCCTGATTCAGAGGCCTCTAAGCCTGTGAAAGTAAAAACATTCCCAGATAAAGGGAGCATTGTGCTGCTGCACATTGACCAAGGGGATGTAAAATGCGTATGATGCAGTAATACCACAAGTGCTTTGTGTTGCATTTTATAATGGTTCTCTGTAGTAGAAGTTGTTTACTGTTCATGCTGATGGATTTCTTCCTACTACAGCAGATCATGTGAAAAGTTGTTTACTCAGGGACACAATCATTAACTTTTTCAAAGACATTCGTTGCTCTTGAATCCAATTCATGAGAATCATTCACACATACTCCCATCCATACAGAAAGGCAAGTAGTCTTTTTTTCCCCCCAGTTACTATATTGAAATGTTTGGCTACCTCTTCCCTTTGATCTGATGTAAGCATTAAATGATTATCATTATTATTGTGAAAATTATTTCTCTGGCTGATGAATTTGACAAAAAACTGCTTTCTAAAATTCCTTTAGATGTGACTAAATGTTTTATACCAACATTTTCTGTTTTTTTGTTATTGTACCTTAAGGGAAAAATATCTGGCCTTGAGTAGTAATGAGTTTAAACAGTTTTGTTGAACAAGGGATTGTGTCATCTCAGTCTTTGAAATAATATGTTTGATGTGCACTAATATACTTGAAAGGTACTCTTATTAACTGTGCTGCTACAGTACATCTGATTTAATAAATTCATTAAACTCAGACGTTTACAGAATGTATAACATCACTGAACTCAGTTCACATAGGAAGAATCAGTTAATGTCAGTGTAACACTATATACACACAAACATATTCTAGTGCTATAGTGCTTTTTTAATTTACCTGTTAAATTCAGTGCTGATTTTGAATGGGCTGATTCATGTTTAAATTGCAAAGTGATTTATGGTGCTTTTGCTTCTTTTTCATGACTGGACTTTTCTTTTTGTAAAAGTATTGTTGGTTTTCATGTGTACAATATCATGTGACATGCAATTGTTGAAGTAAAGTTTAGTTATGAAATGACTGGTAAACAATAAACATTTACTGAAAAGGTCCTGAAGCTTTTTTGGATGCACCACAGCAGTGCTGGGAATATTAAGGCTGATCTCGTTATGATTTCTGAAACCTTTAGAATAATCATTGATATCAGCTCTTATCCATCCAGTATTAAAAGGTACTGTGAACTCTGAACTAAAACAATTATATTTTGCAGTATTTTTGTTTAATTCTAGATGGTACTTTACTGCTTTCTTGATGTAGGTGACAATATATAGGAATATTGCTCCATCATTCATCACTGATCAGTATATACATCGTTAACATGCGTTGACTAAAGCGACCAGTACTTAAAGAGCTCGAGAAACTCAGAGATAAAACAATATCTGATGGAGAATTTATAAAGTCATGACACTTAATAAGAGATATTGGTTCCAGTGGTCACACCACCAGACTGCAGAGCTGCTTTTTCCCCCAAGCTATCAGACTTTTAAGCTCAAATTCATCCTTAGCACTGTTCCTCTGAATATAGTTTAGTTGCGTTTACCATTTTTATAATTGTTTCTACATTAATGGATATTGTTAAGTAGCAAAACAGAGTTACAAACTCAATTTTACTCTGTAACCTGTTATATTGTGACAAAATAAATATAACTACTTACTGATGAAAATTGATCTCTAAGGAAAATTACCAATCTGCTGAACAATTTTTTAGAATGTAATGTTTCCCAATGGCACTAAAGAAATAAGAGTGAAGCGCTAAACTCTTGACAAAGCTTGTTATGTTCCAACATGTGATATTAAAGGGTCTCAACATTTTGGGATTTACACTTCCAATTTCTTGCCGAGAGTTAGAAAAGAAGATTGATATCACGCTCATGTCTGTATGATAAATATGAAGCTACAGCCAGCAGCCATTAGCTTAACTTAGTTTAGCATAAAGTCTAGAAATGGGTAAACAGCAAGCCTGGCTCTGTCCAAAAGTTAAAAAAATCCCCCTACCAGCACCCTTAAAGCTCAGTAATGAACACATTATATCTCATTTGTTTAATTTCTACAAAACCCAGTGTAACAATGATTTTAGGAAGGTTATATGCTAGACTGTTTAGTGGCTGGGTGGAATTTATATGGGTTAAAGTCTTAATGCTAAGCTAACTGGCTGCTTGCTGTAGCCTTATGGTTAACAAACATTTTGTAAAAGTGGTATCGATCTTCTCATCAAATTCTCAGCAATAAAGAGAATCAGTGTAAATTAATCCTTATTTCTCAAAGTGCATGGGGATTTGAAATGCCATGTCCACCTTACATCAAATAATGAAATGTCTCCTTCTGCTCCCTTAAGCAGAATTAATGAATTCTGGAAATTCTTGAATGCCTTTCTCTCATTCTCTGTTCAAACGATGAGGCAGCAAATCACAACATGTTATGCTTATTGACAATTCTGACAGTGAAGGTTTTTTAAAGTTGAGACAATGATCAGTTAACCGAACGTGTTATGGTTGGCTAAATGCTCTCACACCCATTTGCCCCAAGGAGGGTTTAATCCCTTGACGCACACATCACAGTTTACTGCACAGGACTTTGGCTTCTTTCTCTCAGCAGAAAACTCCAAGCTCTCCAGCAAACAGCATGTGAGTATCTGCAGGGATGCATACTGTCATCCATTTAATTGTGATACTTTCATGGTTTCAAATTTGTATGCAAAAGGGGAAAACATTGACTGAAGGCTGTTATTTTTATGCATGATGCTGTTCATCTTAATATGTTTTATTGAAGAGTTTCATTTTATAATATTCTAATGTTCAAAAGCAAAATATGTTTAACTATAACTCAACTTTTTCTGGAGATATTTTTAAAATGACGATTATGCTTTTAAATCTAACAGATAATTCTTATTTTTTAGTTAACAGTCTGCTTTAAAGAATCTCTTTTCTGACTCTTTGCATGAATTTCCGAGAATTGTTTTCATTTTTTCATGGATCTAAGACTTCACTCCATGCAGTTTCTTTTCCCAATAAACAATGCACCAGTCAGATGTTTTCCTATGTTATGTAATAGTTACTAGTGCAGTAGGTGGTCATGTTTCCTTTGCTGCATGCTTGGTGTTTTAAGCGGGTTTAACCCACACCTTGCCTTTGATCAAATGAAATCTAATATTTTGCATGTAACATGTTTCAGCTCACGAGGCTGATTGAGCATCTGGACAAAATATAACAATTTCAAAGCTAGTAGACCCAGAAAAGGCAAGACTTCAAGAACATAGTACACATTAACCAAATGTAGGAATGAGTCACATACTGCACCTTTAGAAAGTGTTGGCAGAGGGATGCTTCATTGTGGTAACACATTAACATGTGATGTTGAGTTTACCATTGACATTTTTTGTAAACAAGCTTTTGTTGATTTTTCCTTATTGTATTGCTCACTGTAATTATTCCCATTACTCAAATGATGCAGTTAAATCAAGGATTAACATCTCTTTCTCCCGATTGTCAACCTTATGGTGGCACTAGATGAGAAGTCGCTAAAGTCATTAGGAAAAACTGGGACCATTAATGTTTAATATTTTTTGATTTTTCAGTCAGGATGACAGTGGTGGACAATAGCCTGCTAGCATGGCTCAGATTTGAGGTCCAAGCTTTTAAATTCAGAAGTGACTCAAAGGGTCATTTAATAAACAAGTTTGGAATTAAACCTACCAGCTGATATTCTGTGTCATGAAATTTACAGAGTTTTTTGTGTATTTCTAGAGAAACACTCCTCCAACATGTCCCTTCTCACCCACCTGCTGGCATGTCTGTTCGGGATGGGCTCCTGGGTCTCCATCAACGGCCTGTGGGTGGAGCTGCCCCTCATTGTCCCTCAGATCCCAGAGGGTTGGTACCTGCCGTCTTACCTCTCTGTCCTCATCCAGATGGCCAACGTTGGGCCTCTCTTCGTCACTCTGATGCATCGCTTCCGGCCCGGCGCCCTGAAAGAGACAGTTGTCGTATATTTGATCATCAGCCTGGGTACTGTGGCGAGCTTCCTGCTGGGTTTCTTCTGGAAGGAGACTGTTGTTGTAGCTGGTGCTCCTCGCAGTGTAGCCCTCCTCGTCTTAACCTTCTTTCTCTCTGTTGTTGACTGCACTTCCTCTGTCACCTTCCTGCCCTTCATGATGCGCCTCAAGCCCCAGTATCTGACCACCTACTACATCGGGGAGGGTGTGAGCGGCCTGCTGCCTGCTCTAGTGGCTTTGATACAGGGTGTTGGTGTGGTCCACTGTATTAACAGTACACAGTCATTTAACCACACCCTGAACATCTCCAACAGTGTTTTGACCTTTGACCTCCAGGCCCAGTATCAGCCAGCCAACTTCTCAGCTGAGGTGTTTTTCTTCTTCCTCAGTGCCATGATGCTAGTGTGCCTGGTGGCATTCCTGCTGCTGAACTACCACCCATCTGTGGCCAGGGAACATCCCAACGGTCGATACAACAACAGGGTGAAAGAGGAATCTCAGAAAAACAGGAAGTGGGCCGAGCAAAAGCCCATGATGGATCCATATAGACCCGCAAACCAGAAGCCCAGAAGCACTTTTGGCACTGGCTCTTACAGCTGGATGCAGGTGTTTTATATCTTTGTGATCCTGGCCTGGGCGAATGCACTAACCAATGTGGTGCTTCCCTCGGTGCAATCCTACTCATGCCTGCCGTACGGGAACAACGCCTATCACTTATCAGCCACCTTGGCTTCTGTGTCTAACCCTCTCGCCTGCTTCATCGCCATGTTCTTCCCTTTAAGGTCAGTGTGCTTTGTGTAATGATACAGTGATGCTCACAGTTCAGTCCAAGACACAATACATGGTTCATGGTTTAATACACAAAGCTTTACAATCTGGATAGCCTGGGACACCCTTCGGTAACAAGAAAAAAAACCCACACCCTTCAATGGGGTAAAAAAGGAAGAAAACTCAGAATTAGCAGGAGAAAATTAAACAAAATGCGGATAAAGTAATTTATAATTTGTAAGTTACAAGATGTCAGTCTACATAAACCTAAATAAAGACTTAAATTGTTACATGATAATGTGCTCTTCAAGATAAAGTGAACAATGTCAGAACTTGGTATAATCCTCTAAATATGACTTATTTTTGTAATTAAGAGTCTAAAAACCAAAAGACGCTAAGTTATACGTTCATAATGTGTAAAGTAAAGGCAGCAAATATTTTAAATGACATGCTGGAATGAACAAATGTTGGCAATGTTGCTTGAGAAATAACCATTAGGGCTGATATATTAACAAAATAGCTGCCAATTAGTCACTTAAATTGTTTCAGTTTAAAAATCTTCACAAACACTAATTTTAAATTTCTTGAGCAGGACAAAGACATTTTTAAGACTACAAACTTTCATTCGCATTGGTTTAGATTGATAGATTAATTGTATTGTCGTATATTGTGCCAGATTGTAACACTTCTCATTGTGTGTGATGCATTTTTTGTTTTGATCTTTAAATGCAAACATTAATAGATCCTAGCTCCCAAAAGTATTTTTGAAAGTAATGTGTCACTTCACAGATCTCTGCTGCTGATGGGAGCTCTCACAGTTGTAGGCAGTGGAGTCGGAGCTTATATAATGAGCATGGCAGTGCTGAGTCCATGTCCACTGCTGGTTTATGAAACTTCAGGTGGTGTCATCATGGTGAGTACACTGTGAGCCTTCATTTACTCAAATAACCTTTTATTATCTTATTTTATTAGTAAAAATGAAAGAACTGTACTGAAACGCTACATGTAGGAATCTGAAATGGGAAAATCTAATAGTTTCAAACTCACCTCTCTTCTGCTCCACAGGTGTTGGCCTGGATCCTCTTTGTTCTCACTCTGTCCTATGTGAAGGTGATCATCGGGGTGATCCTGCGTGACGAGGGCCACAGCGCTCTCGTGTGGTGTGGAGCTGTAGTGCAGTTGGGCTCTCTGCTGGGAGCTGTGACCATGTTCCCAGTGGTCAGTGTGTACAGCTATTTTTCCTCAGGGGACCCATGCAACACAAACTGTCCCTGAATAAAAACATCACGCAGAAGAGACTGGAGGAAGCAAAGGCGCTAAAGGTTTCAAATCTTTTTTTACATAGATATTCAATGGAGGAAGCCTATCAATTGTTCTTTTTTATTATTATCTCCATTTATTTACCTTGCAGCATTTGATTGTGAACCTTTCATTTGAGGGCTTCAAATCACAAAGAAATAGGTGCATAGATACAACAAGACAAACTAGTTATAATGTAGCCTCACTGACAATGCTGCTTCACACAGGGTGACACCTTTGCAGATGCTAAAGTGGTGAATTTATGTTGTTGCTGGATACAGTTTGGACTTCAAGAGGATTTAATTCTGGGCGCTGTGACTCTCACCTGACAGCGGTATGTGTGGCTGTACTACATTTATTTACATTTTTTTAGATCTTCAGCCAAGAACAAAAGTAAATTGAACTGATAATAATGCAGGGCAAGCATTAACAAATTCAACAACAGATGATTATTCAATAAAATAAAAATGCAAGAAGAAAATTTGTATAAGACTAAAGTTACTCCAACAATACAGAAGCATATTTTCTGTTTCAACCTTTGAAGTATTACTTGACTTTACCAAAACTGAAACTACACTCATTTGTGAGTGCTTGCCTTTTTATTTGGTTCAACCAGTTTATGTCCAGTTAATGTTATGTTAAGTGTCCGATACCTTTCTGTTCATGTGAGTGGTCTAAAATTTCAGTGTATTGAGAGTATTTCTGTTACGCTTGACTCCATCTGATCAGTACTGTTTGAAGAAAAACTTATCTACATAAGTTGTGTTGAAACGATGGATTTGTAATAATTCGCATTATTGTTTTTGGATTTACACATACATTTGCTTTAATCATGTTGTTTATTTTATTATATGACATTGCACTAGAGAGACATAATCCCAACATAACTAGGAACATAATGCACTGGTTGTCTTTATATGCTGACCTGACAATCAGTGGATCTTGAACACAATTCACAGATGTTTCAGAATAACAAGAGTAATTAACTCCCTACAAAGAAAAAAAATACAAAATGAATAAAGTTAGTAAGTAAAATTAAGTAAGAAATTAATAATATTTTGGGAAGATTACACAGCAAACACACACGTCCAAACATTCAAATCCCCCACCAAATATTCAAATGCCCCTACATACCTTCAGTCCACCCACACAGGTGTTTTTACTTCATTTGCCTGTATATACCTCTTCTGGTGACCGTGAGTAACATGTCCCTCACTCTCCTACAAGCTTTGTTGCACCTGTTAAGGTAGGAAAACTTACTTTTTACTTACTTAAAGTGATGTTCTTATAAGAATATTCAGAAGATTTTGGCTGCAGAGATTTGTTCCCGTTCAGCCATCAGCACATTAGTGAGGTCCAACACTGATGTTGAGAGATCAGTTCATTCCAAAGGTGTTGGATGGGGTTGATTGTCAGAAGTCTTTGCAGGCCAGTCAAATTATTCCACACAACACTCAGAAAACCTTTCTGGCCCTTTGTCACATGGGGCATCGTCATACGGTAACAGGGAAGCCCAAACCATAAATAGACCCAGATTTAAGGTATACACAAACAGCATGGGGGTCTGCATAGTTATGACCACATGGTATGTATCAAATATAAATTATGTACTTTATATAGAACATACAAATAAAACATTTATATATTTCCATCACCACAGACACTCAGTAAAGTGCAAAAGAAACAATCTATCAAAACAAATCTAATTTACATAATATTTTCACATGATGGTATTATATGGTGACCATCATATCTTCCACACTCTATAATCCGTTCAATAATTTCCTTTTTGACATAAGAGGCAGAGCTGCTTTTGAGGAAGAAATCATGCAAAATTGAAGACTAATTCAGTCAATAGAGATGCCATGGCTCCTTATGTTGAGGATTAACACAACCAATGACATTATTTCTCCATCAAAGAATTAAAATCTTCATCCTGCATTTCTTTGGGTATCTAAAACTTCTAGATTACCAGTTTATATTAGATGCTTGTTTTTTCTTAACTATGAATGTGTAAGAATACAAATTTCTAATTCCAAGTAATGGGAATGTTGTTAAGCATTGTCAGATTCAATATTCTCAATAGTAGAAGATTAAAAAAAGGTCCTCTGGCTTTCTTTTCTCACTTGATGCAGGTAAACAACTTCCCTTGGGTTAAGAGGTAAAACAGCGGATGCACAATACTCCCGACAGACAACAAGAATATACATCCAGGTGTAACCATACAGTCATATATATATTCATTCCCAGACATGAGCCTTTGCAGTAAAATAACTGGAGTATAACAAAACAAGGCGATGGCTGAAGTGGCACGGAGAGTATGAAAGGCTTTCTTCTTGGCAGGATGCATCTTCTCTAAACCTGGGCCAGACTTCTTCAGCACCATCGCAATCCTGATGCTGCACCGCAACATTATTGCAATCATAATGCACAACGCATTAAACTGAATAATCTGTAATACTTGCTGATTGAGAAAGGAGGCGAGTGTTTCTGCTAAAACACTCGCCAAAGCAGTGGGCACAGTCAGGAGCCACATTGTCACAACAAAAACCTCCCTGCATCTGTATTTCTTCAACAAAAAATAAGACATGGGGTGAATTACAGCAACATATCTCTCTATGGAGATAAAACACAAACTCATTGGCCCTCCGACTTGTGCATACACAAGCAGAAACTTGAGGATCTGTTGCTGGGCGTTTGGCAGCAAAAACATGGCAGCTAAATGGAAGGTTGATGTCAAGTACTGGAAGTTGTGGAAGAGAGCCAGATTAAAATTCAGGATATCTATGGTTTTCTTGGATGTTAAGGTGATCCACAGCAGTCTGGTGATCAGTGGTTGTCCCATGAGAAAAGTAATGATGTCGATCAGTGAGAGAACCATTATATAGGCCGGTCCAAAGTGACAGACATCAGATTGGTTGGAGTTACGTGTGACATTGCTGAATAAATTCTCCATCTGACCAGACTGGTTTTCAGAGCTGAAAGAAACAAACCATCAGAGAGAAGCTGCTGATGGAGATTTAAACATCTATATTAGCTTAGTGATTTCACATAAATACAGAGACATAAACTTGCATAACCTTTTTCTGTCTGAATCCTTCGGTCTTTAAAGTGTTTGACCTCAGAAAAGTAAATTTTTTGATGCAATTTCACTTATTCTATTCTTATGAGTAAAAAATTATTTTGCAGTAAATAAGGTTTTGCTTTTTAAAGAAATACCTAGTATGTACTAGTATCTTGAAACTATTGATCACTGCGCAAAAATTAAGAAAAATGACAATTTTACACTTGAAAAATGTATTTGAAACAATTTGTTTTGAGTTGAATAAAGTCAAAATAATATCACTGTACTGGCAGATTTCTCACTTTGTTTTGAGAACGTAAGATCTTTAAGACTTAACTACAGACAAATAAACCTGAAAACATTTTTTTCTTGCTGTGTAATCATGTAAAATTAACATTTTAGATTCAGTTTAAGTTGTGTAAGGACGTAAAGCAGACATAATAAACATGAGATATTGCAATTTAACAAAATTAAATATTGTTTAATAGTCCTCTGTCTTCATGACTTCTGTCTTGTTCTAACTGAAGTTACCCTGAACTGTTACACATATAATATAATATAATATAATATGATATCTCATGAAGTCAGCGCTTACCAGGTATATTCAGTTGCAGCTGAGTGTTACCAAAGAATGACCGGCAGAAAAATCTACTGGCCGACTAAAACTGATGCCTAATTTTCCTAATAGACGTAAGACAGGTGCAAGGCAGCCGAGCAAAACCAACAAACTGCCAATCCAACACGTCCTGATTTTCATAACAGCAGAGTTTCAGTGTCAGACTGTGACACAGTCAGGTATAAAAAAATGTATAAACACCAATAATAGATGATGTGTTGTCGCTAAGACTCATTTCAAGTGTAGATCCAGCAGAAACCACCGAGTGTCAGTGTGCACTGTAACACAGCTGACATCCAGCCACCGCAGCGGAGAAGCTTTGAAGAGTGATATTACATAATAAAAAATAAAAGGTTTGTGAAAAAGTAGATGTTTTTGATGTGGGATTTTATTCTTACTGGAGTAATCTATCATGAAGACATGTGACATTGTTTCAGTTGTGAAATGTTGTTTTTTTTTTTTGCTGTAATCAAACACTGATCCACAGTGAGAGAGTGCTGTGTTTATATTAGTGATGGTTATGGGTTTAATGGATTTGAGATTGATTTCTACTTTCAGGCCACAGCAGAATTGCAGTTACTTGTAAAAAGTAATCAGCTATTGGAAAATTCTCCTGGTGACATAAATTACTGAAATATTGATTATCCTTTTTCTGTTGTTTGGTTGTTTATGTATGTTTCTTGCTTTCTGTTCAACTTTTAGTTATAGAAGTATATATGATTGTTGGAACAATTTCAGAGGTGCCTCTCTCTTGCTGCTTTTTTCTTATGTCCTTTAAAAATTAGATTAATTGTGCAGCTTTAAATTCTGAAGGGTGGACACAAAAATCAAGAACACTTGTATAAAAGATCCGTAATTGACATCTGTTTTAGTGTGAGTGTGAACAACTAACAAAAGTATTTAGTTTAATCTTAAATTAAGGTTTAAACTGCACTGCAACAACTCCAAACAGCAGCAAGACGTAATTGAAAATATTAAACTCACTAAAATGCTGTAAGATGATTTCAGTAAACATCAGTGTTGTCTGTATCCAGATTTCTCTTGACAAAATGCCCACAAACTACTTTGGTGAACATTTTCAAAGGCATGTTTTACACATTAGACATGTATTTTTACTACAATAGGCCTACTACTCCATTTCATTTTTGTCTGTACAATAATTGTCAGTTTTCTTGTTAAGAACCCAAAGACAGATCGGAGACAGCAGGTAAGTTTCTAAAGATTTATTAGCAACAAGCAGAATGAGTGAGATTGGAAAGGCAGGCTGGTATAGAACCTGCCTTTCCCAGTTCCAGAGCTATTTGGTAGGCAGGCAATGGTGAACAGGTCCGGTGGAAATATTCCTGAACAGAAGAAAAGGAAAGCAGACAGGCAGGTATTAAAAAAAACTGGCTTCTTCAAAGTGTCAAGCTGGTCGGCTGACGACATTTCCCGAGACATACTAGCATGACTTAACAATCTAGCTGGGACTGGATGTCAGGTCTATCCTGGTATGTTGTGACAGCAGATTGGCAGATGCGGGTCAGGTGTTTGATTGTGGTGCCAACTCAGAGAGCCTGTGGCAATGCTCATAACTCCACTGCAGGGCAGAACAGAGAGAGGGAGAGGGAAAGAGAGAGAACAAGTAGACAGACAAAACCAAAAGGTGGAAATAAACTCAAAACCTCTTCCATACCAAATGTCACCACAGGTGTCACAGCAGCGGGGTCGTGACAACAATCAATAAGCTTTGTATATGACATTTAAGATGCAAAACCACTGGTATTAACATAACATGTTGCTCAGTGGAGCGGTAACTATGTCTGGAGATTTACACTCCATTTCAGGTAAAAGCAAGAAGCAACTCGTCCACAAGTACAAATGGATGTTTTTAAATTTTAGGCACGTCTTAATCTAATCTAAAGGCATCTTCATCAAAACACTCTCCTTTATGATGTGATCACACACAATAAATTGACAGATTTCTGTCCACAGTAAGACACAGATCATTCAGGTGAAAGAGATGAAGGCTTATTTATTGACAAATACGCAAAATAGATCACAAAGCAGAATTATGAGTTGTAGACTAACAATAACCTCCTCGGTAAACATTTCAATATCGCTTCTTTCATGCCCTTCAGAGACAAGGATTAAGACTCATAAATACATATAAAACTGCAAACAAGTGTGTAAGCCCATTCAGTTTTGCTATAAGAGTGCCATCAAATTATTAGTACCACAGTAAATAGGTAAGCATGTAAAAGAAGCCGGATGATAAACATGAATAAACAGAGCGCATGCTAAGAGAATAAATATGAATATAGAAAAACAAACATTAAAGCATGTATATATTTGTATTGCTGTAAGTATTCTTTGGATTAGAGACCTTCTCAGTTACAACAGTGAATGTTTATATCCTTTGAGAGACCAGTGCTACCTGTGTATTGCATAGCTTCCAGGGAATAATAAAAGTCAAGCTTTGTCAAAACTGAGATGATTTCTTCTTTGATAAAAGTCAAACAATTATTACTGTAGAAATTTACTTCAAAGTTCATGTTACTTTATACACTGTATATTATTTTTATTTAGAAAAATAACACAAAATGACTCATGATTCTGTAAATACATCATCTGGAAAGTTTTATCATTGCTGGGTGACTTCAAGTGACTTGTTGTCTCAATGGAATAACTACAAGTAATACCACAGGTTTAGTGGTTAAGTGCTTATTGTTGGTTGTGAATACAGAAACTGTATTCAATTTTAATTTTAATTGTTGTCCGAACAAATATCCATACAGGCATGCTAACTAAATATGATTTAAAATGAAAGTATGCAACTTTTGTATATAATGTAAATAATCCATTCACCCTTTTACAAATGAAACGCTGAACTCAGCAAATAAAATACACCCCTGATCAATTCAATACACTCAGTTGTTTAGTTGCAACAGCCTCATTTTGTCTGGTATGATCAGTAGCTTCTGGAGGCTACCGTCAGCTAATGTTAGCAAACTTTAGCTAGATACTACTGTATAATGCTAGGTCACATTGCTTACTTTATGACAATTCTTTATTTGTGCATTCAACATTATCCTAGAATTGCCATATGTAGCGACTATTCACATGATCTCCCTTTAAAAATAATCTTGTCATTTTAATTTAAGAAAATGTTGGAAGGTGAAGCCAAACTCAGGCTACAATTTTCTGTTTCCAGTCAAAAAGGCACTTCTCTTTTAAACCGTCTCTCTGTAAAGCCAGATATGCAACTGAAGCACTACAGATACTGTATATACAAATGACATAAATCATAGGCACTGAATCATTTACAAACTGCAGCAAAAAAGACGTATAAAAACATTTTTGGTCCTCTAAAAGCATACTTTGGGTTGGGGATGGCAGGCTTGGTTGGTACATACTCAATTTCCATGTCTTAGAAAAGTCAGTCATGTGATGTATTTCTTGGATAATTTCTGTGTAAAGGCATTATATATGAAAAACAAGGCACACATTGGACCCTGGTCATCTGGACAATAAATTTACATTTGTTCTCCTTGCTCTTCCTTTTGCTGCTTCCTGCATGCTGTAGTCCAAGCATGAAAAGCACAATGTCAGATGTTGCTTGGTGATTCCCTTTACTTTTGTTTCCCATGTCAGTTGTGAGGGTGACAGTAAACTATGCATGGCTGTGGACGGAGATGCTTGACAGATCGTTCCTGATGATCTCATTGACTGCAAAGGAAAAGAAAGGAAAGGATGGTCAGACCCTCTACATGGAGTAAATTTACCGTGCTGAGTGTGTTAATGTACATTTTAATACCACATATAATATCTTTAGAACCTAATTACTCAATTAGCTTCTGCCAGTGGATTTGTGTTTCTCTTCTCACTGGTTTGAAGTGGGCGAGACCATTGGAAAAGGGTGATGTCACATATTTTCATGCACCAATCAGAATTTATAACTTAAACTTAAACTTTTTGGCAGTGCAGCAAGCTATATGCACAACATAGACCTACAAAGTTGATTTGGCTAAAATGTTAGCAGACTAAACAGCTGAGAATTTACATATCCCGCTGACATGGAGCAACATTTACATTTTTTCAAAGTTGTATTTCTTTCCCGACAAATGTATGTCCAAAGTTCACTGTCCTTTTACTTCTGTTTTGGTCTCCAATAACTTCTGAGGGATATATCTGGCTCTTGAGTTGCTTAAATGCTCCACTATGTTTACCCGCTGGTCGCTAACGGTGTCTGTCAACCATTTGTTGCTGTGCAGGTAGGATACAATGGGATTATTATTATTATTTTTTGGCTGAAAATAGATACCTCATGCTGCTGGAAAGAATGGTGATGAAAGTAGTGAGACTGAACCAAAACAGTAAAATTGCAGGATGAGCTGAGGGGAGATGCAGATTTGGGTGATTATTCTTTGTTGCTTCATCACTCTGAGTGACAGCTTGCATTTTTTTCCATTGCTAATATAAAAATATTTATTAGCACAGCTTTAAGGTACTATTTTCAGCCACTGTGAATACAATTCCCCGAGCTCTATTGGACCTGTTATTTCCTCTGAGTCAACATAATAGAATCACTCTATATCTGAGATCCCCAGACCTTTTTTATCAAGAGAGATGATGCAACCTCCTGCCGTCTCTAAAGGATCCAGGTGCACTTGTTTATCTGTTTTTATCAGCTGTGTTCTTTGGCTGGGGGGGGGGCAAGAGCAACTAAGCAAGGATGACTAATGCTAAACTAGGAAAAGAATATAGATATAAATGTACTGATAACAGAAAAGGACAAATCACTCATTTATTTCTCTTACTAAAGGGGATTAAGACGGTTAGTTTTTCATCAGCTTTTACCGTCTTATCTGTGAACTCATTTATTACTCTGAAGATAGTCTCCACAGCTCTTACAAGGATGAGAAATGTGCGACGGGAAGGGGAACACCCCTGGAGCCAGCCCCGAGAAACTAAGCCAGCGGGCCGACGGAGGAATTCCCTCTTACTGACTGGAAACCTGAGATTCCCCTCTACACAATGGGATTACTTATTTTCTTTTTTTCTTAACATTTATTTTCATCACAGGCAACAGAGCAGCCCTTCCCTCGGTGACCCAGCACTGGCACAGCCGCTTCCTAGCAGAAATGCAACTCACTTCCTATCACGAAAAAGATGACGGTGTGTACGTGTCTCACAACAATACTATACAAAAAAATCTTGAGCTGTTTAGAAGTGTACATGAGGCTGCCATGGTAACAAACAAAACACATACATGTGTCATAATCATGTTATGATTATAAAATAAAAACATATAATTGAGAAGGGAATTCAAACAAAACAAAAAATCTGGGTGAAAAAATTGGGTTCTCAGCAACAAATCATGTCAATTCTGAAAGAAGCTGTTAACAATTACAAGGCGGTTTGTTACACTTGTCTAGACATGAGGTTAATGTGTTTTAGCCTACTGATAGACTGCTATTAATAAAAGAACAGGAATATCTCTTGAGAGGTTTGATAACTAGGCTTCAGTACAACAGCGATCTCGCATGAGTATGTCACAGAAACACATGGACACACTGAACCTATTATGAGACTATGAAGACAGGGTGAGATTCACAACAATATGTCTTTGCGAAGAACTTGGCAGTGGGGAAGATGCTTGTCATAAGTAACATTTACATTCAGGCGCTCTAAATCACTTCCTCTTGATTAATTAGAGGCCCAAAAAAATCATTCATGTTCAAAGAGTTAATTTTAAAGAGACATTGCACCAGTTTTACACACAAGCTCTGGATAGACTTAATAAGCCTGCAAACAAACTGGGGGTTAGAAAAACATGAGGGTTTTACCAGCCAGAGAAGGTCATGAGAAATTATGCAATTGGCTGCATTATGGGAAATATAGGCTCTGGTGATTTTAGAGCTTGACACATAGTAGGGTCTAAATGTCAAAATATTGCTGCCTCTGCTGCTTCGATTAGGCAATTATTTTTCAAATCTGTCTCTTATGACGTCCCCAACCTGATGGAGGTGCAATGCTAAATCACCCCTTTAAAAGACCAACCTGGTGGTTTTGCATGCTTTATCCTACTTACTATATTATGTAATATATACATTATGTATCATTTACCAAGTTTCCATATTGCTTTTCTAACTTGTAGGCAGCAATTGGTTCACATTATTTCCAATACAGTGTCAAAATCAACTTGCAGTGAATACTTTTGCACCTTTGCAGTTAAATATTGTGTGGCAATGCTGTTGTGATCTTTATTAAAGACTCAATCATGATGCATTCAGGGACATCTAAGAGTAGGCTGTCCAGTAAAACAAAAAGGAACAAATTCAAAAATATCCATTTTTGCTTTTTGACTTGACTTCTTAGTAAATTTTTCCAACAACAAACATCACAAATACAACAATTTGTTTTTAACTCTCAACTCTTGGATGTGAGACTGACCTTTAAAGCACCACTAAGGGGAGTTGATGAAATGATCTCCACTTACAGCTGCATTATAAAGTAACAATAATGGGACTTCAATTATTAATTAATTACTATGATTAATTAAGATGACTAGTTGATACATTGACAAATAAACAAGCAGGTCTCTGCAACTGAAACAAAGGCAGCCTGAAAGATAGAGAAATCAACCTAACCTGGGGTGTTGTGCAAATAGCAGTATTTGGGTTTTATAGGTAATATAGCTAAAACCATGGCTAAAACATGCAAAGCCACTTTTATTTTGGCTGCATAATACATCATGGATAAATGGGTAAACCCATCTGTTCGATATTCATATAAAAGTGCAGTGTGGAGAATTAAATCTCCTCCCTAAATGAGGCTTGACTTGATTTAATTAGAACTCCCCAGACTTTAGCTTCAGTTTCATCAAGAGCAGTAGTAACTCTGTTATGTTAACAGGAAGATTAGAATGGTCAGATTTTCTGTCTTCTAAGCAATGCAAGATGGTTTCTAACTTTCTAGCTCATCATCAGGACAGCACACTGCCACCAGCCATGTGAATGTGAGACTATGACCAATATTACCAAAAGACATATTTTAACCAGAAGAAATAAACACTCTAACCTCATCTCCACCCTCCTACAGTGTGTCGTTCCGCTGCCATGTGTGCTCTTCCCGGCCCAGACTGAACTGACTGACCTCCTCTTCTCTATTTGATCTGGCTTTGACCTTCTGCGCATCTGGAGGTGGAAGGATATAATCTTTGAGTTCAAACCTCAAGGGGACGTTATTACAACGACCTATCAACGCGCACATGGAGCCTGGATGCTGGCTGTAAATTTAGGACATCAAGACATTGTCAGACCTCCACATCGTGTCATCACCTGTCTGGTAACTATCAAAATCACGGATGAATTATGGCGTACAGATATTTTTTCCTTATGCATCATCATGTGCCACATGTGTTGGAATCGTTTTCACATGATAATGAAAAGTTATAAAGACATAAGTCAGTCGGATTCAGTAGTTAATCCTGATATAAAACAAAGGAAGGCCAGGCAGTAAAACTTTATCTTTTGCCCCACTGAGGCCACAACATTTACTGTTTATGTGTCCGTTGCCATGGGCCACTTTTCATTGTGCTGTCACATTTGATGTGGAGGATCTAATTGAAAAAAAAAGTCAATTTATTGATCTCTAAGTGTGTTTACAACAAGTCCTAAAAATAGGCGCAGCACCAGTGTGACATCTGTGTCATGTGTTCTCTGGTCACATTGATAGTTGAGTGATAGAGATGCTTCAAACAAGCCAGCAAACACAGTGAATGGGTGAATGGGATAATAAACTCTGGGTTCTCTGTTTCTCATTCAGAAAACCTCATTTCAATTTATTTAAAATTCCTTTTTTTATGTTCAGTCGCTGTTGGGATCACTATTTGTCGAGAAGGTCATCCACTTGTCAGTAGTTCACATGCACAGTCTTAGAGTCTGTGGCCTTTCGCATGGAGTTCATGTGAACAGACAGGATTCCTCTACACCAAGCAGTTCTGGGCTTTTTAATCATTAACCGCTTCAGTTTTGGTACAATTGCTTTATGTTTACTGATTTACTCCTTGTACTATTTGTGTAAAATAAAAGAAAAAGATTAAAATGAAAGAATAAATACCGTTGAGAAAACACACATGGTCCAGTTCATGTCACTGTTCCAGAGTTTTCCATCATATCACATCAGTGGATGGAGTTTGCCAAGCTGTCATGGAATTGTGGACGTTCAAAGTTTCATTTATTCTCTTGGCCATGTTGGATTAAAAGCTGAGATTAAAAAATTCATGATTGATACGATCAAAAGCTCCAGAGCAGCTCCTAAACGGACCTTGTGGTGAGATTATTTCCTCAGCTTTAAAGCCCACATGTCGGGAAAGTCTTTAAAGTGCTCAGAAAAGTTGTGAACATCCAATAACAAACGGGCAAATTCCATCTGCTGACGAAGATCATGTGGTATGGCTGAAAGCGCAAAAACAACCACTACACATGGACATTTTGGTGATACTATTTTCTCAACTGCTGTTTCCAAAGTCAAGAATGGACTTTGGACCTCATATTATAAGTACAGCAGAGAATGAAAAGTATACAAAAAGTAATTGTTTCTTCTGAAACAATACAGGCTGAATCGGGAAAAATATGAATATGCAGTAAACTGTGTATACATTGTTTGTGGTCATTCATTCAATATGTGTCCCTACTTAAATCATGCATGTGATATAGTGACATATAAAGCCGCAAACACCTTTGATTAGCCTGACTGCATTGCTATTAATTTAACACAAGGGACTGCAATGTTAATTAATTGGTCTCAAACTTTACAGTTATTCAAGCGGAAGGAAGGTGAGGTTTGATATGAGGCAATCCCATAACTGGTTTCCTGTCGTTTAGAGGTCCACAGTAGCTGGAGCTGACTGATACAGGCCAGCTCTCTAACCAGGAAAGCCCAGACATATGAGGAACTCAGCAACCCAGCACTGTTTGCCTCATTAAGGGCTGAAACGCGTCAACATGACCCTGTCTGTTAAAACACAATACTGTAGAGGAACCGATCAGTCGGTGAGATATTCAACGTTCTTTTAACGTTGTGAATAATCAGATGAGGGAATAGAGCCGAGACAATGAGAAAGAAAGGCTGGAGGGGGGGAGAAAACACCACGATTCTCTACCCGTCCCCCCTTTTACTGCCACGTCAAGTCCAGGCCACAAGCCACGAGATGTTCTTGGCCCACATAATGAGGCTCCTACTGGGTTACTGCAAGTTAGTCCCACAGAGCGGTTCTGTAGTTCACCACAGATTCTGCCAATTTTCTTTTTGAACCCAGGTATTATTTAAAAAGAAAATGTCTGGCCAATAGCATTTTGAAGGACTTAAGAATATAGAATAATAGAAATGGAGAAGACTTTAGCAAAATATCATGACAATGTTCTTTCATACACTGAGCAACCAGAAAAAAACCCTCACAAGTACAGTAAAACAGTATTTTAATAAATGACCTTTGTGTGGTTGACATTGTCACACACATACACACCTACAAACTGTGTACATACACACTCTCGCACCTACAGTATATATCTTGCATACACAGTCCAAAAGAATAAATACACTCATACTTGTATATGCATGCACACACACACTACGTGTTCAGTTGTTTTAAAAGGCTGCATTGCTTCTCCCAAACAGTATCTATCTTTATTTTCTCTGTAAAACAAACTAACAAATAAAAGAAATAAAAAAACAACTCTTTTGTCACTGGCTTTAGTTTTTGTTGTTGCCCTCCATTTATTCAAATCAGGTGGACAAAACACCTTTCTATGACCTTTAATTCAGTCCAGTACAACATCACCACAAAGTTTGGTCTCAAAACCTACAAACTGAGACAGCACACCAACACCTAAAGTAGTACATTAAAGGAAAGCGGTCTTTACAAAAATCTTTTTAAATAAGGTTGTTTTTAATTGGAGAGCTGTTGCATTGCATTACATCATACTGGTGTTTTTTTTCTTTTCTGGTCACTTGTTGCATTTAGAAATGCATCTATAACTGTAACTGGCAAGAAGTAATACATAGCAGATGTTAATGTTGATGAATATGTGGCAACCCAATCATATACGTTTTTCTTGAAGATGCTATTTATTTATTTAGCATTGCTTCTTTTTGTAATGTACGGCTGCAAATAATTTGAGAAAGCAAGTGAGTTGTATTATATAAAATTAGAGTCTTCAGTCAGGTATTCGTCACTCTCAAATACTTTTCCTATGATCATCAAAACTCTCTGGTCATCAATTGTACTGTTCTGGCATCTAACAAGGACACAGCACACCATAAAAAAACATCTCGTAATGCTATTTGGCTCAGATCTGACTTCAAAATGCATGTTTTGCTCATGTTACCTCACCGCTGACAAAAGTCTTAGGCACACTACTGTGCAGTATAACGTATGGCTTTGGCCACCTCTACCAGACTCTCTCTGAGCCAAAGGGGCGCATGCAAACCTCTCCAGTCAGCAACTTTTATGGCAGCATGGCCAGCCTCCATCTCCCTCAGCAGCGGTGGAGTTAGACTGTGTACCCTGCAGCCTATAGATACTAGCTTGGGGCCAGACAACTCTATTTAGACTTTCCATGAGACATTTTTGTAACTTCTCAGTGGACTGAAGTTTTAATTTTAATAGCGAGGGATCCTGATGAATGAGAGAGGGCTGACTAACAGGAAGATTATATTAGCTCTGATTACAGACAAAAGGGTAACAACACATTTCGGTGGGAGATCAAAAACACCTGACTGTATTATTTTACAAGTGAAATTTACTGTGGCAACTTGACAGCATAAGTGGTTAAACATTCATGCATTTCATTGTTCACTTAAATCATTTGCATCAAATTGTTGTGTAATTAAATTAAATTGCACTACATTAAATAAATAAATGCCAATGATTAATCTCGACTCCTGGCAATAATGTACAGACCATTATTTACATTACATTTATCTGACATTACATATATCTGACGCTTTTATCCAAAGCGACTTACAATTGCTATACATGTCAGAGGTCACACGCCTCTGGAGCAACTAGGGGCCAAGTGTCTTGCTCAGGGACACAGTGGTGGATGGGTCACAGTGGGGGATTGAACCAAAGGCATAGTCTTATCCATTGCGCCATCACCACCCAAAATTACAAAATTACAGCCCACAAACACACAACCATCCTATTTCAATGAATACTTCCAATGGCAGTCAGTGTCTCAGCTACCTAAAAGTCTCAGAGGTCGTAGTTGGAGTTTTAACGAACATGGCAGACATGAAATTACAGTAACACAGCACCTGAGCAAGGCCATAAAGCAAAGAGTTGTATCAAACTCAGCCAAAGGTTTTTAATGAAGTGAGAAGCCACTTTAAGTTTGGAATGCTTAGTAAAATTTACTTCAATTTGCCAATGAAAACAAGTGTAATTGTGGGCCCAGCTCCTCAAAAATATCTATTATGGTTATGGCGGCATACGTTAAAACTTTAAATTTTTTACATTAACTACACCTAGTTTGAAACAAAAATCCCAGAGAGACACGAGCAGTGGTGGCACCAGTGAAAGCATTTCACAGATCTTTAGTTCTAGACAGCCAAATATCCACGCAGACAGGGCTAACAAGTGTTAATGTATTTACCCAGACTGTTCAGAGGAAGTGGCATGGGAACAGTCTGAGTCCTACAGTCTGTGGCCCAACAACAGCGTATCACTCTCCATCATCAGGAAGCTCAGCCAGTCGGTTCAGCAGGGGCTCTGGTGACGGATCAAAGCCCCGCTGCTCTGTCCTCTGATAACTGCTGGTTAGTGTTTCTTCATCTACTGTACTCCTTTTCTCCACAGGACTTGCACACAGCCGGGGACTGTTTCTTCTAACCCCCGAGGAAGATCATTTATCCAATTTATTTCAAATCACCGCAGCGCAGAGCACACGGCCCCCGAACCTCAGTGGTGAGCACAGAGGGCCAGAGCAGTGAGATCATAAAGTTTGTGCTCCTAAAACCCTGCTCTCGCCGAGATAAATAAAGGGGCTCACAAAAAACAACATTTATTATATCAGCGAGCTTTAGGCAGGCTTGTCTCATTCAGGGTTTAAAGCTGTATACAGTATATCCAATACTAGACCACCAGGCAGGCTTCTTTGATCTAATTATCTCAGAAGCTAGATGACGAAGAAAGCTGACTGGAAAAAAGTACCACAAATGTGAGAGAATTTGTAAAGAGATATTTCAAAAGTGCAGATGTATTGATCATCTCTTTAAGTAAAGTAGTGATAAACCCTTAGGCACAGAGTCATTAACTACAAATGTGGCCTGTAACTAACACAAACAGCATTAACATCATGGTTTCACAAAGGCTAGTTAACATGCTACCCAACAGAAACACCGACTGAAGAGGTTAACTATCTTTTATATATTTAAAACAATAAATACAAAAACAACAATACCATCGTTTGCTGGTAGGTAGATTTTCTTACCTTTTGACAGAGCCAGGCTAGCTATGTCACTCCTTTTCCAGTCTTTATGCTAAACTAAGCTAACCAGCTGCTTCATATTTACTGTACTGACATGAGAGTGGTATCAATCTTCTTTTAACTCTCAACAACAAAGCAAATATGCGTTTTCCTAAACTCTTAAACTATTCTTTTAAATGACAATGAGCTTTGCTCCAAAACAAAAGAGTTTTTAAAGGCCAAAAATTTCAGCTCCTGGCGAAGTGATCAGTGAGTCATATGATATTGATCAAAAATCCTATCAGGTCCTGCAGATATTTTACAATAATTATATGCTGGAGGTTGATAAAAACCTCTTTTTGTTAATTACAGGGGTTGGATGAGTTTTCAGCTTTATAATTTTTTCCATGCACTGGATGAGACAGTTAAGCATAATTGTGTGCACTAATAAAAACCTTTTCACTCACCATCATCAAGGTAGATCTGGTCCAGCTCCTGTGGTTCTTGTTTGATGCTGACAGTCAGCGTCGGGGGGCTACCATCCTCCTGAATGGAGCCCCGCCCGCTCTCTGGCACTGTGGGGTGCTGCTGAGCTCCTGGACTGGTGCTGCTGCTGACCGGCTGGGCTGGTGTCATGCACTGGGACGGAGAGAAAGGGCTGTCAGTTGGGGTGGAGGGCTGCGAGGTTGGAGAGGAGGAGGAGCTGCTGGGTGGGTAGAGACTAGGCGGCTGGTAGCGCCCTGGCGTCTCCTGGATGATAGAGACGTGTGGGACTGGGGACTGTTGGCCCGGGTGCTGGACTGCTGGACCGGAAGAGAGGCACTTGGAGAACGGCGGCGGTGACAGGTCATGCAGTTTAGGGCTGGTGCTCGGAGAGGACGGTGAGGGCAGCGAGGACGGTTTGGCTGCCAACCTTTGCTGGCTGACAGAGTAAGCCCCACCCACCACACACGGCCTGAGGTCAGAGGTCATCATCGGGGTCATGACCTGAGGGGGGAAGTATGGCTTTGGGTGCAAGGACAGGCCGGGACCACGCTGGCTGCACACCAGAGGGGCGTCATAGTCGTCATGTGGCTCTGTCTTTATTGTTGGAACTGACAGAAGAGGAGGGAAAAGCTAAATGAGTAAACACATATTCCAACCTTCCTGCAAGTGTGAGTGAGTGAGTGGGTTTGTGGCTAGGATACCCGCTGCCAAACAAACACGCTCATCAATGAGACTCTGTGTCTGGGCCTGAGCTCTCCCACCCTGCTGAAAATATTCACAAAAAACAGAAAAAAAGCCGGAAAAAAGGGATGACTCATCAACACGAGAAACATCCAGCTGCTTCTATAATAAAATGTCTGTTTTCTTTGGATCCGTGCTCTGGTGCTAATATCCACTAAATGTGCGATATGAAATATGTTGCTGTAACAGCAGCTTCATACTCAGCAGGGTTTCGCAATTTAAAATAAATTAATGCTTACTCATTGAGACAGAGAAACAAAAGTTTAACTGAAAGTGAAAGCTGCTATTTAACACAAGATGTGGCAGAAAAGGACAAAATGGAGGCTTCAGGGGGTTTGAGGATTGTGGTTGTTGTACGAGCGAGAACCGATGCTGAGTTCAAATGAGGCAGGACTTGTTCTCAGTCGTCGGCATCTTGGCCACTTGTCCAGATTCCAGTGCAAAGCATGTTGGACACCGAATTTTAAAATGTGGGCCGTCAATCAGCTCCTGACACGACATCGATCTTATACAACAAGCGTTTCAGTCCAGTTACAAGCAAACCCTGAGCTACATCACCGCATCACTAACTGGATTGATTCCTTATTTTCTTTGTGCTGAAGCTGTTTTAGATTATTATATGAAGCATGTGCTTGAAATTGAAGCTGAAGTAGTAAATTACTTCATTCTTCCTTCTGCGATTCTTATTCTCATATTTTACTGATGCGCATTGTTGATTGTTTACCTGCATCTTTTTGTTTTTTGTGATTCCGCTTGCTGAGGGAAAGCTCTTGAAAAATATAGTTTTAATCAAACATGCCAGGATAAATGAGGCTAATTAGACTTAAAAAAGAGTGCAACTAGGATGTATCATACCTTACTGAAGCCTCCACTGTCAACAACTGTAAAGGAGAAACTGCAATGAGATGGTTACACCAACCACAGCACTAAAATAGCACACGCACCCCTATTTTGGGCCCATTTGGAGGAAGTGTGTCTGTCTGCCTGTGGAGGATAGGCAGATGCACAGGCAGAGAAAGGAGCAGAAGAAGTGCAAATGTTTGTCTTGCCACAAAAGAGAGCCTGCCCCTGGGTTTCCGGAGTGTGAAAGTCAGCCGTGTGTGTTACTGTATGTTCCAAAATAAATCTCTTGTTTTTGTACGAGCTGTTGTAACACCTGCTCATGCTAAAAAACAAAATGTTTGAGTGGCGTGATTTTAAAAAGTAGTAAAAGCTGAAACCCATTTACATCTCATTATTGAAAAATTTAGCCTTTCATAGTTTTTCCACCTGTCTTTTCATTCACTTGTTTGAAACTTTTCTTGACTTTCTCATTATCTGGAAGGTCTTGATACTGTTCACTCAGCTGGCTTGTTGCCTTTAAAGACTCTCACCCTTTAGGAGACACTGACCAGACTAGCTGTCCTCTAGTCTCTCCCCTCCCCTACACTCTCTGCATCCCGAGGACAATGCTCCACTTTCACAGCGGGGCACTCCATCGCCCACGTTACAGGGCTGGGCCAGTTCATTTGAATCACAGCTTTGAACCACCCACTGGATTTTCACTCCAAGCCCAGAGCTCAATTAGCGGCATTTTTTTGCATTTCAGTTGGTGGGTCAGTGTTTATATTTAGCTTGGCAATAGGTTCTCTATTCAAATAACATGCCTTTCCCATGCCCCCATCCCCGCTCTTGTGTGTCCAGTCACTGTAGCTACAGGTATGGAAAAGAACAGATTTTATAGATTTTACAATGAAGGAATAATAGCATTGCTTTGTTCCTCCCTAGCCAACCACCAGACAAAGGGGAAAACAAACTGTTCTCGTCTTCAGATGTGCTGGCTAAAATGTTTCTAATTAGTCTGGGATATGAAAGGCAAAGAGCAGACTGAGAGTGGTGAAGTGCTGCGGTGATGGCAGGAAAGTAAAAGACAGGCAGAATAAGCAGAGATGTGCTGAGGGTTTAGAGGTAATAAGGGGGGATTTTCCTAGTTTGGTGGCAAATTTGTATTAAATTTATTTTATATGATGATATATTTTTCACCACATGTCAGCCTCATAAAGAGACCGGTTGGTATAGCATAATTCAGTATCCACTACAGTGATTGGCTGACAGGATTGCTGACACCACAACCCCTCCCTTACTAACTACTAATAATTTCTAACCAGTTGTGGATCCTGAATTAGTGAAGTACTGAATTAAATGTTTTTTCTTTCCAGTTGTGACATCACAATGAGGGGTGGTTAAAAATGTCTTGTTTGAATTGTACAATTTCATCAAACAGCAGTTAGCTTAGAAGACATAAGAAGCAGCTTCATGCTTCAACATCTAACTCACATCACTAAATGCAAAATTCATTCCAAGGCCATACAATTATTGTTCCGTCAAAACTCCGAAACTGTTAGTTAAGAAGCGAATAATTCATGTGTAAGAGGAGGAAAAAGTTACCACTGGCAGGGACATAGGTGAAGCGCTGGTACTGGCTTCTTTTCCTCTTGCCGTTGCAGACGTAGAAGTTCACATGGACCGGAGTGGAGAGTCTTTGGTTCCGATAGGGAGGGATTTCAACAAGTATTGAATTCTGCAACAAATAAGATTGAACAACTTGTTGTGAGTTTTTTTTTTCCTACTTACTGTATACTTCACTCAACTTACTTATATATGTATCTGTAGTTAGCTTTAATCTTACACAGTTCTCCTTTTTTTAAATTTGCTCTGCTCTGCTCTGCTCTGTTTTTTCTTTTCTTTTTTCTTTATCTTTATCTGGTCTGTAACACCTAATTTGTTCCTTGGGATCAATAAAGTGTTATGTTTTATCTTATCTTAAATATAATAAAGGCTGGGTGCAAATGTCAATGAAAAAAAGGGAGCCAATTTTTGTTGTTTACTTTGGAGAGAAAGGCACTTTCATATATAAATATACTACACTGTAAATAAAAAATAAGCCAGAACAAAAAGGTGAAACTGAGCTACTTCAGCAATCATTGTAGAGGAGAATGCTTTATTCATTACTCATACTCATTCATAGATTAATGAATTCATAAATTGGTGCATTACAGGAACTGCAAGTCAGGAGCACAGACTTGTGTTTGCCAAAAATGAACAATAAATGCACATTAACTCTTGAGATGTATGTGGTTTAACATGGAGAAACATTATGTATTCATTGTTTTTTGTCAAATGTTTTTATTTCTTTTTCCATACCCTGAAGTTAAGTGTGTTGGGGGCAGTTGATAAAATCTGCAAATCTGGTTGTAAACCCTAATGAGAGAGCAACAGAGAGACCATGAAGTATGGTTATCAAGAGCCATGGTTGTTTGCACAGGGAATTTTCCAGATAGTTTATTTCCCCATCTTAGCTTCCTGCTGTCTGAGGAGAAAGTGAAAGCCAGGAGCGACCACGTTCCTGAGTTCAGCCTGTGGCCATATCAGCCCCATATGTGTGTGTTTCTGTGCATGCATTTGTGAATTTACAGGTCCGAGTGTGTTGGAGGTGCTGCTCAGTAGCCAGGAAGGAAGTCATCTGTCTACAAAACTGTGCTTCGGAGGACGGCTGGCTCTGACATGTACAGGTGAGAGCTGACACACATTATATTAAATCACTGCAATCGTAAAGTGAAGCCAGATGAGGATTTCTAACTTCTCTTATTCACCACCACCAATAAGCTGATAAAAACGTGTAACCTGTAATTGTGTCCAGGTTGAACAGGAATATTGGCAGCATTTCACTTGTGCTGCTGCTGTCCAACATGTTAATTTACACATATTCACAAAAAAGAGACTTCATTTTGAATCCAAAACCATCCAGGAGTGAAAGTTTTATATGCACATGTGTCAATTCAACCCACTGAGGACTGAATGGACCTTCAATTTATGTAAAAAGCATGAAAACTATCACTGATTTGTTTTTTTTCCTGACAAAAGTGATTTCTCTCATGTGGTGGGGAGGAGAAAAATGCACCAAATTGAGCATGAAGGAGCATTTTTGGACTCCTCAAGTGAGTGCTTCAAGACCATTTATCTAACTTTATATGAGTAATCTGATGTATCTAATTGTAAATAATTCTTAAAATCAAACCAAAATGTTCCCTCTTCTCCCAGGTCTACCTCCCTCTTGGGGAAGGTCAGTCTATGCAGGTGACGGAGGCAGTGAGGTATTCTGAATTTGTGGTTTGGTCTGCGTTTATGGTGCAACAGCAGAGGTTAAACCTGGCCAAGGCAGCGTCAGTGTTTAAAATGGGACTAATCCAGCAGACTGGGCTGAAAAGGGAGGGAGCCAAGGAGGGAGGAGGAGAGGGAGGGAAGGAAACCTTTGTCTATTCAAGCAGACAGATGTGTCCCAGCAGTTACCGTATGTGTGTGTTCATGAGAGAAAGGGAAAGTATGTTTTGCAATGGGAAGACACTGGGAGCAGGTGCAGTGCCTCACATATAGACACCCTCTAATCCCCTCGTCTATCTCCCAGACTCCCACCACTACATCTCTCTCTCGCTCTCTCTTTGTCACAGGCCAAGACAGGACACACAGCCAAGTACAAACTCCCACAGGTTGAAGGTTGAACTTTTGAAAACCTTTTCCACACGTTTCAAACACAACACTGCTGTTCCCCCCCCCCCCCCCCCCCCCGAGGGATGCTGCCTCGAGGCCAAGAAAATCAACAGTCATATTCCAGTTACTCTTCTGTGAGTGTGTGTATCCTTAATATGCTTGTGTAGAACACTGTGTGTGCATCCCATGTTCATGTTAATTGTGTTAGGAATGCATGGTTTATAGGAATAGTTCGACAATTTGGGAAGAGGGTTAGATGAGAAGATTAAAACCTCTTTCACGTCTGTTCGGTAAATATCAAGATGTCTCATACTAAAGGCAAATAAAACCAAAATATATGTATATAATGTTTGGTTACCATTAGAGGCAAACAACATAATATATTGTTTTGTGTGTTTGTTTTGCATTTATGGTGAAATGGCCCTTTAAAGTAAAGAGCTGAATAAAATGCTGATGTGTTGTAAATCTAGATTTGTGATTCAGAAATTAATCAACTGAAAGCTGTGGAGCTTCATTCACTCTCAGCTCATTTGATTTAGCTAAAACAGTTGTGCTTAGTTCTGTTAAATGCTTGAGAACAGCTGCTGTATCCTGAGTGCTTTAATCCAGAACTGAAATGTCACGATAACAGTGTCACATGTATTACTTACAGGCTTTGAGGCGTCTCTATCAACCTTGGCCTCAGTCTCCCAGAGGTGGTGACCATCTAAAAGAAAAACAAAACAGAGAGAAACAGAGTTTTTTTAAATGACAAATCGAAAAGCAAACCACCTACTTGGCTCCCAACAGAAATGAAGAAATGGAATGAGTGTTGTTATTATTATCTGTTACATCAGTGATATATAAAACAGCTACAGAGAGTTGAGGGTATCGCACACGTCATGCTGTCTGACCCACTACTCATGAGCTCATATCCACAGTCTAACAGACCTGAGACAAAAAGAGACGAGAGAGTGAGAGAGAGACACAGATACAGACAGAGAGAGAGAAATCTGATGCAATACTAAAAAAAACCCAGTCATACCAAAGACATGAGCGAAATCTTTGGTGGATGAGAGAAACCTTGACTTCATCGCTGTGTGGAATCCCAACATGCTTGAGCAGCTGGTTGGCTCATTAATACACAATGACTGGAAAACGACAACTCGCCTCAACTTTCAAACTTCTTATTTCTTATGTTCTCATAGGAACCTTTCTGCTCTCCCCATATAATGATTGTTAAATGGGATTTGAATTTGCTCTTTTTCTGGTAATGTGTTTTTTTCTCCTTAAAGTTGCCACAATAAAGAGGTTTTCCCATCAGGCAATAAAACGATGCATCATACGAGCTGTTGGAAAACACAGACCTGCTAAAAAAAGTTTGATTTGTCATTCTGCCCAATGAGGTGTGATTAAATCTATATTTTTACAAATTTATTAGACACAGAAGGAAACCATTGCAGTTTCTTTAGACCCCTGGCTCATTAACAAGGCCCTAAAAAGACATTCAATGGCTGTGAAAATGACTTTTACGTGAAAAGGAAACTGCAGTTTAAAGAAAAAAAGGTCAGCTGTGGCCAAATATTCTTGAAGAAAATTAACTGAGATATGTGCTATGTTACTCACCAGGCTGTCTGCAGTTTGATAAGTGGAGAGTTTGAATTGAAGAGACAGCCCGGTACAGATGGATGGAGTAGCGCTCGTTTGTGTAGGAGTTGTGAGGTGGCAGAGATGGAGGAGGTGTAACTTGGCACTGACAGTTTCTATTATGTCTGAGAGGACACTGGAAGCCTGTTTACCTCTCTGTGATCTATTTTGATCTCACTTCTTTTTTACTTTCTCTCCCTGTCTGGCACACTCCTGGACTGGAGTTTTAGCTGCTGCTCTCCAGGAAAAAGTAATATCATGTGCATCACCTAAATGAGAGTGGCCGCTTAATGAAGAATTCTGGAGTCAAATCTCTGAGATTTGTGCATAAATTCTTTTTGGAAAGGAGCTGAGTTAAAGTCAGCTGTCAGTACGCAATAATCAATGGTAGAGACAAGTAAAGGAGAGGCTCACTCATAACAATTAAGAGTCTGTCTCAACCATTTCTTTTGAAAATGCATTCAAATTAGTTTGTGGAATTGGGGAATGGTCTTAATAATTACATTTTTGGCAAGATTCTCTGCAGACCTATGTGAGTCTGATACGCTAGACTGAGTATTTCAAAGTGCACCCAGAGACTGCAGCTTCAAAAGATGACATCAGCTCCACAAGGTTGTAGAAAAGGTCTGCCGTTGTGTTAGAATTAGAAATTAGTAATAGGCAAGTACTGCGTGAACAGAAAAACAGAACCTAATGTCACTTCTGCGTCTCATCTGGACAGCAATTTAGCAATAAAGAGAGAGTGAACAGAGCAAAAGAAGGTAGTACTACTGTAGCATATCACAGTCTATTTTTCTAAATTATATTTAGTGGGTTTTTTTAGCCAAAAAGCTTCTAGTTGAGATTTGTGACGTATAGACCACTAAGCCACCAGACTACCAGACTATTTTCCCTCTTCTTACAAATACATGTAACAATGGATTCATGGCGACAGAAAACAAATTCTGCAGCCTTAAACCTACAAAAAATTCACAAATAGTAACAAAATGTGGACATGGAGTAAAACAAAAGTAGGCCTACTGCATTTTCTGGACACCACAGGAACAATTGTGACTGGTGCACAGCAAGGTGCAGACATCTGGCACGCAATAACTTACACAAACCTATGTGTTGTACTACAAATCAAACATAACATTTGAAAACCGTGTTACAGGAAGCCTATGTGTAAACAATAGAAATGAAAAGGGAAACAGTTTGTCATACAGGAAGTTGTCCAGCATCCTCGTCAGAACGGTTCTCTGGTGGTGTACAGTGGATTTTTTAGTTTTATGTTATAAAGGCATATATAATCTATCACATGTCAGCAAGGCAGCAATGGCTCTTCTTACTTCTTGAAAACATTATAATAATTTATTATATTCTATTCTGACTCAAACATCTTGTCAAAGGAGTTCAGAGCAAAATGTGACCAGTTAGCAAGAAAACAAAATTTTCATTCAACCAATGAGAATATTCCATCCTCCATGAAAGCAGTTTTGTCTCTAAAAATTGTTTGTTTGACTAAAACTTCAATCAGCCAGTCTGCCTCTGTGTTTCTCCCCCTCTCCTGCTCTGTTTCTCGCTGCCTCTCTTCACTTTGGGAACCTCTCCAGAAGGGAAGCCTTTGCAGCCGATGTCAATCCACAGGAGGTAAATATGTTTTTCAGATCTCCCTCTACGTCTCTGTTTCTGGCTGTCTGCTTTTCTTTCTCTCTCGCTCTCTGACTCACACGCTCATCATTTTTCACATCAATGCAGAGATAGAAAAATTCAATTTAGCACTTTGTTTTCTGTGCCCACCTACTGCCAGGAAACTTCTCAAGAGCTTTGAAAAGTTAAATGCGTGGGATGCCTTTGTTTGAAAAGAGTATTCCAGATAATTGATAACCACAGAATGTAATTGATAACCACAGAATGTTCCAGAGTTGTAGAGCAACATCTGCACAACGCCTGCACCGATCCAATGAAAAACTTCAGCAACAGTTACTCTCCAATTCCCCTCCTACCAAGTTTCAGCAAGCACAATATGGTTTCTAACTCCCCAGCCCACTGTGCTGGATAATATCCAATATTATCTAAATTAAACAACTCTGCCTAAACCGCTCCCCCAAAACCACACGGACCATATAAACCCAGTACCCCTCTCCAACTCTCACAACGCCCAAGCTCCACTCGCCTTGGCTGCATCCCAGCCTCACAGAAGTCTTACAATTCACATTTCGTTAGCAATGGTCTATACAAATCATTACTTTCTCAGAACAGACATAACACAGAGCAGTCAATGACAGCAGTGGTGTGCTGTACAGAATCATGGCAGCCGAGGGGGATCAAACAATATACAATACAGTTATTTGTCATGTTGGGTTTATAAAGGGAATCAAACAGTGCCTTGTGCTCCTTAATTGGGGCTGGGTGGAGTGAAACTTTGGTGCCCAGAGTGAAACAGCGGGGTGGCATGTGCCCAAGCCCTCATAACGTACAGTAAATATAAACACATGCTCTACCCAGGCCCATGTGGCATACTGAAAGAGGTCCCTTGTCCTCTGACTGATGACTGAAACTTCTTCCTTCCTGCTGCCCTGAAAACACGTGGATTTTGGAAGTTGCACGCAAGCTGCTGCGGTGTGGAAGGGGTGGCGACTGAGCCGAGCTCCGGGCTGATAAATGGCATCAGCAGAGGGGGAGATATTGACATGCACTCTTCAACAGTGATACTTGCAGCTACAGTGGCGCCTGTCACCGCAAAACATCAGCGCTTTCATCAAGAACTCACTCTCTGGAGTTTCTCAAACAGGCCTGTGATTTTTATGAATCATACACTGTAATTTATGAAAACATAATCCCTGCTGTTTATGTGGCTGTAATTGATTTGTTTATGAAAACAGCCATTGTTCTCAGAAGTGGCAGAGGCAGCCAAACCACTGAACGGCTTCAAGTGGAAGTCATTGTTCTATGAATGCAATGAAACCAAAGCCTGTTGACCAACACTCCTTCCAAACAAAACCACTGCTCAAAGCTAGCAAAGCCAACCGAGCTAGCACAGAGTCCATGTTAAAATCAGCCTCATTCCCTCCACTGTTACATTACTGTCAACTTGCTCACAGTTCTCATGAGCTTTAAGGAGGATGATTATCTGTAATTTTCTGCAGGTAATTCCAGACACCATCTGGCAGCCTTGTAGCACGATAATCCTCTCACAGTTCAATTTCCAGGGCCTCTCATTGTACAGCGGCTCTGGCCAAGAACAATCAGACAAAACTGTCGGTGTGTTCCAGTCAGACATGGAAAGCTAGTTCAGGTCTCTACCAGTTTGAAGCTCCAATTCAACAGCTCAAAGAAAGATAGAAAGGTGAGGAAGATGGGTCAACAAAAACACAGTTACCCCGCAGCTGGGGACTTTGATGGATCAGGGAAATGCTTATTCACAGTGATACGGATTGCAGCAGACCAGGCAGCTGTCGAGTGCAACAGGCCAGATGTGAAAGTGCTCTTTTCACTAGAGGGTTTCTCCTCTGCAAGGATTTCCTTCAGGATCTCTCACTCAAATTAAGCTATCATCAATCATGGTGGGGAAACACTGAGCAGAAAACCACACTTTATGAAAAGTAAAAAGACGTAAAAGTGACCAAAAAGAAAGTACAAGGAGATACACAAAACATATCCATACGCTTTATACAATGGCCAGATAATGTAAAATTACTGTAATGCATGAGTTACAATAATCTTAAGGATAATATATAATATAATATAAATAAAGTTTTAATAATTTAAAACATTTTCCTGATTATACTTACATACTTTCTACTTTATGTAGCATTTTCAATACAGGACTTTTACTTGTAATGGAGTATTTTTACAATGTGGTATTGGTACTTTTATTCAAGTAAAGTAAACTTTACAAAGTATCATTACAGAGTTGCATCTTCACTGTACAATGAAAACCATGTCTAAATTTGGTGATTTTGAAATTTTCAGGTAAACATATAACTCTCCTACTTTTTCAGAACAAACTATCAAAATCCCATTAGATTAGCTGATAAATGTATTGTTGCAATGTTGAAAACATTCAGTAATAACTATTAAGTTTTTACCGAGTAACTGGTTTTAAATAAAACTTATTTAAAACCAATAATTTTTTTCTTCACAGTTCCTGCCCTGTGTTCAATCTTTGCCCCTCACTTTGTCTTTCATTTCTATTTGGATTTTGGCACCTTTAGCCTTAAATAACAGACAATAAATTACATCTGAGAACTTCTCCAGCAGAGCCCAGAACATTAAACCACTAAAAAAACAGAGGTGAATAAAGGACGGTAGGGCCTAATTTCCCAAATGGAGTGACTGGAACTTATCAAAGACAGAATCTTCTGGGCAGGCCGGGGCAAATGAAAGCAAGGTGAGATTCAGTCAGGTTTAGATTACAGGCTGATGTCTACAGCGCCGAGGCCATAGAGTAATCTCTCATGACTGATTGGCTGTAACCAGGAGTGACAACTGAACTGATGCTATCTTGTTTTTTTTCTACTGAGGCGGCACTGAGGCGGGAGACAGGAGGGGCAGGAGGGTGTGATAGAGCAAAGCTGATATGCAGTTACTGTTTTCAGATGTTGTGCTCCCATTGACTAGCAGGTGACAGAGTGTGTCTCTCTATGGGGAAAACATGGGATTTCCTTTTGCATGAGTCATGGGTAGCAACAACCACACACTCAAAAACATGGATATGAAACTGGACATATTGTATGAGCCCTTACAGTTACTGTCTCTTTCTCTGAAACACAAATAAAACACATAAAATGTGTCGTTTCCCCAGAATTTCATTTGTCACTGGAGTGGAAACATCATTTAGATCCAACGGACACTAAAAAAAAACCCAAAACAAATGAAACTTTTAGTTTGTTGGCAGCCTCTTGCAGGCAGCATCCTGCCTGCAATGACATGGGAAACTGACACACACACACACACATGCTTTTGAGCATGGGATGCAAGCAACATACACAACATGTCAATGCCCACATGTTCTGTTACCGCAGCTTTGTGAACGGTATTTTGTGAGAGTGCTTTATTGGAAAATTTGCAGGAAAATCGCCCAAATTAAATGCTTAAGCTCCTTATGGCAACACAATCTACCACTTTGGATTTATGAGTTTGATCGTTAAATTGTTTCTCAGAGCTCTGCTTTGAGCATGAGTAAAATAACAATAAAAGCACATTGAATATCAAAATTCTATTAGTTCTGCTTGAGGATGTAAGAGCAGAGATGAGTTGCCTGTGTTTAAAATATGCAAATTAATGTAACAACATTAACAACAATGTAACAACATTTCACTCTAGAGAATAATGAAGTCTCTATTTGTCTAGTGTATCTATTTGCCTATCTATTTATACAGAGAGCAGCTGTAAAGAAGACCCAGTATGATCCATAGGGAGCCCACAACTCAGAGAGTTAATGAACTGAGAGCTGGTGGCACAGAGGCAGCTTGGATAGAGAGGTGGAAGGATGGAGGGAAACAGAGGGAGGGCAGTGTTGTGGAAGCCTGGCTTAAGGGTGTTTCCATGGTAGGATTGCCCAGGAATCTGATGCTGGTGCCAGACACGGGGAAACCCTCATCAAAAACAAGGGAGCACACCCATTAACACCAGTCCAGAGCCTGCACATGGCCCTAAAGACAGCCGGATTAAGAGCTCAAACGGAACCAGAGCAGCTACTGACCCAAACAAGCGTGTTAAGTTGTGTTTCTAGTCACATCTTTGATGCTACAAAACAAGTTGCCCGATTCCTTGTCTTTTAGTTAAATTTGTCCTGGAGGCAGAAGTGAACTCGTTGGTTGGGTTAAATTTTATGGGGTAGAGCTCAGGGAAGCAGGGATGGGCTTTGAGTCTTGTAAAATAGGCAATTGGTGTGAGAGGATCCAATAATTAAGTGTAAAAGTTTATTCTTGACCTTGGAAAAAAGCAGTTTGACAAAAAGGAATCTTAACTTCAAGTCCACTTATTATTTTTTTCTGTCACTTTCATAGCATCTCATGGTCTTCCTCAGTGTATGGAGTTTAAATTATTAATATTATAGGATTTTTTTTCAGACGTTTTGAATTAAGAGCATATCAGATTAAGAGAGGCATGAATGTGACATTTATTTACCGTATGTTAAGATGAATTCTACGGATACACTTTCTTTACTTTCATTTACTGGAGATTACTAATGTATGGACATTCATTTTGAATATTTTAAAATATCTTAATCCCTTTGTACTTATTTGAGAAACTATTTTACTTTGCTCATGTATCCTGTAACTGAGTAGTGAAGTGATGCGCCAACTAGTGACATTATTGTTGTCTCCAGAGCAGCTCTGCCTTTGTGAAACAACTCTGATCTTGCCTCCTCTCAGGAAGAGATCAGGGTTAATCAAAGGGTTATGTTCATTTAATCACTTCTTGTTTTGATAAACAATCTCACTTCTCCATTGTACAGAGCTGGGGGTGCAGCTTTGAATTCATTCTTTCACAGGTGGAACAAAGAAAAGGCTTCTCTCTTTTTTTGAATGAGTCACTGGGCTGATAGGATCACACGTGTTTACATTGCTCAGCCTTGGCCCAAACTGTACCTCACGTTGCTTTGCTAAAGCTAATCAAGGAAATTGCTGTTTGTAAACCTCCTCGTATCAACATCTGGGAGCAGTCCCCTCTTCCTCCAAACCAAAATGGCTTAAAGTAAGAAAAGGAGAAACAAATACTGAGGCATGGCACACAAAAGTGCATGCATCCACACCATGTGCACAGCTAGCCACCCACCCTCAATCTCACACACACACACACACACACACACACTCACCTAAACACACACACACAACACATGCTGCATTTGTGATCCATTCCTCTGCTGAACAGGCAATGGAAACTTCTGCAAATGTAAATCTGCTGGGTTAAAAATACAGTGCATTAATGTGCACCACATGTGGCACTCTGGCAGGATGGAGGATATTTTGACGGCAGGGGGAGAGGAGGGAGGTAGTCCTGGGGTTTCTCCAACACCGTAGAGAGACGCACACACACACATACATATATACACACACAGCTGCACTGAGACAACACCGTGCTCCAGGACTCCTCCTTTTTTACCTTGAGCCTTTTCCACGAACACCACCTTGGAGTCGTGCTGGAAGTTGTGTCCGTCGATGAACATCCTCTCCCCTCCGGGGGCGGGACACGTCTCCAAACTCTGCTTATCCACCAACGGCAGCTCCTGGGCCGATCTCTGGGCTGTGGGAGGGAGAAAAGAAACCAGCCTCATCGTTCAGCTAATACACACCCACTCCCCATGCAGACCTGAGCATCCAGACGGAGGCTGAATCACTACCTAGACAGTTTTCACAGAGCTGCTGGTCAAGCTGTAAACCTCTTCATGTTAGAGTTAAGCTGCCTCTTTGCCAGTATGTAGACAGAGGCTCCATGTTGTGTTTACTTGTGTTTTCCTCAAATTATGGTGGATGTTTTGTCTCAAATATTTAATTTGAGAGTATATTTCCTTTCCTCATCTTTTTAAGTCCTCTCTCTTACCATTTGGCTTCTGATTGCCTGCTTGCTTTTAGTTTTTCTAAAATTATATACGACTTGCCGTGAAATATTTACAAACATTTTCTGTCTAAATGTAACCATGATGTCTTGGCCAGCTCTCTCTTGTGAAAGAAATGTGTAATTTTATAGTGATTGACCGGGATACATAAATAGAGGTTCAATAAAACCTGAATAGTTTTCTCACATGAGGACCATCTTTTTGTAACTCGATGCTTCTGCTCTCTGATTTTGATAAAACTCTAATTCTCTTTTTCTGGAAACCATCAATCTTTCCCACATCTCTGTTTCTCTCCCTCTGTCTGTCTGTCGTTTCTGCCTCACTCACACACAAAGTGAATTTTGGTCAAAACAATTGCTTTGTGGCAGTCGTTCAGAAACTAACAATGCTCTATTTCAAGGGGCTGAGATCATGGTTTAACTACTGTCTTTCATTTACCTCATAAGACTTAATCTCTATGGCAGCTCTCATTGCCAGAACCACATGAAGTGGTTGATCTGCCTGAGTTTCTCCCGGTCCAGTGAAAGGTCAACTCCCGTGCAATGCAGAGAGTCAACAGAGTTTATCGAGCAAGGCCTACATAGGCTTTACACACTGTCAAATTAAAACATAGATCACAACCGCATGCACAAGTTCTGCAATAGCTCTAGTTACAGGGCTGAGTAAAATGATTGCTATCTTTATGAGTAAATCTTATCTTTTGATTTAGTGAGTCATCAAAACACCAAATCCCCTAACCCAACAATATTTATTTTACAATGACAAAAGAACACAGAAAAGTTTGAACCAGTGACTCTTACATTTTTGAGTGACAAATTACTTTAAGGGTTAATCTATTATCAAAGTTTCTACCTGCTGACTAAGTGATTAATCGAGTGGTTCCCAAACATTTTGTCTTTTAAAAAGAGCAACCACCCATTGTCTCATGTGTCATTTGCCTATATAGTGTTTTTTCCCCCTTCTAACCATAGATTGTCTGATTTGAGTAGATATATAGAGGCCTGAAATAGTAAAGCTATCCACTATTTTACAGCAACACTTAGAGTCTAAGAGTCTACAGTAATGCTTCAAGGTAAATGCTAATGTCAGCATGCTAACATGTTCACAATGACAAGGCTGCTACCAAGCTTTATCTTTAGCTTTATAAGATTTATCATGTTCACCATCTTAGTTTAGTGTGTTGCTAACATTTGCTAATTAGGACTAAACCCAAAGTAGCGTTGTAGTTAAGACCGCCCAAACCGAGACCGAGTCAAGACCAAGACCAGGTGCCTGCATTGCATGGCACACAATAAAATGTGGAACGAGATCACAGGTACTTCACAAATTGATGTGAAAGATCCACATTCCCATTAAAACATCCACATACAAACACTAAGAGCTGAAATCAACATAAGCATCGCAGGGAGGGGTGACAACCGTTAATTAGGGTTATTGGTTGCATTTGAAGCAATATGTTTTACTTCCAATCAAAGTTAGGATGTTAACAAATCAGACAATGCAAAAGCAATTTATTGATATTTCCAAAGTTATGGTCTTGACTGGTGTTGAACAAAAATCCCGAGTCCTGAATGTCCAAGAACGAGACAAGACCGAGTGCAAATGCAGTAGAGTCTGAGACAAGACCAAGACCATCAAAAAGTGGTCTTAACCAGTCTTAAGACCAAGACCGGTCTCGAGTACTGCAACACTAACCCAAAGTACAGCGGAGGCTGAATGGGAATGAATTTTTCAGATATTTTGGTCATAAATACAAGAACTGGACAAATTTTGACTTGATGATGGTGCTGCATGAAAAGGCAGGAGATCACCAAAGTGAATGTCCATCCAATAGCCTGGCGAAAAAAAGATGAGGGAAAAATAACTGAAACAAATTAATGTACTTTTGTGTAGCAGAATGTGTTTTTTTTACCTTTTTTGTATCCCACTGATCCTGCAACCCCAAAAATATATCTCCTGACCCATAAGAGTGGTCTGGACCACCATGTTGGTAGCCAATATGGTGACTAATTTAACCATTTACACGCTATTCAAGAGGCCTTAGGGGACTGAGGAGTTCAGGCTTGATATTTTTAAGGAAAAACAATATGAGAAGACAGAGATGGGGACTCGAGTGCGACTTAAGTCGCACACACAGTGACTTCAGACTCGACTTGAGACTCGTCCTCAAAGACTCCAGACTCGACTCGGACTCGAGGTGCGGGACTCATGAACAATGTTTACTCTTACGAAACGTCTGATGAGCTTGCCGTTATTCCCTCCCTCCGTTACCTATAACCTGCCTACGTAACACGTAGCATCTGCTGCGCGCGCCCGCACGTGAGAGAGGACAACAATCACCGGCAGCTGCTCCGCCATTCATCATAAACTTTGGCTGAACGCAAATAGGTTAATAACCTGTGGTGAGTAAACATGTTTAGCTCAGGATTGGCCATCTAACGTTAGCTTGCTTCTTGCTTCAGCTATGACCTAAGAGAGGTTAACTCCGACTGTCGTTCATTATGAAAAGATGAATGAGCGTTTGTTTACTTGCCAAATTTGCGGTGGTCGATAAATGTAATTATTTACGTCCCACTGGCTGCCATCACGTTAATGACTTGACTTGGACTCTTGCTCAGAGACTTGAGACTTGACTTGTGAGCATCTCTGTGAGAAGACTTACAGCACTCAATGGGGTTGGATGAAGCCTGCAAGGACACCGTTCTCCCCGTGGACTGGTTGATGTGAACCCGGAAAACCATCCGCACACGTGTGTTCTTGCGTCCAATGTCAGTCTCCCCCTTTCTCAGCTCAATGTCCGAATTACGCAGCTTCAAGATCCCTGCGCAGTCGATCCTGTGTTTGTGGAGACACAAGACAGTTTGAGTTTGAGTCTGTCCACAAGACAAATCATCATTTGCATTAACGCTATATACTCTTAACAGTTAATCAGACTGTTTATTGTACAGCATTGTAGCTAAATCAAAAGTGATTTTAACTCTGGACTCCATCAACACAGTCCTGAAAGAGGCTGCAGCCATGTCAGCAGAAGATTAACACCACAAACCCCCAACAGAGCTTCAATGCATCCACTTTTGGGTTACGTTTAAACTCTACAGACACAAATGGCTGGGAACATTCATCACATGTTTGTTATGATCCACAAGAGATGCTAAAATACTGTATTCCTCCTTCCACAAATCTTACAACCGAGAATTGGCTGTAAAGATATTTTTACAGTGTCAAAGTCTTCATCGGACACTTAATAAAAGCCCCTCCTCCTCTTCCCTACTCCCCTCTGTCTGCTCCGCACTCATCTAACTTTGTCATATTTAAATACCTTGAGCCTCTCCAAATGGTTTCTGGCATTTCCATCTCCATGCTACTTGATGCCGCATTCCTCAAAGCCTAGTTAATGTCAACTTTTATACACATTTGAACACTCCCTAACATTCTTCTCGCCAGACACCAGGGTCTGCTTCACTGGCAAAGTAATCAGGTGTTGATGCTAAGGACCCCAGCTGTTGAGCTCTCCGCCTACGCAGACAAGCTGAGTGCGAAAGGCGTCTGTTCAGTGCCTGAGAAAAAAATTTTGAAAGAAAGCACGATACCAAGAAGAGGGCCAGTATTTCTTTAAATTAATTACTTAAGAGTTAATTGGAGTCATACCAAGTTGACCAACGCCATTTGTGGCATTCATATTAGCTAAAAACATTTGAACTGGTGTTGATTAATGATTTAATTTAAGTTCTCCTAAATCATCATGAGTAACTATTTCAGAAATATAATAATGCCTGTATTCTATACCACATATTAAAACATTAATATGTCATACTGGTGTACATGTCAAGATGAATAAATCTCCCACAAATCCCTGGCCTGCTCTGTAAGTACTCTGAGGTGTGTCCTCTGTGAGGAAAGAGAAACCATATCCTGAGGTGAAGTCGTTGTATAAGGGGAGCTTATGTGTTACATCCATTAAAACGCAGAGAAAGTGCTGATGCTAGCAGGCTGCTACTGCCTGCAGCTCAGACAGAAACTCTGGTCCCTGTTAGCCGCACAGAGCTTCCCCAGTAATCTGATCTCTGAGGCTTAGAAAATGGGAAAGCCACCCATCTGTGTACAGAGGGCAACACTTGCGTAACGCATATACACAAAAATCAGACACTCACAGAAAACTGTACATCGGGAGCAAACTTCATATCTCCAGATTGTTAGCTTTTTTTTAAAGAAAAGCAGTAATCTAACATGTTTTAATATGGTTTAATTAGCCCAAGAGGAATCCAATTTCCCCTTGCAGAGGACCAGAATGTTACCTCAGTTAAAGTAAACTCCTTAAAGCTGATATCTAGAATTATTTTCAAGTCTTTTCAGGAGGTTAGTGTCAATTCTCAAGCCAGTTAAGTCTGTTACTGAGTTGTGACTTGGGACTTGCTATGTAAAAAACACAGCTTTGAAAGGAAGATGTTCAAAGTCTGTGTCATTACAATGGTCACCATTCACACATAAAAAACAGAGTTATTGACTGCAATTCACTTATGGAGACTTTTGATGTGACTGGGACTTGCCATTAAGGACTTGTTTCCACTGACATGAGACTTCACTTGGACTGTACTCGAATGACTTGAGACTTATTTTCTTGAATAATGTGAGACATGGCTTGGACTTGTCTAGAAGTACTTACTTGGCGTGGACTTGGACTTGTTTCAGATGACTTGAGACTTTAGTTAGACATGTCTTAAAAGACTTGACTATAGCTCTAAATGTCTAAAAAGTTACATCCAGCCCACACATCTAAAATTATTGGCAAGTCTTGAATGAATAAAGACTTGACGTCCAAGACAAGTTAAAACTGTAGATGCTTAAAAAAATTATTTTCCCCTGATTTGACCCTTTGTTTTGAGTTACTGTATGTGAACATGTTTTAACCTACAAATGGCCAAATCAAAACTCCCTGGTGGGGTACAGCCCTTGATACTCACATGGCCCGCATGTTGTTCTCTGGCAGCAGTGGGATCTCCAGAACCTTGGTGTTGTTGTGCAGGGCCTCATGGCTCGGGGTGGACACTGTCTTCCCGGTGATACGGTGGACCTGGTAGAAGGCGTGGGGCCTCAGTAGCCTGTCGTCAGCTGTGCCGATGAACAGCTGCAGGGTCAGAGGCTCGCTCTCCATGTAGCCATGAAGCTAAGAGGCGAGAAAGAAAGAAAAGACACAGTTGCAGTTAAGCCCTCATGTCCTTTCCTGAAAAAAGCATCCACTTTCATTCTGTTAACTTAAGTCTTTCAAAGGTTTAGGCTCTTGGTGCGTTGATTTTCAAACAAAGTACCTATTTAGGATCTTGTAATCACCCTTTTCATCTTCTTTAATTTACAACCAATGGCCTATATACACTTCCTCCATCAGTTCATGTCAGGCTGGCCAAGATGTTGATCCCACAGTAGCTGAATCTCAGGGGCAGCCGCTGCCAGACAGCAGTGAAACCACCTACAGCGAGCAGCGCTGTGATTTGTGAGTGCAGCGCTCTCCTTGTGACAACACTAAGCTAGTGTTTCAGAAAAGTCAAGGTCATGTCAGTCCCACCAAGCCCTGGCCAATCAGGGTAGAAAAATACTCTCAGTAGTGACCCTGCTCTGATTCATATCAGTAAAATGATCCCAGTGCAATGGAGCTGGAGACAGCACCAAAGTGCTTCTCGCTGTAGCTGGTGGGCTCAACTCAGAGTATCTAAAGTACTCCCAGACCTCCATAGGTGTTACTTGACAGGAGGCCTCCCGCCAGGATGACCTCAACCACCCAAACTGCGGTGTGCAGGCATGAAGCCCAAACCCGCAGGCTGAAATCTGAGAACAGCGGCTACTACTGACACACTGTTTGAGAGTTATGTATGTTATCCATACATGTGTGACCGGGGAGGAATTAGAGCAAAAATACTTGTCATTTTGACATCAAAACAACTGAAAGAAACAAATCTGTATATTATAAATCAGCGAGGTGCGTGAAAAACTTCTCTTTTTTTTACTGAAGAGATTAAATGTGACATTCATTGTCACCCAAATAGATGAGACCCAACAAACCTGGTCAACATTTCCATCTTCCAACCAAGTGTCAACATCTGGGGCTGAAAAATGAAGCCAACACAGAAGGGCCAAAAACTGCAGTTCCTCAAATGGCCACTTAAGGCTGGCTCCAAAAGTGAGTCAATCCCCAAAGACCCCCATGTTAAAATGTCCAGATTTAAAGCAGACACAAACATGTTTACAGCCTGGAACCAAAAAAACAGTTTTGGTCTATACAGCTAATTTCTCCATTCAGGACAACTGTACTGGGTTGGATTTTTATATAATGCACGTGTTTAATAATTTTAAGGCTTAAAGTCATGCATAATTAAGGGCATGGTTGCTTTGAGTGACAGGTGGGTGCTGTCATAGGTGACTAGCCACAGCAACCGACCTACATTCGGCTCCACTGATGCCGCATCTCTGCCCATTTCTGAGAGGGATTCTGCCAAGACGGCGACAGTGTGAGCTATCCACATTGAGCTTCACAGTCACTCTTCAGAAACCTATGTGAGACTATGTTCAAGTTTCATACAGTCTATGTTTCCAACACAATAAATACGTTGTTTAAAGTGCTTCAGCACATTCCACCATACATACTGATATAATGTAATAATGAATCAAGAAATTTATAATTTTAGAATTTAGACATTTCCCAAATCCCTCCATTTTTCAGTCGAAGTCGAGTTAAAACTGGCATGAAAAGGAAAGAAAAATGGACAATATGTGCACATAACTATCCACAGACCCTGTTAAAGTGTTACAGAGGCAGACACTAAACCCCGCTCAATTATGTGCTGCTGTGGATAAAATTATCAGCTGAAACGATCGGCAGGGAAATGTTGAAATGAAGACCAGAGTTTTCACTTACATAAGAAGAGCACTCGAGGCGAGGAGTGCCCGCAAGGAGAGTGAAAGTCTCAGACCGGGGAGGCACAACATGTGATTTAGAGGAGGATCCCTGTCAGGGTTAAGAGCCTGCAAAAGCCCTGTATATTTGTGTAAGGAAATGGGTTGCTGCCTAGCAATGCTGTTTATTTAGGCAGCAGGAAGGAGTGTGATGAAGTGAGGGAGCTTGTTCAAATGGTTAGATGGTTACCTTCAAACTGTAATTACTGATTATCTGAAATATTATCAGCATCAAATCTAGGCAAATAGAAATAATCAGACTCGATAATTTCATCTGAACAATTTCAGCAGTTTCTGATTGAAGTCATAAAGTCAAAAAGTATGCGTTTGTAGAGACATTTGTGTTCATGTCATATCGATCATTTAAAGACCAAGTGGCAATCTTGAATTCAAGAAACCTTTTTTTAGCTCTTTGATCTGAATCATCTGTATAAAAAGCAGCTGCAGCAGACAACATCTATGATTTGTTGATGCAATTTAATCATTGTGATACCGCTTGATGTAAACCCTCTGTTCCTCTACCCTGGCAGTTTGACATTGGCAATGCAGCCACTCCTCCCTAGTTCATATTATCACCCACAAGAGGAATGCAGAGACTCTGGCTGCTCAAGGCACCAAAGAGGAGGAGAATTGGGTGAGGGTGAACGGGGCTCCATCTCTATTTCTATCATACCCTTCCAACTCTAAAAAGATGATTATACACACAAACACATATATGGACTCCTGTGTTTCAGTTTTGTCGGGAGAGGGATAGCTCAGTGCTCAGAGCTCAGTGTGACAATTCATCCTGTCACGCTTTCTGCTTTGTACGCTTTTTATTTGTTAATTACACTTCGTTTAAAAATCTAAAGTCAATCACAAGGATCAAGGCCTAGAAAAGGCACACGACTCCAAAACAATAATCTACAAAAATTACTTCAAAACAGCTTTTTGGATGTGTTTTTTAAGCAATGAGCAGATCGTGAAATCTGACTTCAGACAGAGAAAGAAAGACCTCACAGACTTGAATAGGGGGTATTTCCTCTCCACCAAAGTACAGCATGAAACCCTGAGCATTAACTGCGGTGAGGACTGCACACAGCACTTCAGAGGGGCATACTTCAGTCTGCTGTTGGTGTAAGGGCGGGTGTGGTTGAGGCAGGCAGCAGCGATGGCATTGAAAAAGAACAGAAAATAGCTGGCTTAGCTGTGCTGTAGAAAAAGTGTACCACACAGAACAGGACCGTCCAGAATAAACTCTGTAAAGTCTGGGCAGGGTTTGAGTCAGAGGAGTGACGGGACGAGCCACAGAGGTTTAGTCAGCCAGCGTCCGTAGCAGAGGTTGCAGTGTTGTGTGTACCATGTAATCAGGAAGTCACACAGAAGGGGCTGCCTTTTCTGAAGCTCCCTCCAACATCTCCATCAGGGCCTGCCAGAAACGTGTGTGGTTTAGTTGCTGCCGCCTCCACAGGACGCAGTGCGCAATGATGTCAGCGGTACACACGGGAACTTTCCTAAACAAAGGGAAGTCTGTGTGGTTGGGGTGGTAGCTGGCGGAAAAGTGTGTGTGTGTGTGTGTGTGTGTGGGGGGGGGGGGTGGTGGTTTGGGTTCAAGTTTAAGAGAACACACACTCTCTATTTCAGCTGGGGTGAACCCAGACCCCCGTCATTAAATCATTAGCACCTTCTCATGTACAAATACACACATCTTGTACAGATGTGTGGCTGAAGTTGCAACTTGCTGGATTGTACAATATGTTTTATGTTGTGTCCAAATGTCTTCCACAGCTGCATACAAATAATATAATATTTCTGATCCCTTGTTCCAGTGCTGAGAGCTAAATATATCACAACACTGTTTAATTACCTTTATAGCATTTTCAAAAGGGGCTATTTTTACTCAATGATATGATTATATATAATATGCTTAAATATCAATTCTCAAAATGCTCAAAAATCCATTATCTCTCAGGTATAAAGCCTGCATTATTGCATGCATTCAGTGTTTGGGCTACTTGGGGAAGAACAACAAGCTAAACACACACACATTGCCATATTATCATCACATAATGTTGATAACAGCTAATTTACACATTTTGCCAATACTGGGCAACATTAACATATTTTGTCGTTGTGTTTCTGTCCAATATTCTCTTTCTTTTAGCTCTGATTTTGGTCTCTACCAACTCCTTAGGCAAATATCTGGATCTTTGACTATGCTCACTAGCTAGTTGCTAGCTTTGTCTCTCTTTCATTGGGCATATTGAGTACTAGTATACTACTACTAGTACTAGTAAACTTAATTTTGTCACTTTTCTGGTGTGAACATAAATCTGCTTATAGTTGGTATGTAGTATGGAATCGGGACACAGCATGCTTCTCCTTAAAAATGCTGCTTAGCAATGTTAGCATTCCCCATTCAAAATAAAGGGCATAACTATCTAACTGCTCCTCTATGGCAAGAAGAAAAACTACTCACGCCAAAAAGAAATATTTATCAAAACTGAAAGGCAAACACAGAAAACTCTGCACTATATGTGACGAATGTCTGGTAAACTTATTGTAATGTATTAATACAATGTCAAAAGGTTTTAATTAAACTGACAGCCCGCCTCACCACTCACTTTCCCCCAACTCCTTGCTGCAGACCCTTTATTTATTCAGAGACTGAGGTCAGTGGTGTGGAGTAATGGCTGGGGGACCAGATGGGTTTATAACCAAAACATTTCTGCAGTTGTCCACATTTTCTTTTCTTAAGACTCGACCACCAGAGCTACTGTGGTTAAAGCTGATGACTAAGCTCTTACTGGCCAGGCTACATCACTTTGTAACTGTCTACGCAGCACTCGACAACGCAATGGAAATGTCTGAGTCACCCTTGTCTGGACAGGAACTGACGGAGTGGACTGGTCTGTCTAATAGCATACCTATGGTATTCCATTCAGAAAGGTGACATCTTTGAATAATATAACAGGCAGGCCATGAAACACATGTCGCCCCAATCTATTTTAACACATAGGAGGGAAAAAGGGAGTTGAGGCGAGAAGTGAAGAGGTAAGGAGCAGGAGTGAAAATGAGTCTAATGGCTGCGCCGTGTGTTGGTCTAGTCATCACTGAAAACCAAACAGTCTAGCTCTCAACATATGGTTTGGGCCCCAGAGTGGTTTGAGACATTTATCTGCGGAGCCACAAGATAATTAATGTGAAAATAATGTTGTTTTTGAAAGGACTTTTCCTTTTTCTTGTGAAATACTGGATTATTTTACCTCTAAAATTATTTATGACACAATCTCGAGAAGGAGAAATCCGTCTTTGGTTTAGGTGCTCACAGCTTGCAGAAATATGCAGCCTGTGATCAGGTAGATACTGCTTTGTCTGACTATATCACAAGAAGCGCTGGTTTAGCAGACCTTAACGACTGGGTGTCCTCCTGCCAGGGCCTTTACGGCTCCCCTGCTGCCCTCCGTCTCATAATGGGCTCGGTGGTGGGACTTGGGCTGCACCTCGATCTGCAGGCTATACGGCCCCGAGCTAGATGGTAACTGCCAGTCGAGTGCTGGCAGGGATGGGCTGTCGGGGCAAAAACATGTCCAACATGTCAACTTAACAGGGAGGGAGGAGGCACTTATCAAAGTAGAATGTGCAGAATGTGAACACAGTGTTATGCCAGGCCTTGTGAAAAACTTGTTTAGAAATTACAAATATGTTTATGAGTCCAGGCAAAAAAATGCATGTATGGATAAATTCTCACTTAATACGTTAATATGCTCAGTTTCCAAAAATACTGAAACAATCTTGTATTTATTTGCAGTTATATGCTTTCATAAATCTTGAGCACAAAAATTCCCCTGAAGCTTTTTTTTTCAGGTTTGATCAGATATTTTTCAGTACTCAAATCTTCAGCTGTTACTCCTTGCTTACCTGACATATTGCTTTGGCTTGGACCAGGAGTATGGGTGTTGTGGAACATCCAGGAACCCGCCACAGTAGCCCTCCTTCTTTAATGGCAGGCGGTGCTCGTCCAGACAGAGCTCCCCTGGACTTAGCTCCTCACCTCCAGGCTCCACCTTTAGGCTGACTGTGGAGTTGTGCTCCTGGCTGGTTTTCCTGGCCTTCATGGGGATTCCCTCCCCAAGCTCAGCCACTCCATCTGTGGTCAAGGCGTTGATGGCTGCTAGAATGGCCGAGTTAGTGTACTGGTTGGTGTTTGGCAGCCAGGTCTCCTCTGTGATGCTAAGGCGAGGGGAGGTCTGCGGGGATGGTCCAGGTGAGTGGTTGGGCGAGTATGGGTAGTGCTTATGCAACGCCCCACTGCCATTGAAGCTGTACTTCCTCTTCGCACCACAAGGGGAGTTGGGTCTGGAGCCACGCTGACCTATCCAGGTGTCATCTGTTACGCTTGTGCGTGGTGAGGTGGAGGGGGAGTGGCGAGGGGAGCCACCAGAGGTGCAGCCATCACCTGGCAAGGCGAGGGTGGAGCCCTTGGGAGACACAGAGGGTGACTGCCAGGGGGAGTTCTGGGGTGAGTTATCATAGTTGTAGGAGAAGCCTGATTCATAGGAGGAGGCATCAGACTGGCAGCTGCGGGATGAAACGCTGCTGGCTGGACTCAGGCAGCTGGGGTCGCGGTAACCATCTGCACTGGGGAGGGTCAGCGTCACTATGGAATTGACTCGCTTGGCAACAGGAAGGTTGCTCTCCTCCACTTCATCCTCAGGAAACTGACCGTAGGCTGTGATCTCGATGCGAGGGCTCTCCAGGGTCGGGGCTCCGTTCGGGCGGATGCTTGAGGATGAATAGTAGCCGGCCACACTCATGTCATCCTGGGTGTCATAACTGTGAGGCTCTGTGACAGACACAGATATAGTAGGGCTGGACTGGAGGCTGTGGTACTGGGAGGGAAGACAAGGGTTGCCCAGTGGGAGGGAGAGACTGACATTTGGCGTGTAGCCATATGCATCTGCAAAGCAAACAGATTGAGTTTGTTGCCATGATAATCAAACACACATTCACTGGCTCCCTTACTGAGAGGGAGACAGTTGCCAAGTTGAGTCTTACGAGAGCTGTTGGAGACGTGTTGCCTATAATGGCAAAAGAACAGCTTGCCTACCAGATTAGGCCCTGGCTATTTCCCGATGCAGAAGGCATGCAAGTTAAATCTTAACCTCATCCAATGGGGATCCCCAAACACAATGAGGCAAGTGACAGAAAACATATCTGATGTCTCAAAATATTCAAAGCAAAGGTGGGGGACAGAATACAAGACCTAAAAATATATCCATCCTAAAAATAACCAAAGGCAAGTCCAGGTGTTTTTTTCCACTCTACATTGCCAGATTTATGCCACTTAATGCACATGCTGTAGCCCATAAACTGTAACATTATGAAAACACACACTGATGCTTTTGTTGGCCAGTTTCATGTTCCAACAGCCATCGAAAATAAACACAGGAGGGACATGATTCGTTTATTTGCATGCTGTAGGCTACCCAGCCAGGGGAAGCTCATGGTGCTGTGCCAACGCTCCCGCTGGGTCATATGAAACTCTGCCCGTCTGTGGCGAAGGCTGAGGTCACAACCAGGGGCAGAGGAGGGGGAACATGGGAACGGGAGTTGTGGTTATATGGTGGCATGAGGCTGGGTGAATGTGACCACAGTGGGGCGCATTGATATGGATGGAGGTGACTGCTGCAGACACACAGATGCAGTCAGACTGCCTGCAGTCACCACAGCTCCTGTCTGCTGTGAATTAGGGGCCCCGCCATAAACACTATGACATCAGTGCAGCACCATATGACTCCTTGTAATAAAAGAAAATTATACTTAAATTTAATACTGCTTGCGGTGTGTGACACAGTAGCACTAAAATGTTTGTTTTCTATAATTAGACTGCTGTGAATTAGCTGACATCCTAACAGGTAGCCTGAGGGGCTGCGCCATCAAATGGCTCTGCTGAATACTGGCATCTGAATCGCTTCCCACAGTGCCATGTCAGTCATTAGCACCGGCTCAATTCTGACTATTTTGGGAACACTTTTTAGTCACGAGAGGTTCACAGGGGCAGAACCACGCCCACGTTGCCCAAATCAACAGGGAGGGGCGCACACTGAATATCTACACCACCACTTTAATACTGCAACTAACTGTAATGCACTGAGGCTGAATACAGGCATTCAGCTGGGAGCAAAGTGCAGCTAAGACCCTGATTCAATATAACATCATAGTTTACTGTATTGCATCCGGGAGTAAAGTGTTAAACAATGATGAAAAGTTGAATAAATGCCACTTTAATAGCTTTACCGCTCTGCGATGATAATAAAGAAAGTCTAATGTAATAAATAAAAGTCAAACATACCCTCTTCAGCAGATTTCATGTTCTTCTTTGAGCAGAGAGCAACGTCTGAGATCAAAATCTGAGTACAGCTGCAGATGGGAGCGATTCCGTATCCATATAGCGGAGTTTATGTATATTCCCCAGCTGTTTGCTCCGGATCCTCTCTCTCACTGTATCACCGCAAACAAATAACGAGAATGAGAAATAACAAAGTAAAAAAAAGCGCTTAGATGAAAAAATAGCTGTTACTACTTCAAAAGGGGGAAAAGTCGCACCCAAAATGGAAAAAATCTAAGAGATGTGCGTAAAAACATTAAAACATGTGGCAGACTGATGTAGACGTGTTCTCTTAGAAAAGCTATTTTCGTCGCTGTGTTGAGCTACCTGACTCTGTGTCGGGGGATCCTGGATCTGTTGGGTCGCTGTGACGCACTGCTCCGGCGCACAGAGGACTTCTGTGCTTTTAAACTCGGGGATCACCTCGGCGGCGGCTGCGCACCGCCCCTCCGCACTCTGACGCATCTAAACGTCCGACCAACAGATGGGTCCACGGAGAGTATCTCTCACACTGGGGTTTCCGGAGGCCAATTAGCGACGCTGGCAGTGAAGCCTGAAGGCTCCAAGATGAGTAAAATAAACCTCGCCAGGATAGAGCTAAATTCAAACCTTCAGTGATTGAACAAAAAAAACTAGAGCTAATCCAGCAGAATTTGAGCCAGCCATGGTGAACATCCCTCTGAATATAAACAGTGAAATTACACACAGCACAGCATAAAACATCATGATTTGTTGGGTGACAAATGTTAAAAGACACCTTGTAACTCAAACTATGTACTCATGCATGACTGACTTAATGAGCATGAACAGAATTAATCTGGAGTTTCCACCCACTATATCTACAGTATCTGTTCCCCTTGGCATCATTTACAAAGGAGTCATCTACTTGCTACTGCAAGATACTGCACATGAAATCTCCCAAATCAAGATTTATGTGCAGACTTATCCTCACAAGCATTTTACATTAAGCTGCTGCCGTTTTCAGCCTGAAAGAGTCATTCATCAACTGGTTCTAGCAGATGGATGTTGGGTTAAAGGCTGCTGGGTTTTCAAGTAGCAGCTGGGGCAGCAGCAGATGTAAGGAAAGGTGAGCTGAGCCTGAACATGCCAGAACATATAGCTCAAGTGCTGCTTCATGAGACATAGCCTACTGTATAAAAAACTTCCTTCAGATGTTGTATTGGGCGTCTCATGGGGTTTTGAAGTTATTGCAATGGCAAATAATTGTTTTTCCACTTCCTCCTGACAGACTGCACGTCTGCAGGGCACAAAACACATAATTATCTATACTTGCATAGAAGTACTATATAAAAATCAAGTCCTATACCCAGTCATTTGACACGCTGAACTGAGAGTCTTCATAGAGTTTGCTCTCTGCGGTTGGTGTGTACATATTCAGCTTCTCTCTCTTCAGCGCATTCAGTCCCATGTAGGCAGGGTTGTTGCTATCTTTGGCAGGTCTGGACCTTTCAGCAGCTGGCAGCAGGCCTGTGGTTTCTGTGATGACAATAGTCACATGGTGGCTCTCAAAGTCTGTCCATCCTTGGAGGTAGAAAGCTACATTACTGCACTACATCTTATCAGCTGACCCTAGTTGGTGTGATTCTTAGTGGTGGTGGTGGACTGGAGGGTCATGCCACTGCCACTCTTAGCCAGGGAGTGTTAATGTGTGTCTTCATTTATAGGCCATAACTGCTTGTTGTCTTATAACTGGAGTGCCCAAACTTATATATTTGCAGCAAAGCAGTTTCCCTTTTGAGATAATTCTATGGTGTGCGTTTTACATTTATTATGGGGATTCTCTTCTGTGTAATTTCCAAGAGTGAATTGGGGGAAATCACTTGCATATCCAATACTTCTTATGCCGGTGCATTGAAAGAGACGCTATATGTTGTAGACAAGGAGATTCCTGCAGGCTGCACTTGCATTCCACTCATTTTTTTAATCAGCACCTCAAAGTACCATTTTGGTCCCTGCAGACGTTTTCCAGAGAATGAATTCTTTGTCAAAAAGACCAGATTTATCCCTTTAGTACATTTCTTGTAGAGCTAAATTTACTGTTTGTTGTTACTGAAGGCATTGATTGCATTAATAATCTGAAAGAAAACTAAGAAAAAGATAAGGGTCTAAAGCCATGCTGGATGCTCTGTGAGGCGGTGCCTCAGCGGTGATTTGAGCTAAATACTAACGTCAGCATGATGACATGTTCTAATGTTTAACAGGTGTAATGTTCAAGGCAAGGTTATTTCTATAGCACATTCACATAAACAACAAGGCAATCCAAAGTGCTTTACATAAAAGCAACGTAAGGCATTATAAAAAGGCATTTAAATACAAGTAAAAAAAGAGCTAAATAGAAAATAAAAACATAAAGATGATACAGTACAGGTTGAGATGATGTGATGTGATCCGCTTTTCTGGTCAAAGTGAGGACTTGAGCAGTCCTGATCGACCGATTCCCAAATGGAAAAGATACTGTAGTTCACTGTCACAGTTTAGCATGTTAGCATGGTAACATTTGCTAATCAGGACTAAACACACTAAACAAATTGTCATACACCAAAGTATTTAAAATGTTTATGTGATGATGGCACTAGATGAAAAGTAAGAGGTTCATCCTTCAGGCGACACGGATGTGTGTACAAATTTTATACCAATCCAAGTAGTTATCGAGACATTCACTCAAACCACAAATCTGTATCTCAGGGTGGCGCTAGTGGAAAAGTAAGAGGATCCTTAAAGTCAGTAGTTGTCTGTGTCCTGTATCAAAATTTTTGACAGTGTGTGCATGTTTTTCATCTTGTGTCTGTATCAACATAGACTATTTCCTATACCCGGAGTATCCACCTATTCAAAGTATAACTCTTTCCCTCTTTTTCTGAGATTTTAGTGATTGGTTGTAGAGAGACTGTTTCAGAAATCAACTCTTAATCCAGACATTTGTCTCCATTGCGCAACAACATGGCATGTACACCCCACATCCAAAGCAATATTCCCTCCTCACCCACTGGGATCTCATTTTGGCAGAGCTCTCTCTCCAACACAGTATCTGAGGGAGTGACGGCACATGTGAAATCCTAGCTGTCTGTTTCATCATGGGGACGTGGCTTGGTGGCTCCCCAGTCATTTGAAGAACCCCACTTGTTTCTTTGACCTCATGGAAATCTCTCACGGGCTGGGGGGGCCTAATTGGGGCAAAAGGGGGGATTGCCACTCCACATAACTGAAACATGTGCTGCAGTAAACACCTACACTCGTCTGCAGTTAATAAATAGCTCTGCTGCTGATTGACTCGTGGACCCTTCTACGTCAGGGCGTTGCTGGGGCTTGTAGTTTTTCCAGCCAGGACTGGTGTTGGTTAGTGGTTACCTTGGTAACAGGGAGCCACAGACCGGATGGATCCAGAGCCACAACTGAAAGAAGCACACTGTAGATAATGAGAAGCAACACCAACATCCTGTGTTGATAATGTAGACACGATAGAGTGAACAGAAGACTCACTTTGATATCTTGTGGGACAACTTTAAATCAGCCCACGTCCAGTCTCAATACTTATTTTTACGAGCCTCAGAGAGTCCAAGTAAAGTCATGGATCACGAGTTTTCAAACTGCAAGTCTCCGAGGTCTCTGGTCTTCGAATTCTGACTATTAAAATGTAACATTTCCCTTCAAAGTAGTTTTTAAAGTTCCCATTTTCACATAACTGAGTCTTTTTAATGTATATGCTTATCAATTAAATAGGAAATGTTCTGCTTGTTGCTGTCAACACTTGAGGTTTAAATGATTTTGCTTTGAAGTCTCAAGTGAAGTCTTTGGGGATCATCTCGTCAAGTCCAGGTCGAATCTCAAGTCCTTATTTTAGAGACATAAAGCTGCACTAATCAATAATGTTATATTAACAATGGATTAGATAACTATGCATAGTATAAAAAGGTTATCTTAGCGATGAACCCACAGATAATTATCACAATCTTTGTTAGCATCTTTCAGCTCATTGTTTTGGTTTAACGGCCCAACACTTCAAATCAGTTTAAAGAGGAACTTCTTCCCAGGCTGAAAACCAGTGTTTCAAGTTTGTTTGGGTGCTGTGTTGCACCTGTAACCACCTAAGGCACAGCATAAGAGTACATGTCTACATTACTGAGGCAAAGTGAGAAGTTTAACCATTGGAGGAAAGTGAAAAGATTTTCAGCTACTGGTAAATTGCCATTTAATAAAAAATACTTTTTACATACGGCATTGAGGGTTTAAGGCAGTGATACACAGGGCAACTGTTGGGCAACATGGATGAGCAGCAATAAATTGGCTCAGTGTTGTCACTTTATTCCCACAGGAACATCTTGCTACCAGGCAACAAGTGAACAGGCCCTGTGGCACCATTTTTTGCCCATTTGTCACAATCGTCCAAGTGATTCTGTTTAACTAAAATATTTAAGATGGTTTAGATGTGAAAACATGTGTTTGCCATCACAAGGCTGTCACATTGTAGCTGTAGCAGGTTTCAATCCCTGAATTCAAACTATGTTTACAGTGACACCTTCATACTGTGCCAATGTGTGACCTTCACTGTGAGCTAACAGTTCAGCTTAGCGAAGACAACACACACACAAAACAACATACTGAGCACTTCATCGTTTATGGTGCAATCTTTTTGGCTAATAACACAATCACATTGCTAATTTAATCAGACTATAGATCATCTTGTCTCTGGGAAACATTAACATATTTTTGATCCCACGTTTCACTGTGATCCTCACTGCTGGGAACATTGCCCAACTGCGTTTTCCAAAGTTTTGCCTGATGTATCATCATTTTAAGAGTCTGGGAGGGGCAAAGTATTGGGGGCTGGCGGTGGTCTCACTGTCACAAACCCACACATTTTTGTTGTCTGCCATCCCGTATGTGCCCACTGCCATACGTTGTGTAGGGCAGCGGTATGACGTTGTTTGGCTACAGTGAGGTGGAAAAGACTTCAACTCACTTTTCTTTCCACAGTTCTAACCCTCAAAATCCAGTGCCTGGCTTTATTTGTGTCTGAACAAAAACACGACGGAACATTGGATAGCGGTGTAAGTTATTCATAAACTAAGAAACAACCGGCTCAAAATGCTGGCTTTCACACCGCTGAATCACATGTTTGTTTTGGAAAAATGAATTGGAAGGAAACTGAAAAAGTATTACTGTACTTCTTTGTATTTTTGAGCCTGCTCGCACACCCATCTCTCACCATAGGTGCATTCGTAACTGCTATTTTATTAAGTGTTTCTTGATCTAGAATAATAAAACATTTTAAATAGTCCCTAAGACCATGAGTTCAGACAGTAAACAGAAAACTGGTTTCAGGGAACATTAAGAAACCTCGCAACCTCTATTGACGACCAAAAATTGGCAGTGACTTCAAAGGGTCTTTGACATAGCCTACAGCTGAAAAGACATGAAATGAAAAGAAAGGTAGTCTGAGTTGACAACAAACAAAAGTGTTTGGTGAGGACATTACATATCACCATGCAAAAACACAACATGAATAATGCTGTTTCTGTCACTGCTTGAGAATGAAATGTTGAGTTTTAGAAGCCAGAAATCTCACCACTGGTGATGTCATGGTTGAGTCACTGGTATTGATCAACCCTGTATTTATATTATGGTCAGTTTGAGCTATTAGGGAGTAAATGTTTCTTTTCACCTTTAAAAAATGTATTTTTTTTTTCTTGGGGTAAGTAGGATATTTTGGTAGGAGTGGTGACCCCCATCACCACACCCCTCCAACATCCCCGCTCTTTCTTACAGGCAGACTTCCTGTCTCCCATCAATGTTCTCCTTTTTTCTCCGCCGCTGCTGTGACGGAATCCCCTGCTCTGTTTCCTGTTGTGAAGGGCCCGTTGCTTGGTTACAGCCAAAGGAGGAGCCGAGGGAGCGTTTGCAGAAGGCCGGGAGGTTCATTTTCTCTCCCTAACGGTCTCAAAGCTGGCGTGAAGCTCGGGCACAACACTAAGCAACAGCTCCCCAGGGCACATAGCACTATACTATCTTTCAGTAGTTGGCCATGGTTGCGCAGGCTACACGTGTCCAAGGTCGTTTAAATAAATCAAGAATTGAGCTAGTGTAACTGCAGGGAAGTGTGATTACTTCAGACCAGTTTGTTACTGTGGTACACACTGAGGTAGGCCTGTGGAACAGCCTGTTGATATGAGGAAGTTTACATGATTCTGGTCTAAAACACATTCTTATAAACATTACTAGTGATTGTGACAAGCAAAATAAGTGTAAAGATACCTGTGGATTTAGCTTTTTGAACATATTTCTTCACTTTGGTTAAAAACAAAAGAATGCAAACACAAAAAAAGCGCACATACACTGTGTTTTTGGTAAAGAGGATGATAATCACATAAAAATTATTTCCATGGGTCCACAAACAATCATTCAGTGGGAGGAAGAGAACAAGAACAATACTACTGAATAATTAGTAGTATAATTTTCAAAAGGTGTGATGTTAATTAGTATGAACAATTATTTATTTATTATAATAAATAAAACAGAAAAGGCAAATGTGCTCGCTTACACAGAGAATTGTAGGTGCAAACACTTTAAACAAGTAAAAAGATCTTATAATAAAAAATGTTTGCAAGTGAGACATGTTAAGGGGGTTGATATCAAAGTTGAAGCACTTATAGCAGTTGAGGTGAAGTGCCAGAGACAGTTAAAATAGGTTCACATATCCTAAAATGTTAGTTGCTTGCATGGGAAATGGGGAGATGATGTTAAAGTTGAAGCACTTAAAGGGTGAAGTGTAGAAGACAAAAGCAGTTGAAATTATCTTAAGTGTAATTATGTTTTTATTTAAGCCCTGAAGGCAGTTGAATTGTCAGTTTGTATTTAAGTAATGAGCTGAAAGCTGTTTAAGCGCCAGAGATAGAAAGAAGTAGGATAGGATAGAAGTGTCAGCGGTGAGATCAATTGCCAAATATGAGAAGCCACTTAGGCCAAAATTGAATACTTCGCTTGGACATATACTCATCATGCACATACATACACACTCGCACATACAGAAAAAGTAAAAATGTCAGAATGATGCTGAAAGCAGTTGAAGTGTCAGTTGAAAAGTGATAAATTAAAGCTTTAATCATGTTTGAAAAGTTATCTTGAACATTTTCCAGCAAAAAAGTTGATTCTGTTTGCAATTTTGAAGCTACAGCAGCTGCTATTCTACTTGTATGAATTTTGTATATGTATATATAATTGAATGTTGGACCCCTGGAAAGAGAAATAGTCTGATCTTCCTCAAGACATCATAACTCTTCTCCACCAACAAGCCAGTCAGAGAATATCATTACCAGTAACTTTAGCTCTCCTGGTTGTTGTTTCTTAATTCAAACAGGGTGCCGTGGAATTTTATAACATGCTCAGTCAGATGGAATATGGCTACAGAAGCCACTTAGCTGCTTAGTAACAAGATAGCATAATGGCATAATGGCAGGTCTACCTCCACTACATAAAAAAGCAGCAAAAATGTGGGGGAAAAACACTAATTTGACAAATGTTCTATGCATCTGAAATTTCTGCTGCACAAGTGTTTTGTATCCCACTTATGGGCTGGATAAAATCTAGTTTAGAAAAGAAGTGTTTTTCAAAAACGCACCATTGTGCAGGACTTCAAATTAAGTTATGGAGTCATTTTATATGACAGATGGCAATTTCCTGTACAAGAGATGAAACATTGGATTATTATCTTCCATTATGACAATGTTCACAGCTCCACTGTTGAGTTTCTGCACTTACACAATTCATTCTGTGCGTGCATCTGTGTCAGCAGCTTCTACGTCAGAGAAAAGGCTGAGAGTTGTTGGCTTTGGACTCTCATTTGTGTAGGTTTTACATGGAGCATGCAGTGAATGTATGTAACCACATTTGACTGTCAAAGTGCTGCAGGGACTGAAAATGATATATATAGATATAGATATATATATATATATGAGCTCTAGTATTGCTATGTATAGTTCATAACTAAACCTACATCTCTTGCTAAGGAACACAAACAAACAATAGCCCTTTAATGTGAAAACTCTCTATATAACTCGCTATATAATGTCATCTTAAATTTGATAACTCCACTTCATGTGTTCAACACATAATGTTTAATATGACGCCTTATATATCCAGGTGTGAATGAAGAAATACTGTAACTGTTATATAAAAGGCTTTTCACAAACTACCTATGATGGAACTGCATCATTCATTCATATATATATTATGATATGTATGGTCAGTATTTGTCTTTTTTTATATTAATAATCTGATATTATTGTAATAGTTGTTTGATCTCTGTCTGAAAAACATTTTCTTTTCTGTGACCAGTTTTTTCCTCTTAAAGAGCACCTTAAAGGTTAGCTGGAATTACTCACTTACTTAAAGGCTGCGGCTGGAGTGATGATGGGTGTAAAGACGAGTCAACACATCACTCCTGTGGTTGCATCCTCACAGTTTTAATTAAATGACCAAGAAAAGTCAATCAGAAGTATTGATGCCAAGACCTCAAACTTATCAAATCTGCATTACATTTTAAGTCTTGTCAAGGTCACTATACCCATAGAGGCTTTTAATGAATGTATTTATCTATCTTCATGGCTTTAGCACTGTTTGTATTTTTTAAACCACAGTAAAATGTTTGCTCATGTCATAAGCTCATACAAATTTGAAAAACATCAAAATATACATGGAGAAGACCCAGACTGATCTCAACATAACAATAAAAACACAACAAAGACAGACTGTTAGTACAATAAATCATTAGTCACATGAACATTATCCGGCCCATCAAAGCTCCTCATGCAGCACATTAACTGCAGCTGGTTTGGAAAACACACCACAATGATCATCCACAGACGCACATGCTGTAGGAACAGATAAATACAACCTATAGTGCGGCACTTCTTTCCCTCCCGTGGATGTGCAGCTAGTGAAAACAAGATGAAAGAGAACATTTCTTAACATGTTAAAGCCATCAGACCATCACATTCATCACTGGGTCACAAACTACTTCCTCCTCTCTGGGGAGAAATTGATAACACATTGTCTGTTTGCTCAATGACTGCCTTTGATTACATAGTAAAACATCTTTTTTTACTGTATACATTAAATGTTCATCCACAATGTTTGCATTTAAAAGTAAAATCTGTAATTACTATATGGCTAGGCTTATTTGAAAACTGTTTTCCAACTGTGGCTCTCTTTACATAAAGCAAGATGTTATTTTCAAAATCCCCCCCAGACAAGTTTGTTTTAAATTACATCTACTCATACTTCATTTCAGAAGTTTAAAGATCCCCTCCAGACATGTTTTAAACCTAAAAATACTCTGCGTTCAATAACAATTCAATTCAAGTTCAATAACAAGTTATGTCTAATGTTTTAATTTCTACAAAACAGTTTGACTAACCACTTAAAATTACATCTCCCCTTTTCCCCCTCATTGAAAAATCCAGAATCAATGAATTGTCAAATATTAGATGACTCCTGCTTTACTCAAAATCCCTTTCCCAGTGTTGGTCCACTGGAGGTTTCAAGTTTCCACACCACACTTGTGGAAGTTGCATACTTGACTACTAAATTTGTGAGGTTACAAAATCCTACTAGTACATTCACAACTTAAACGGAGCTTTAAGTTGAGCACAGAAAAACTTTCCACCTTGAGCAGATGAAAGTGTCATACTCTGCACGTTCTGTACATCATTCTGCACAGTGAAGCTAGAACATCCAGGTAACAATAAGTAAAACAGATCTGAGTGGAGAGGGACATCAAGGTGTTACTCAGATAATGGACATTTTGATATAAAAGCTGTCAGTATGTATGTAACGAGTACCAGAGGTACTAAAGCAATACTCATTAAACCTAAATACATTAGTTTGTTTTGTTTGTCTGGGTTTAACATTTTGAAAAAAAAAAAATGTATGTCCCATCTTCAAAGTAAGTACCCAAAATGTACTTTTCTAAACATTTATTAAATTCCCATATATAAATGCACTGAAAAGCAATGGTAGTTTTCAAGTTTTCATATTCAGGTATGAGTCTCTGAACATTTATATAGTACTTATAATCTCAGCAGAGCATAGTATTTTAATAAACTAAACTTGGAGCAATAGCTCTAAAGGTCAATACTGTCATTTTAGCTGACGCTCCTTTACTTTGAGCCACAGCCTCTTGTCAAGGGTTTAGTCTCTGGCTCCATCTAGTGGCCACATGGTGAACTTCACAATGAATAAAACTTCAGTTGCCATTGATTGAAAAAGTGAACTTATTGGCATGTGGCGTTTATTTTTTTTATTATTCATCAATATTATAAATAAAAAGACAAACTGTTAGAAATTGCAGTGTAGGACACAGAAAGCAAGTTCACGAGAAATCAAAGTTTATACATCACATACACAGAACAAAGATCTAAACAGCACACAGGAAATCCACATTTGGAATTGCTTTTCATAAGAATGTAAATCATAAATTTTAACCCTAAATGCAATTTGCATTAAAGTGTCGCTGTCACACCAACTCTTTCCCAAATAACTACATCCACTACTTAGTGTAGCTACATTTTACAGTCCGGTTGCCACAATTTAAATAAAATAAAACAACTGTTTAGGAATGATCAACCTGAGATCAACTCAATTATGATTCAGAAAGAAAATGACAACCTGACTTATAACATAGCTAAACTACACCCTGTTTACAAAACTGTACTTTAAAAAGATCCGTTTCCCCCCCATCTCCATTTTTTTCCCCCCACTGTGCTCAAAACATTCTCAACATATACAGTACATGGAGGGAATGATAAAACTCATTCCTCCTTAAAAAGAGCTGAATGTCTGCTACAGGCCAAAGACACATCAAAGCCCAGGGAAGCCATATTGTCAATAAAGGCCTAAAAATACACAGGCGACTATGTTTTAGGCTCCTTTGTTTGTAGTTTTACTATCAAAAAAAATTTCAGAGAAGCTCCTGAAAGTTCAGATCTGGCTGCAGAGGTAACAAAAACGAACGCTAACCAAAACCTCTGACTGATTGCTTAACATCCAATGCTGTGAGATGCAGTTTCAGCACATTAAAATACATCATAATGAGGCACAAATCGAGCTGCCATGTCCTGACGAGAGGACTGGTGGCCACTGACAGACATCATAAAATGTAAAATTATGCAGTATAATCAAGGCCAAAAATGCTGACGATACAACATTTAATGTTGCTATGGAGTGCTGGTTTTATACTACGGAGATGTACTGATGAGGTCATATACCACAGTCTTAAAATTGTAAAGGACATAAAGCAGCAAATCCACAGAAGTTCCAGCATTTTTCTAACATCTTTGTGAATGTCATCGTAAATGGTCTTATTGTTGTAATGCACATTTGTACAAGAGTTAAGCGCAGTGAGGATTACATTGACAGCAGTAGTAATCAAAGCTGCATGTAGAGGCTATATTTACAGTGATGTAGGAATTCCCTTACAGCAACTCAACACTGTTCACAGATGCAGGCCAGCAACTGTAATTAATACCTAGAATAAAAAATAACACTTAAAAAAAGTCTGAACTCCACATATAAAAATTTAAACATTGAAAGTAATGCATCAGAACTGTATAAAATGACACTTGAAGCTGATTTGTCTGAAAATCTTCAAAACAAAAGAAGGCAGATTGACCCTTTCTGACAAAATGGGATCAAGTTTTTCAGGCCTTCTAAAAGCAGTCACTCACACCATTTTGCTCTTCTTTCCGTCACTTTATAGGTCTTTTTTATGTGCTCCGTTTTTTTCAAGTTATCCCAAGTCTCAGTGATATAATCCAAAAATCAATTATTTAATTTCTCCCCACTTTCGATTGTTCCAGTGCTTCCTTGACCTCCACAGGTCACCTGTCCATCACAGAGGATCACTGAGTAAAAAAAGTGCTGAAAATAGAAAGCTCGGTGAAACATGAAACTACAAAAAAGCACAAGTAATCCAGGTTTGGCTCATGAGGATAGTTTAGAGTAGCTCGGAGGTGAAAACTTGCGCTTCAGGTATTTGATTATGTAGAGAGGAAGACAGCTGACCAACGTGATGGCGGACACCTTCCACAGGAAAGGCCAAGTTGTGATGAACGACAAGTCTGGGAGAGCAAACAGAAGAAAGGATGTTTAGGTACACATGTCTTAGTATTGTGCTGTGATGAGTACGGGCAAGTAATGCAAGAGTCAACATCAAGGGATAAAAGCATAATGAACAGTTGCGATACAGCTTAGAAAGTCATAATCAGATGCTGGTCTTGATGGGTTGAATCCAATCACAACATGTTGGATTTATCTGTCACTGCACTGAAAACTAAAACCATGGAATGAATGATATGACACAAACAAGAGAAAGAAGGCCGATACTGCATACGACTCAAATGAAAAGGAAAAATGATGACACAGTCAAACATTATTGGAACATACAGAAACCACAAATACAGAGAGATGGATGAAGGAATGAGGAGATGAATTTACAGGCTGCACACCTACCAAGGAAAGCTCCAAAGGACACCCTGCCTATGCCTGTTGCCAACATACAGAAGCAAAAGAAATCCAGCAGAAATAAAGTGAGTGCAGTACAAAGGTTAGCAGTAGAGCTGCAACATTTTTTTTTCTCCAATTAGTTGTCAGATTTTAAATTAAATCGACAACGGTTTTGATAACTAGTTAATCTGAGTAAAAAAAGAAAAAATATTTTATGTTTTCTTTGCTCATCTATGACAGTAAACTGAATATATTTGGAATGTGGACAAAAGAAGACATTTGAGGAGGTCATCTTGGGGTTTGGGAAACATTTTTCACCATGTTCTGACATTTTATAAACCAAACAACTAATCGATTAATTGAGAAAATAATCGTCAGATTAAAGGACAATGACAATAATTGTAAGTTGCAGCTCTAGTTAGCAGTGAAGAGAGAAACAGAAAGGGACAGGGGGGGGGGGGGGGGAGCAATAAAAGCACAGAGCTGAGGTCTGAGCTACTGCACAACACTTGGGTGTCAGGTTACATCAAAGTCAACACAAAGCAGGCTCATTGAAGAAGAGCAGGGCCCCTTAAAGTGCTCAGCCCATTCAATACTGAACTTAATAAACCAGAAGTAAAGTTATTCTTCTACTGTGCTGAAAACCGACTGTTAATTGCAGTAAGCAAACATTAGAGAAAGTCAGCAACATGCTACATAAAAGCACAATTAGTTGATTAATCCATTTAGCCAATTGATGTAAAAATTAATTGGTAAATGCTTTAAAAATTTATAATTTCCATCATTTCTCAAGCAACAATGACAAACATTTGTGGGTTCCAGCTTTTTAAATGTGGTAGTTTGCTGCTTTGTCTTTGTCACTTCTGATGATAAACTGAACGTCTTGTGGTTTTGGATGAATTACTTGGACAAAACAAGCAATATGAATACTTCTAGTCCTGGGTTCTGGGAAATTATAATGAATATTTTCTGATATTTTACAGTTTTGTTTTAGATTTGGAATTATTTAGAAAATAATTGAGAGATCAACTGATCACAAAAAGATCCAAAAACTTCAGAATCAGAAATATTTATGAGAAAAGTTACATGTGACAGTCCTTTTGTAGGTTGCAGTTTAATCAAGCTTGAAACTATTCAAACATATTTCATAAATGCATTTCTAAATCAAAAAAGCTTTTTAAAAATATAATTTCAATATAGAAGAACTAGAATCCTCTGCGGGGGGGTTAATACCTACCGAAATACTCGTTGAGGAAGGCGAGTGAGGCCAGGTAGCAGCCCAGGCTGAAGAACTCAGCCACCACCATGAGCCAGTGCCAGGTACGAATAGTCAACGCCACCATCAGCAGTTCGGTCAGGATGAGCGCTGTGAAGGAGATGGCGACCACGTGCACAAACTCCGACTCAAACAGCACCAGAGCGCCGTACATGAGGATGCCACCTGGTGGCGCCGAAGGAAACAAATTGACCACATGACATTACCAGACCAACTTAGTTTACTTGCTTGAAGAAGTGGAAAAGGCTAAACTAGAATCAATGTTGTGTGTTGTGTTTGAGTAAGTTTTCTTAAATTTTAGCATTCTTCCTCAGGTCTGCCAGAGAAAGTACAAACAGTTGACTGGGACATTGAGGTAAGGATTAATGTGTCTGGAGATAACGACTGATTCAATAAGATTATTTATTAGGGTAAAAGATGGACAATGTGCTCCAGTGTGTGTCACTTTGGTTAACATCTTTAAGCGTCCAGACACTCAGTCATCTTTGGGCGCCTACCTTATCTTGATAGCCTTTCATTTAATCATAACAATACACAAATTGAGGTTAATAGCGTATAACTGATCACATAATTGCTTTTTCATAAACTCTTTATACAGTGCATTCCAGCGAGTTAAACTCTGTAATAAATTAAGTGAGATTGGTCCCTAATATTTTCCTCCTCTGCAGTCATTCTCTCATATCGTCTTCATGTTTCTTTTCTTTTTTTCTTCCTACCACAGACCTGGTATTGGCCTTTAATTAAAAACCTCGAGCTGTCAGGAAGTCACGCTCGAGCAGAAACATAGATCTTTCTCACACGCTGCATGGCTTAGCGATTACAGAAATATCGATTTACTGCACAGGAAAAAAGCCTGCATGTAAAAGCGGATGGCGGTTGGAAACCTAAGATACTGAGAAACTGACAGAGTTTGAAGGGGCCCAAGGACCCTGGTATTGGGCACAGAAGAAATTATGAAATGGTGGATGAAGACTTGCTTCGACAGTCTGCAATTCCAGACTGGTCGTTCTTTACGGACACAGACATGTTTAAAAACATATGTTGTTTTCATGAAGCTAATGTGTTCATCTGCCAGATAAAATGACTGATGGTCAAATATAACTTTTGAGTCCGTGCACCTTACCTTGATACACGCTGATTAAAACCCAAATAAGGAAAGTCTTGAAAGATAATGAACGCCCCTGAAAGAGAGAAAACGCCATGAGTGCAACATACTGTCGATCACACGGTAAGCTCAACTACATGTTGTGGATAAAGAGAATTCATTTTGTCAAGTACACATATTTCAAAAAAGGTCATACCTTAGTGAGATCTTTATAAAGCTCAGGGTATAGAAGAGCCATCTCTGGCTTCACATCTTGATCCAGAACCAAGGAGAACACAGGAAACATGGTGTACATGGTGGCGTACCTGCACAGAATAAAGCAGTGAGCAAAACATCATCTGTGCTGTGTTATTGTGAGGCTGTTAGATTTTATTAGCTTTTTATATCTCAGTTGTCCAAAGATTAAAGTATGTAATTAATAACTTTGGGATGCTAACAGGCAACTAAAAGATTGTCAGTATAGCCAGCAAGTTAGCTATACTGGATAAACTGGGTGTATCTGGCAGGTGGTGGATAAAATTAAAACAATAATTCCTTTTATCCCCTCCATAAAATTAAGTCATAACCAAGACGGTTTGTGGACATAAAAAAAAAAAAAAAGGTACATACCCAACCATGAGGAAACCCTGGTACAAGGGGACAGAGGCAAAGAAAAATACAGAGGAGAAGACAGCCTGAGGATAGAAAACAAAAATTGTGTCATGAAGTTGCTTAGTTGGGAACCTTACTGTCCACAATGTGGAAAACTGTTTATTAATTATTACTGTACCTGCATTGCAGAGATGATCATGCCTCTGTGCATGACGAACTGACCTAACGCTGCAGAACGCTTGTAGCTGTTCCTGCCATGAACCATAAGCAGACGTCCAATGTGCTTAAACTGGGTGATGGAGAAGTCTGCGGCCAGAGACGCCTGCTTCCCTTCCTGTTTGCACACAAAGTATAAAGATGTAATGTTACTGCTGGGTTGTAAAGCAATACCATTTAAGTACCACCTGCTTCTAAAAAAAAAAATAAAAAAGGCAGATACAGTACGTTTCACTTGGGTTTCAAAAGGAGACACGGACAATGTTACTTCGCCTGTTGTTATAAGATATGTCTTTGTGATGTTAACCGTTGTTCCAGTGCTCCTAAAAGTTCTTTACACTTTAGATGTGTGGCCTTCAGGTAAAGATACCACCCCTGAAAAAAACGCTTAATATGTTTATTCAATATTATTATTACCTTTCCTTCAATTCCAATACCACAGTCTGCAGCCTGGATCATACTGACATCATTTCCTCCATCACCTGTCACATAACGGGAAAAACACAAATTAAGAAAAATCTATGCATTAGGTTATAAAAGTAACAGACTTTGCTGGGTGCTTCTCTTAGAGAGCTTTGACTGCCACCTTGTGGATATAAGAAGTAATGTATATTTGCTCTGGTTTCTGTGTGTGCTCGCTACAGTAATACATGTCTTCCTTGCTTAAAAGGTCAGTGCAGTTAAATAGCAGAGACATCTGGCCAATAGAGGGTGATAGGGCACTGCCCTCCTCCAAAATTTTTTAAATAAATTAAATTTATTATCATCATCATTAGAATGTTTTTTTTATAATTATGCAAATGTTCCAGACAGTTTCCTGCCTGTGAATGTCATAGACCAGTCAGTCAGGTTGTGTTTCATGGAGTAACAAAACACAGTCTGGTTGAAAATCTGATAGACTTTCATGTTAGGGGAAAAAGTCACCCGCCACCACAGTTGAATAGTGAACGGAGATAAGTCACTTCATCAGTATCAACCAATTCATCTTCTCAATCTGGACTGGACATTTCAATCTGTCCAATGGATTGTTTTACACATTGTCTAACACTTTCCTCCCTAAGGAACTGAGCTGAATGTTCACAGACATTTTTCCCCCCCTGACAGAATTTCCCAGGCTGTCTATGGACCGAAGCCAACAACCGTCCAGTCTCGCAATGCTGCTGCCGCGTTGTCTGTCAACACTCACCGATGGCACAGGTTCTGTTGGCTGTGTGCTGCTGTAGCAGTGTGACGATCTGGGCCTTCTGAGTCGGGGAGCAGCGACAGCAGACCACCGCTGGACACTGACATGCCAGCTCTACAAATTCATGCTCATAATACCGCAAACACACCTGCAACACAATAGAGCGGTCTATCGGGATCAAAACCTCTCACCACAAAAACGGCTTCTTCCCTTCTGCAGCTAGCCTCATTAACAAAGCCTGGGTCCCCCCCTGATACCCCCCTTCCCTCTCAAACACTGTATATCTTTGCACATGTAAATATTATTTCATTTCATGTTAATTGTTATTATTTTATATTTTGTCAATTTATACATTTATACCGTCTGTCTATTCCATATTTATATATTTCTACATTTATTTATGTCAACTGTATGTCTGTCTATGTGGTGATTTGTTTTCCTCTCCAAATGTTCATGGAACTTCACCGTATTCATTTTGGCTGAGAAGTACTTTATAATCTCTCATCGCCTGTTTGGCTGCATCCTCAGCATCATCTGCTGTGCAAGGAAATGTCACTGTGTACTGCACTGTGTTGTAGTACCTCTAAGGAGTCTCCAGAGATGACCAGAGCACAGTCATGTTTCCTTCTGAAGGCGTTGAGTTCCAGATGGGCCTCTCCTCTGTTTGAGACCTGATCGAGAGCCACATAATACAATTAGCTGTGAGGATTTTATGGCTTTTTTTATCTCACATTAAATATGCGCTTTAGGATTACATTAAAGCACTGGGAAAGAGGGTAAGTAAACAGCATACCGGTTTGAAGACATGGATGTCTTGGTTTCTCGAGACCAAATGGGAACTTTTGGCAATGCATGTAGCTGTCTCAAGCTTGTCCCCTGTCAGCATCCAGATCTATGTAAAGAAAAAAAAAAAAAAGAACATACAGGATATAAGATGTGGCATTTAAAGGCAAAGAAACTGAGTGAAATTCACTTTCAGGGTAATTTGTCATCTATTCAGTTGCTTTTACTGATGAATTAAGACAATTGGGCATGTTTCTTCTTAATGGTGTCTGGTTAAATGGATATACTTTACTATTAATTACCAGAGGGAGATTTTCATTCTTTTTGTGTTTCTGATAACATTTCTAAATCAATGCTAAGGTGTGTGGGATTCATTTCTCTCCAACAGATCAGGCTTATAGTGGAAAACTTTTTGGCCAGCGACAGAATTTACCAGCAGACTGGTGGCCGGTGTTTAATTTCCTTGCAAACCTTGATGCCAGCGTTCCTGAGCAGCTCCAGGGTGGGCCTGACGTCTGCTTGTAGCTGGTCTTCCACTCCAGTTAGACACAGAAGCTCCATCTCCCTCTCTAGGCTCTCTACCACTGCTGCAACCTTCAGGGCTCGGTCATGGATACTCAGCTTTGCCTGGTTGTAGCGGTTCTGCACATACAGGGAAGTGGACAGAGGAGAAAATATGGGGACAAAATTGTGGGGTAAAACAGCTGCAAAGGACCAGGCAGTTGAGAAATAAATGTGTCAAAGTCAGCAGAAATAAAAAGAGGGAATGGTGAACAGTGTTGCTGAATGTTGCTCAATGTTTTATATCTGAAGGGAGAAAACAAGCACATAATAATCAGGTTTGAGTTTTATTTTTATTATTACGACAACCAAGATCCAAGAGGAAATAGTCTAATGTTGCCATTATATTCATACTGTATAATACTAACCTCTCATTCCATATCAATAAAACATGAGATCCATTGAAATACAGGACATGCTTGTATGGAGGGCAGGATAAAAGAAGCATGTACCACACATTTTGTAGTGTTCATCCATACCTCAAAGTCCTGATACTGCTCCTCAGACAGAGACTTCTTGGCCACCACCAGCGTCCTCAGGCCTTCTCTGGCCATGTTCCCACACTGACAGAGAGGAGAGGATGATGTTGGTAAACACAGGTACACAGAGTTTTTTTTTTAAACTTACATTTCACATATCAAGTAGTTGTCTGAAGCTTTATTTCGCTGCTGAATTGGAAGGTTTTGGTTATTTAAAATAAATGGTTGTGGATGTTTAATTACGTCTTTTCCCCAAGATGAATAAATATCAAATACAGGGCAGATCATCTGTTCTATTAAGAACAGGAGCTGTATTAAGCACACCATGTACAGTGCTGTCATCAATAGCAGCATATTGTTACCAACACCAAAGAAATCAATAGTGAATAACATAGCCTCTGGTGAAATTCAGAGGACACAGTAAAACAAAGGGATGGATAGCGGTTTATTTTTGATATGAAACACCGATGGAGTGAATCTGTTCTGTTGATTGGTTATTGACAAGCAGAGTAACTGCAGCGGCAGCTGATTTGACAGTGGGATATTACAGCCAACAGGACATTGTTAGAATATGACATACTGTAATTACTTCAACTTTAAGTAGGTCACTAATTAAATCAAACACAGCCCCCAGTGCTAAATGACTCAATAATGCCAATATAATTATGAACATATGCACACAAGACCTTCGACCACCAAACCGCTATAGACACGGCCCGCTGATCTCTCAAATGTCCTCAATAAGAGGGTACTGGACTACAAAATTATCCATAAGCATATGTTTATTCAACATGAGATTACATGCTTGTCATTTTGCTAATGTCCTCATCCAGAGTGGCTCATTTTCAGTGAACAGATAAAGGTTTATGATCTTGCTAAAACACACTTTAAGATTAGACATGGCTGCTGACGGACTTGCTGCTGGGTCCAACCAGCCAATTAAGCTTAACAAGAGACAAAAAAATGTTTTCACAAAAATAACAAAAAGGTATTGCGTTTGCTGAGGTGTTCCTGAAGCTATTTTCTTTCTTTCCAGCTACTAGAAGTTCCTAATTTTCTTAGTATGAACACTGATTGTTCTGAGTATACTTTTTATTTTTCAAATATTCTTCCCGGATTCCTGTCATATTGTTTAGTATTAAATTACAATAAACCGAGTCAGGCACGCTAACCCCAGACTTGTAATTCAGAATTGAGATATCAGGAATTTCTCACATTGACTATATCTTGATGAAAAGAGTAACAGGAGTATCAACAGACCTTTGGCAAAAAGGCTGCAAAGCCACCACTGCTGGAAGTTACATCTACATAAAATCCAAAATAATAGTACCATCCAATCAGGTAATTTACATAGTGCTATTTAGTGCGTTTCTATCCGTTTCACTTTTATAAGAAACTGCTCCACAAATTTGACACCACGAAAGTTGTTAACTTAAAGGTGTGGAAATAATCAGATGAGCATTGAGAATAACCAATGTGTAAAGACTTCCAAGTCAGAATTATAATAAAGAAGTTTTCCTGTACTTCTCCCCTAGAGTCTCTTACCTCTTCTTCCAACCAGTCGTTATACTGGACGATGCTCGCCATGGCAACATCAGCACCCTTCATGTAGAAAGTAATGTCTCCTGTTGATTCCTCCTAAATCAAATTACAAATCTCAATTAGTACACTTCCTGTGTATAAGTGCAGAAAACTCTCAACAGAACATTATATATTTCTACGATAATCATCATGCAGCATGTAAACTTCACCAGCCAGGTTCCATGCAGTTCAAAAGATACAAGAGGGCACAAAGCATCAAGGTGATAGTGGGTTTCACACCAAAAGAACTACAATATGTAAGTCTGGTTTTATGATTGCACATGAATCAGCAACGAAAACACCACACAGGAAGGAGCATCCACACATCATATTGTTATATACAAGTTCCACACCCGGACGATGATGCCCATCCTTTTGCTCTCAGAGGTGAAGGGGAAGATCTGCAGGATGTAGAAGGAGAGAATCTGTCCAGAAGGAGTCTTCAGCTGCAGGGAGGTCAGGTCTCTGTTCACCAGGGTGAGGCCGACACTCTCTGTCCATCGCACCAGCTCCACCTGAGGAAAACATAAAAATTAAAACTGCTCACAGAAGTGTAGAAGATAACAAACTTTGACATTTTGAGCCCTACACAACGAAACATATGCTCCAACTTCAATACATAGCAGGGTGACAAATCTAGCCAATTTTACACTACCTAGATTGATGAGGTACATGTAACTTAAGGTCCCAGTGAAACTTCAAACACCTGACTCCTTCAACACAAGGGTATAATGCACTGAATCCATTTTTGCAGTTTTATGCATTTACGTCATTACTTAATATTGAAAAAGCAAACAAGAAATGTTCGAGGATTTAAATAAATACATTTATGGATAACAAGTGACAATTTATATATATATTCATAATTTAAGGATCATCACTCTTTCCCAAATATAAAAACAGGTTAACAAGGAAATTGACTTTATGTAGAAAAGAAAATCCACAACAAATGCAGTCCATGAGCTGATTGAGTCCAATTCCACTTGCAGTACAAAGACAAGGCATGAGAGAGTTACGGTATCTCCAGAGCTGCCGCTGAGCTCTTCGCATTCAGCTCCAGATAAGCGTTTTTCTGTTTCTCTTTCCTCTTTTTCTCCTCAGCAGGAACTGCGGTCCCCGAGTGAGCGCTCAGCTGCACACGACTCAATTCTCAATGGGTTCATTTTCAATTTGCTCACTCAAAGGTTGTTATTATACTCTGACCTACAAATTGGAACTTCCTGTTAATACTCCATCATTTCTCCTGCTCCCCCTTTGAGCTCCGTAAAAAGGCCTGCCTATATTTACTTAACACACATCTGTGTGTCATTATCCTGCTGTGTGTGTGTGTGTATTTAGCTACACACTCAAATGGACACATACACCCGTGTGCTGAAGATCCGAAATCTATTTTATCGGTTCTACAGAGACTATTTAAAGCTTTGTCAACTTCAATACAAACTGCACGTGAACCATGTACTACACCAGTAATAGAAAAGACCACTTTATGACAATGGCAAACTGGAATAAACAACCAGATCACAATCATTTCGGCTGTGGTCACAATGTTCTTGTGATCATGTAAATCTCAATGGTAGCACTGCCTTTAAAATTAACAGCAGCTAAAGCATGTCATGATTAAAATGGACCCCTAACAGGTAAATTCTTCAAGAATAGTACATTCAAGAACTGATTTTAGACTATTTCTACTCGACTGAAGATCAGAGCTCAAAAGTAACAGCATTTTTGGATATATATAAACCACTTTGTTCTCCCTGTCCTTGCCGGTAACTACTTGTGCTTTGTAAATACATTTGGGAAAAAGAATCTTCTTGCTACGCAAGAGTTAAAACTGATGTACGCTACTATAAACAGCAAGACAAATAGTGTGTGATAAAAAAAGTTCTAAACCTATAAATATCACAAATAACGTCCATGATAATACTTAAATAGTCTAAACCTAACAAAGAGAAGAGAAGCGTCCCAGTATTTAGAAAGAAGAACTGTGTACAAAATACAGTACTCTCAACAGTGGAAAAAACAAATGTACCTATTCTTTGTAGATGAGTATTTAGATCTATATTAGATTAACAGGAGAACGAAGCCAAAAACAACATCAGAAGGAAGAAAGCGAGACAACAGGAGCATACAGGACAGACTGGCATGGTACTTTAGAAAATAAGTGCAGAAAATCACCTTTTAATATCAATACTGATATAATATTATAGTTCATTGTGGAATACTGTTTTTTTTTTATGTTGTTTTACCCATTTTAGTTCATGAGTACTTATTGCCTCTGTTCTGTAATTAGTGCTGGTTAATTTAAATGGAAGCACTTTAATTTAATGCTTTTAGAGACAAATAAAAAGAACCTTGAATCGTTTTTAGGTTTTACCTTATTGCTACAGACAAAAATGACTTATTTGCCACAACTGACAAGCTCTAGTTAAATGTATAGGAGGACATTATTCCTTCTAGTGTGTGCATGTATATTACTATATGTGATTATATCTGTTAACATTTTTGTCATCAATCTTTTATTATTGAAATATAGAGTCTAATTGCACCAATCCATTATTGGAAATGAGAAAGCACCTGCTTCCCCGGACATGGCAGTCATTAAAAGCTACAGTGAAATGCTCCTGTCTGATATTACAAGGGTCAAAGGTTACAGGAGGACTTTGTTCACAGCATGGCTGACCAGCAGGTCATCTGACCCGTGTTCTGACCTCGGCAGTACGCCCACTTCATCTCCTTAATGACAGCTCATTACATTAGAGAGGCTGAGCAGAGAGCCAGGGCCAAACAAACTATCGCTAACAGAGGTACGGTGGCCAAGTTCTGACGCTGCAGTCAATGAGAGTGAAGAGACGAGGAGAGAGAGGGTGGAAATGAAAGAACAGACAAAGAACAAATTATATAGTTTAAAGGAAGGGAGAGCTCCACCAACAATCACAGACCTCCACCTCTCATCGTCTCTAAGAGAAAATTAAATATTGATCAATCCAAGCAATGTGAGAAAACGGAGAGAGGGGAGATAGAGCAGAGTGAACAGGAATATAAATAAATATATACATCAAACTCAGGGGGGAGGACACAAAATGGAAAACTGAGATTTATCTTTCACCACCTTTTTATCTTCATTTTGAGTGCTAGACTTGGCTGGGCGTTCAACACAAAGTACGCAAGTCTCACAAAAGGTTTTACGAAGACTCACACGTCATGGGTGATAAACATGCCAACTGTCTTGCTGGGTGGATGGGAAGATTTACTAATCTTCAATATAACTTCAGACATCTCTAAACAAATACTGACTTTTCCAGATCAAAATATGTTTTCCTGTGTTCCCAGTATTCAATCAACATTTCCCTTGGACTTCTCTATTGATAAATTCTGTATTATGATTAGAAAGGGCTACTTATAATAGGCTTAGCAGCGCCATCAGTGATAAAAGCTCCAGCTCCTGGGTTACAGAAAAATGGCCAGAGGAAAGGAAGCTATAGGGATGCCTTTGAGGATTGTTTTTGTGCTGCATTCTTCCTTCATTGGGAGCAGTAAATTCTTGGGAAGCAAATACAGACAATTAAATAGCTTAACCTCTACAAGAAGTTCATGACCTCTGACATTCTGTTCATGAAATGTCAATTATGAAAAACCAGGGATATTTAGGATCACCAATAAAACATTAAGACAGAGAGGAAACTGTAGACAGAGGCACACAGGGTTTTCTCCTGATTATCTCCCCTTGTTTATTCTTGTCCGCTGGGCAAAAGTGTATAATTCTGTATTTAATCTGGATAAGAGACACTTTAAATGACATGTACAAATGGGGCCTAAGAATGCAAAGCCATTTATCCACTTTTGTTACCTCCATATGGGTTCTGCTTGTTCGTGGTTTGTCTGAAAAATAGCATTAAACATATAGAAAACATAGCAAAAAAAGAAATACTAGATCTAAATGAACAGCAAAGTCTCAGCAACCGATTCTTGTGTACAGCATATTTACAGATGTAAACACAGCAACATGGATATTTCATCAGAAGTGTTAAAACACAGGTGAAGCATGTAGTGTGGGTTTCAGGGCTTTGCTCTGTGGTACTTGACCCATTAAACTCATTGGACACATTCACCCTTCTAAATACCAGCTGCACGTATAACTATAGTCTTATCTTTAGCAGGAACATGTGAAACACTTTCAATTATTTGTGACCCTCTCTATGTTTAAACCAATCAGTCCATTTTTCTTTTTACTTCTGAAGCTGGAAGTGCTAAAACTTTTCAGTGCGTCCCATATTTACCTCATCAGGACTGGAGGCCTGGTAGGTGCGGTTGTCATCACTGAAGTCCTGGTCAGCTTCAGCAGACTCCGTCTCTCCATTTACGCCTGCATGAGACTCATAGACGGGCGTGACATTGTGACACAAGGCGATGGCCTTTACAGCCTCGTGGATGCGACTGCTGACACTCTTACGGACTTTGGGGCCTGACGTCTGGGTTTTCCGTGATGGAGTGTTGCCACTGGTGTTACCATTGGAAGGCTGGGAGGGTACCTGACATCACAATAAATAATGTGAGCCACGGAGTCAATACATTGTCTGTCACTTTTCAAACTTTGTGGTTGACCTCTGATTGCCCAAATAGGATGCAATATTTTAATCATTATTTGGAGGGAAAGTTTTACCATGCCATCATAGCTAAATTAAGTGGGTTGGTACCAAAAATCTGCACCAAATTATTTCAATGTTGTTTTATTGGTCAATTCCTACAAAAGGGTATCTAGAGAAACCGCTACAAACCAAACTAGAAAAAAAGCTGCCTAATGATTACATATGATTGACAATTAATAAACAGTTGAAAAATTGCACATGAAATATATTATATAATCTATTCAGAGCTACACAACATATTTCACATGTTACAGCTTCGCAGTCATTTCCTAACTATAGGATCCCTGCACATGGTTGACACCTAGATCTAATCCTACACTTGCAGCCAATTCACTCCGACGGCCCTTTTCAGGCTAAATGACAGCGACGGGAAGTGTTGTATCACAATCTTTATCGTGTCATATCTGGTTCGAGGGTCTTCAGTGTGTCCCCACTGTTTTGACATCAACTATCAGTATAACTGTGTGGTGACTAGCGCGCAGGCACACAGCCCACTGTGCCAGCTGCGTTTGACAGGGACGATGCGCTCTACTGAAGCATTTGATTTTGGCTTATTATTAACCTTCAATCCTGCCAGGCAGAGAAAGAGGGGCGATTGGGGAGTACAGTAAGGACGCCAGATGACAACCTTCATCAAGAATGACTGAAAGATCAATAGAGAGATCATTAAGTTACGTTGTTATGTTGTCTAGCATATAAAATTTCTCTTTGTTTCTTTGTCTTATAGAGCTGAAAATTATTTCTATTTAGTCTGTTCTAAAAACAAAGCAATCAGAATTCATTTACTCTGGGAAGTATTTATCAGTATTAAAAAAAAATAGAGCAAACAGTAAATCTAATGAAAATGTGTAGTTACTGCCCTAATCTGGAGGGAATAATGTTAATAATAATGCTAAAAACAAAAATAGCATCCTGTAATTATGTCACTGACAGTAAAGAAACAACGTAGTAAAAATCAACTTGACGGATGCATTGCTGCTCTGCCTTGCTTCGGCTGTGCAGCTCTAAAAAGACTAGTCATTTTTCATTAGCTGAGATTACACATAAGGGTGTGAGGCAGATGGTTTCACTGTCGACCAGCTGTTTGGAGCTGGCTGAGAATGAACAATATCATTCTGTCAAGACTGCAGCCAGCTTTGAGCCACCCAGTGAGGAAAACACTTGCTTACAGTATAAGGAGTCGCTCAGGGACACTCCATGATGAATGAACAATATGGGCTTCTTTCCTGGAAAACTTACCCTTAGCTAAATATAAAAATTGATTAAACTGGTCCACAGGGAGAAGCAAGAATAAGCAAGACAAACATGGAGTGAAATATAGTACATATACACATCTATTTCACGTATCATACTGGATCACATAACATTTATATAATTTTATAGAAATTAATAAATTTGTATTGCTAAAGGGTTCAAAAAGAGAAAGCTGAGACACTCCCAAATCAGTGTTGAAACTCTATGCTACAACTTTCTGAATGTGGATGTCTTTATGGACAGAGTCTTAACTGAAAAATTCAAAGAGAAAAAATTATGAAATAATGAAAGTGATTACAGCATTGTCCTCCTATATGATATTCAAAATAAAGACGCTCAGTGGTTAGCAGGACTGTGTTAAATGTTTTTAATGTGACTAACCTGCCTGTAGCTGTAACGTGGCAGAGAGGCGTTTGTTATTTAGTCTACACTCATTGACATACATGGGGTGGACAAAATATAAAGAGACATCTCTCACCATAGCGCAATACAATTCAAGACAGCAAACAGTTTCAACAAGGTAGGATTTATTGCAGGATTGTTTTTTGACTGCATTAGTTTTAGCTAGGTGTAGCTAATAAACTGGCAACTGAGTCTTTATACTTTATTAAAAAGACGCAGCTAAATAAAAAAGTCCCAGCTTCTCAGATGTGAGCATTTACTGCTTTCCTCTGTATCATTGTAAACTAAATATCTTTTGGGTTTTGGACCATTAGTCAAGACAAAACAAGACATTTGGAGATGGCACCATGGAATTTGGGAAACTACAACAGACATTTATACACTATTTAGAATTTTATTTAAAAAAAAGGATTCATTGAGGAAATAATGAAGTTTTAGATATAGCTCTATTGGACAGCGATAAATCTTACCTGTGCATATGACTGGATTATGTGACTCTGTATCTCATCCATGGTGTCAGTGCCATAGGATACTGTTCCCAGGTGCAGCCGCTTGAAAATCATTTCGTTCTGTGTCAGAGTGCCTGCAGTTCAGACCAGTTTAGATGTTACAAATTAAGAAATCATAAAAATAAAAAAAAAAACTACATCACCTATACACTTATCCTTGATTACTGCTTGTCACATGATTTACATTTACTCATTTAGCTCACGCTTTTATCCAAAGCGACTTACAATTGTTATACATGTCAGAGGTCGCTAGCCTCTGGAGCAACCAGGGGTTAAGTGTCTTGCTCAGGGAAACATTGGAAATGTCACAGTGGGAATTGAATCCCAGGTCTCCCACACCAAAGACACGTCTCATTTCTTGTTTCTGTACGGCAATTTCTTGTTACTGATCATCTGACATTTACAAAATGTACCTGCAATAAGCTAATATTTTCCAATATATTACTCTGGGTGATTCACCTGTCTCGCTCTAATCAAAAGCTGTACACACACACTGTATGTACAATATATAGTCAGTCTGTCATACAGGCTAGAAAAATTCTGACACAACAACATTTGGATTCCTAATTCATTGACATTTTAAAGAGGTCATATTATGCTTTTTCCCTCTCCTTTATCGAGTTACATATCATTTTTGTGCACGTAATAGGTTTGCAAAGTGAAAAAGCCCAAAGGGAGTTCCCATCTCCAACAGAAAACACTGCTCTGAACTCCAGTTTTTTCTTCCGCTTCCATGTGACGTCACAAGAAAACACATATCATCATAATACTCGCCTAGGTGTCTTTATCATCGCTAAACTTCATAGTAAAACATATTCAAAGATATTCAAAACACCCACAAACATAAAGCACATCATTTGTCCTCAGATGGGTGCCTACTATGCATCATGGGACCTGCAGAGTGGTGCGAATGCCTTCTCATTGACCTGATCTCATTACCAATATGGACTGCATGTCCTCTCTAACAAACAGACAAGACACAACATTGCATACAAAAAGACTGAGTGAATGGTCAGACACTAAAAGAAAAAACAAAAACAAATGAAAACGAGGGCAATGGCCTTGTTTAATGGATGTCTGTTGCCAGAATGTGTGCTGATAGAGCATAAAGCTGATTAGAGGGCATCTAAATTCCAAAAACATTAGGGCCACAGGGTTAACCAATTCTATTGGATTGATTGTTTGTTCTTCTTTCCGTGTGCTTTAACTATCAACCTGGATAAATAGGCTCTACAGCTAATCTATTCCTACCTAGATCAGCGGGGTAAGACAAAGAAGCATGTTTGGACCACAGCAGAAGTTTATCACTCTGACACATTGTCTAGCATTAGAAAACAGCAGCTATTTGTTACTAGAGAATCGGGCCATGATGGTGAAATGAGAGCTGAAGTAGGCCTAAATAACCCCTGGAAATTCAGAAGATGTGTTTGTCCTCAGTTCTTTTCTTTAACTCACAATAATGACAGTTTAAATCAGATTGGATTTGAAGCTTGCTATTAAACTAAGATGAAGTGGCTTAATTTCCATATAAAATAATGATTTATCAATTTATTAAGTCTTGTTTTTTTCCCCCCAATGATGAGCAACTGACTCTCAGCCTGGTCTTACAGGAAATATTATCACCTAAAGTTTACAAGCAAGTTGTGGTGATTTCTTGTTCATTTAATTGGGGATTTGACATTATTTAGTTTTATCATGTGCATCATTTTAATAACATTAGGTTCCTGTGATGTCAAACACAGATCCACCGAAATCAAGTAAAATGTGTATAACTTATACTTCCATGAAAAACAGCTGTCCTTCTGAATTGAATTACTATTTAGCTTTCAGTACCATAAATCTATTGTGTAATCTTTCTTCAGTATGTTTGGACACCTACCCGTCTTGTCCGTCAGCAGGTAGACTAGCCGGCCCAGTTCTTCTGGGATGGTGCTGGTTCTCACAACAGTTCCCGGGATATTTTCGTCTTTCATGATCATCCAGCCATAGGCTGACTTCCCCATATCCAGGTTTACACGCAGACTACACATGGGAAAAACAAAGCTGTAATCTATCACAGAAAATGGAACAATAATATAGCAGTAAAAGTCTGATATGTTCTAAAAACTGTCTTTGTACATTGTAAAGAGCTGAAAAGAAGCAGATGTGGAGCTTAGGTTTGAAGATTTTCTAATTTAATTTATGTATTTTACCCCCCATTTTGAAACCAAATGTAATGGTTTAAAATATGTCACTGTAAATCCATGGTTATTTGGTTGTGGTCACAAAATAACAACAGCATGAATGAAGAGAAGTACCTGATGGGAATAATGTAAGAAAAAAGCACGACAAATCGAAAAAGGTTGCGGAACCAAGGACCCACAAACCCCTGCAGCGCTACCATGACAACAGACAGAACCACCTGGGCCAGGAACAGGGCTTTGGTGAGGCGGTTCAGCTCTAGGTCCAGAAGGCCAACCTATGGGGACAAGAGGTCAGAGGTCAAAACAGCAGGTATTACAGCATTACTTTAATACTTATATAATGTGACGGGTGTGTGTATTAGATTTGATCCATTCTGCTTGAGGACAGTTATGTTTTCCTTTAGCGGGAATCACACAATTTGTGAACTAGCAATATTAAGTCCAGACTGTAGAGTAATCATCTTATTCCTTTTCTGACAACTTCTACTAGAGAACACTCTTTGTAACTTTCCCCATCTGCTCCTAAAGCCTTACAATATGCTACACAGGGAGAAAAAAAAACAAAGCCAATGAAAGACATTCTTGGGTGCAGGCTTTTATCATGCAAACTGTGTGTACAACATAAATAAGTTTATGGGTGGCACTACTTTGTGGTAAATTATAAGCTGCATTATTGTCATGCTGAAGTATTGTCCTTGAATGCAACAGAAGGTCAAAAGGCTTCAAAAATAAATAAAGTTCCCATATTGAGATGGCTCTTTGAAAAAAAAGACAAAAAAAGGGGTCAGAGTTGTCTTTTATTTTTCGAGTGTATCTCCCAGCCAATGGAGCATGTGGGAAAAAGATGTCAAATAAAGAAGTGCCCTTCCCCTTTCTGGCAGCGCTCACAGCAAAGCCTTGTACACAGAGGGCTTTCTTCTGACGCACCACGCTTACAAAAACAGCAGAACATAACATTTCTCGTCCCACAAATAAAGGAACTGCTCTGAAAAGGAGGGGAGGGGGCAAGCACATATAAAAAGCAGCAAAATTCCTCCACTGCCTAAACCCCCACCAAGCCCATTCCCCTGAGGACTGGGAGAGCTGGGAGACTAGTGTGACTGATTTATCAGTTGCTCTTAAACTCCCAGTAGCAGAGTGCGGAGAAGGGAAGAGTAAGGGGAGCGAGCGGGTGGGTACCTCCCCACCCAACTGCCTCACTACATGGTTGAGCTATTGAGAAAAATAGGGGGTTTGGGTGGATTAAAATGAAGAAAAATTAAGACAGACAGCACAGTGCATGCCTGAAAAGCAAAGGATCCCCTTCTGCTTGAACAATGGCTAGTCTAAATTTTCCAAGCCTTGCCGGGGATCAGATGAAGTCATTATTCATTCAGTCAAGGGGGGAAAAAGGACTCAATTACCTCAACCTAAAGATGCTATCAATGAATAAAAAAAGTGCATATTTTACTCCATTCATCTCCAAGCCACTAAAAGTGAAAGGAATGATTCGATCTGCCTGTGTGGCTTGTATCTTAGTACGTGTGTGAAATCTGATGAAGAATTGCAACCCCATGACATGAATATTCATTGAGTTAAAACCAAAGAATATCAGGACTTCAGCCAGTAAGTAGTGTATTGTTCAGTGACTGTGACACCAGCAAATCAAGGAAGTCAAGAAAATAAACTTAAATTGGTTCTTCAGATCTTAGTAAACAACTTTAAGTTTCCATTCCCCCCCCCCCAGAGTAACACAGTTTGAAGAAAGCAGAGGTTTGGGAGTTGGATATGTACTTCAAACAAACAATCTTTTACTCAAGTGCAGCCTCTTGTCAAATGACATTGTTCTGCCTCTTTACTCAGACAGAGGTCTGTCTAACAACACGGACACAAAGAATGAATCTATGTCTGACGTCGTGTCAGATTGATCAAGTGCAGGCATTGTCCCGGCCGGTGTCACAACAGATTATATGAGGCCAAAACGTTCTTGCGACTTTAGCCACACTGTATCGACTTTCTCCCCCAATCTCCAGTCTCCATATTGGCACTTCTGACATCATCTCCTTGAAATATTGAATTCCTCTCAACTGTCGAGCTTACACAAAAACAGTGGCCCCCGCCGTTCGACCGGCCACATCAGCGTTCTTAATAAAAGACACTGGTGTCAAAACCGTGCTGCGGTAGGTAAGGGCCACGGCCATGTTGTGCCACGGAGAGCTTTAGTGGTGCAGACAATTGTAGGTGAACAGTAAAAGTCATTGCATGGCGGATGCACCGCAGTCAAAACACAGCCCCTGAGATCCCGCTGATGCCGCCTTTATCAGTTACCCATGTCTATCTAGCCTAACCATCTTCCAGGTAAAATCTTATATTTACAATCAGATTTTCATTAATCTCCTCAATCTGGGGACAAAACGCTCGATGGGGATTCTGTGGGATTAACTTTCTGCTGAAAATATCATTTAAATCCTTGGTTAGTTAATTTCCCTTTTGGTTAATTAGCATCTGGCGCTGACCTTTTGCCATGACAGGTCCAACTTTATCTAGAAAGTCAAGGTTAAAAAAAAACACCTCTCCGTAGTGATTGATTAGTGATTAGAGACAGGGGGAAAAAAGATGGTGTGAGGGCAACTTGAAACAGATCTTACTTTGTGTGAGGTTTTTCACCCTCTAAAGCTTTTACAAAACATTTATTTTTATGCTCGCATCAGATGACAAGCATTTAATATTTTTTTTGTATGTTAATGCTAGTGAAAAATATCTTAAATTCTCAGGTTTGCCAGGATGCAAAACCAAGATATCCTTAAAAATATCTTTGATAGATTTGCACTGATTTTGTCATCGGAATGAAATATCTTTGGGTTAGTCAGAAAACAAGACATCTGAAGATGCAATCTTGGACTTTTATAAATTGTTGAGGTTTTTCCTGTAGTTTTCTGACATTTTAAAAACCAAACTACTTATCGATATATCAATTTGTTTTATTAAGATAAACAAGTCACAGAACTTGCAGTCTTTCCTGCAGATATACAAAAAAAAGCATTCACCTTATTCTTGGCATAGGACGTGTTCAGTACGCTTCTGGTCTCTTTGCCTGTGTAGATCACCACCCCTATCACAGTGCCTGCCAAGGAGAGAGACAAGGAAAGTAATGCTGCTCATTAACTGCACCCCACCCCCACCATCTCTCTCTCTCACACACACACACACACCTTGGTCAAGTAAGATGAACTGCATGAGAGGAAACACAATAAGGCTGAGCTGAGGCAGTTTTGTCTCATTGCCACTCAAGCCAACAGACAAGAGTTTAATACGCTTAGAGTCTCAGGGCTTTCAGCCACCCTATGGAAGCTCATAAAACCTGATCAATACACTGCCATCTTTATTTGCCAATTCATTACGGTGGCCTTATTACAAAGGATTAATGAGTCATTAATATTAAATGAGCTTAATGGGGGAGCAAAGGCAATAATAAACCTAAATACAGCCTCTGAAATCCCCAACCTATAAAAATGGCAAGAAAGTTTAAAACAGGAAGAATACAAAACGAGGAAAGTGAAGTGCCTGCAGGGAGAGGAAGAGAAAAGACATCAATGGTTACAAGACCTGAGGAGAAAGGTGATGAATTGCTCTCGTTGACTTCTAACTTCAGAAATATTGAACCAGGTGACAAATGGTGTGCGGCTCAGCATGCAGAGGGGCTTCAATTTGAATATGCGAACAAGTAATTCTCTTGTCACAGCTGGACTGGGGCCTATAAGAGAGTGAATACTTGGTGATCTGGGCCAGTTCAAGTGCCCAGAATTAGGCGATGAAGTGTCTTGTCAAGGAGAGGCTTGTGAGGGACAATGACATTCCCAAGCAGAGATGATGTAAAGGGTCTAAGTCAGGCTTTTTGTGAGAATGTGTGTGTGTTTGTTCTTCTGGTCAAGGTCAGGCCAGAGGGGAGAGCAACACCACAAATCAATGGTTGCGGCCATCACTGGGATGGCGTCACAAACACTCTCAACTGACACAATCGTTTCTGTGGGGAATCGCTTAGTTGGAGCGAGGGAGGATTACCTCAACTGTGGGTATTCTCAGAGTTCCCCAAACAAGCACACAGTGGTATCAAGTCATACACCTTCAAGGTTTAATTCCCTGCAGGGATTGTTTTTGTTTTTCTGTTCTGCAAAGTTTCTAAAATCCCAGCAAAATAAAATGTGAACCACTGTGTGTGTTTCCATCCAGTACGTTATGTGAACATAAATATATCTATTCTGATCCACATTTACCCCTGCTGTGTTCTAGTATGCCCCTGTCTAGACTTGAACCAGGGTCGTTGAGGTTACAGACACTTCTGGCACCCCCACTATTTTTATTAGTTCTTTCTTTTTTGGTTGAGTGGCTGCATGTAATGGTCCCAGAATGACATGAATGCTCTGAAGTCTAGGTGTTTAAAGTGTCAACGAAAAAAAAAAAGTCAACATTTTCACCTAATCCAAGTACAAAATACGATTTTTTTTTTTTAATATGTAAATTAAAATTGCGATTTCAAAACAGGTGGAAAAACATGGTAGAGATTCAATGGGCAGCCGACCATACATAAAACTCTCTACAGTGTTACTGGAAACCAACATCAGGTAAAACAGACTTATAAAAGTAAAAGTTGTCATTTACTTACCAGATGCAACGACTGTGCTGGCCCAAAGAGTGTTTTCAATGCTCAGACTCTCATTAATCTGTGGATCTGTGTCTTCCTACATAAGAAATAAAAAAGGAAAAGCATTGCTTCAGAATTTGTTTCTCTTTATAGGCTTTTATCAGTAAGATATGGCAGTATAGTACACAGTCTAGCAGGGCAACAATTAAGGGTGCTCCGATCGATCGGTTACCGATCATAATCGGCCGATAATGGCTTTAACTAGTTTGATCGGTGGTCGCTAAAAAGGCCGATAAGAAAAGCCGATCAGATGATGCAATACTCGCCTGACAAATTTTCAATGGCAGCTAAAATGTTTCACTACGCTGTGTGAGCGGTTTTCAAAGCTAGCTAGCACCAAAGTCCGTCTCAGACAAGAAGGGATTAATGCGCCCACATAATCATTTACAATTAGAGTTGAGCAGAATTCAGACAAGTGGAGCAACACGCAGGAGAGATCATGTGAAACTGTCGCAGCTGTGCTCATCTCACTCACAATCCACCCGCAACCGGAGTTTAACAGACATATCAGGCAGAGAGAGAGAGAGACTCATCCTGCAGTGTGAGTTTCCTGATGCAAAGAGTGGCGCCAGTCAATCAGCTGACTGCCTCTCTCTTTCTGTTTTCCTTACAAAAACGGAGACCTTTTACAAAGTTTCCGCCTCCCGTCCAGATTAAAACGGTGAATCAGAAAACGCTGCTGACCCGATGGACAAAACAGAGGACTTTATAAAACGATGACACACACTCACATTTGGCTTATCAGTCATGCAAAGCAAAAACACGATGCTTCAAGGAGTTTTAGTTTTTTTGGTATTTTTATTAAAATATAAGTGCTGTGTAAATAACACTTAACAGTTAGCCTAGCATACTGTGCATGTCGCTGTATTTACTTTGCGACAACTCCCAGTCTGTTTTCCGGCGTTACTTTCAGTAACACTTCCACTTCGTTGTCGGTCAATGCAAAAAAAAATAAAAAATAAAGCCTGGTGGGGTTCTTGGTCTGTATTAATGTCATCTTTCGCTAATCGTCTGGAGTAAACCATCTGCTTCATGTTTACACTGGCACGCGCATGCCCAGTGTAGCTACCTGAACGGCCACTAGATGTGTTTTCAGTCCAAATACAGACAGAGATCAACTCTGAGATGCAGCTGAAACGCTGCTGTGGACGGAGAAGATGGTTTTCGTTATAAAACTGTTTTAAAAACGTAGCAGTGTGGATGTAGCCTCACATAACCCCACTCCTCTCTCTACTCCTCTCATGTCAACCCTCCCGTTTTCCCCCCCGAGATTCTCCAGTATTTTTCCTGTTCTCACCCGTTAAATGTTTCCCCGTAAATCTCCCGTGTATTTAACCTTTATGAAATCAAACCTTCTGGCCGTATTTAAAGTGTTTGCTATTCTCTCCTCTGGTAAAGTCGGTGGCAGCATGTAAGATATGTAGACTGTGCTTCCTGCACAAGGATTAAAAATGAAAACAATCCACTGAAATAATATAAAGGCCTATAGCCTACTAATGGCAAACCATATGAAATTAGAATTAATATAGTAGCCTATGTAATATTAACAACTGACTGTATAATATGGAGTTTACATTGTAGCCTATTCTTATTTTTAAAATTTTCCTTATTTTCAAATCTCACTGAAGGCAGTTTTGACTCCTCTCTGTAGCCCTTCTCCCTGTCTCTGCTCCTCTCTCCCCCCTAAAGCCCACAGAGCCTGCCTGAGCTTTCCAGAACAAAAAGCAGCTACTTCAGAGTTTATCTTCGACTCATGATGCCTGTGCTCCTTCATCTCCTAAATATTTTGGCTACAGCCTTTTTTGTTGCAGTTTTTATGGTTGTAGTAAATTTATAAAGATGCTGTTTGTTCTGTTTTTGTAGTTTATTCCACAGGTAAAGCTATATTTGTTAAGCAATAAGATGTTCATAGTAACCAGGCAAAGTCTCTAACAAAGATTGAGCTGAATTTGTTGCCCATGTTTCCTGGCAATAAAATAAACAGTTGTCATTTCATGATACTTTATCATCTGTTCACTTTAACACTTAATACACTGTTTTTAGGACCAATTAAATAAATATACAGTATACTGTATAATGCTACATGATAAATAAAAGACTCCAAATAGACCCAGTGATCGGTATCTGCCGATACGGCTTTCAGCGATCGGCCCAAAAAATCCTGATCGGAGCACCTCTAGCAACAGTGTTTCAAACTGTATCTTTTTATTGAACCCATGTTGGCATTATGTGTCCATGCAACTCTCCAACTAACACTAAAGCCAATTAATTGCAGGCACCAGAGTTCAAAAATAGTTAACAAGAAATGTCACGCGTTTCCTCAAATGTGACAGATAAAAGACAATTGATTGATCGACTTCTTTTCAAAAATTAAAAAGAAAATTTAGGCTGAAATTTATTTCGACTTTCACTTTTTGATTCTATTCATTTCTGTGGGCTCAAATTAAGATGGAAAGGGCGATGGTAAAAGCAATACAATATTTTCAGCTGTGTATAATACACTCTGGTGGTGTTTTTGGTCATTTTAAACCCGATCTGAAAAGAAATTTCAAACAAAATAGTAGAATTGCACAGTGGATTATTTCTTTTGCCATTTTATTCACTGCTGTGGGCAAAAGCACACAAAACGTCCCTGAAAATAGAGACTTCAGCTAAACAGAACCGAGCAACATGAGCTCAGTTGACAGAGAATACAGCCTGACCAGAATGGCCGGGCTCTGCTGTGCCATTAATTTTCACAAGCACCTGACACAGTTGTGCAGACTGAGGCAATACAGTAGTCCCTTTATCAATACTTTCACTAGATTTGGCATGGCGATAGAGGCTCCTCTTAAAAACAGTATAGAGAGTGCACGTAGATGAGATTTCAGTGATAAATAAGCCCCTAGAGAGCCTCTTGTTTCACACTCCCCCCATTTTACCCCTCTCTCTTAAATAAAGACGAAAGCTGAAAATGGCTTGTGTCAGTAGTGCAGAGTCAAGGCTCCAGTTTCGGCTCAAATTGCCTCTCTGATATGATAATTATGATACCTAAGCACCCACATCCTGTCAAGTCACTCAAACATGGGAAGAGGTGCATGAAAAATAAATGTCAGGTTGCAAAATGCTTGACCGCTCTGTCATTGGCATACTACGGTGTTCATAACTGCAGAGGGTCTCAATTAAGACCACAGAAACAAAGCCACCATATCCGTCTCAAGCGGGGGGGGGGGGGGAGGAAAAAAAGAAACTCTCATAAATAGGTAAGTTCATTTGCTGCGGATCTGTGGGAACCCATTTTTTTCCCATCCTGCTCAGACTAAAAGCACACGCTATGCAAAGGAAGGCCGCGGAGGATGAATGAGCGGAGGAAGTGCTCGCTCACTAAGCCTGGTGTGTGGCCAAGAGTGAAGACGGGCCACAAAGCCTCCCTTTGTACCAGAGCTCTCCTCTCTGTGGGGGCTGCGCTAATCTGCTATTAATAAAAAAAAAAAAAAAAGACAGAAAAAAAAAAAAAAAAAAAAAAAAAAAAAAAATCACTGAGCAACAACCAAGACAGGATGGATGGAGCTGGAGCTGCGAGAACCTGCCTGTGATGTAAGAGGTATGCCTGCTGGAGATAACAACAGGCCCGGATGGACACACAAGCTCTCATTGTTGCCGCCTGTCAACACACTGCAGTGATACACATCTCCTATGTCAGTCCAGTTTCTATTGAAAAAAACCTGCATGTGTTTAAGATTTGTTTTACTGCTTATAAATATGTCAACGAGCTACTGTACCCTTGTGAAGTTCCCCTCAAAACTGTGGATGTCCAGCTGAGGCCTCTGGGCGTAGACATAGGCGCTGATGGAGAAGAGGTCCTGAGACAAGGAGACATGGCAGAAAGGGAGGCGATAAAGGATTTAGATTAAATAAATTAATATATAGTTATCTTATAATTTATTTTTCTAGAATACATGATTTTTTTTCTTGTTAAAACAAACGTACCTTTAGACAGGGTATTGTTTATGATCTTTGCAACTCATCTATGCTTTCATGTTTCCAGTCCTTACATTTCTGCATGTTCTGATGCTGCCATTATTAAAATCACTTCAGATGAATGTCAAGTAAATTCCTGTGATGATATAAACGTGCTTCAGCATGAAAATTCAGTAGTCATGCGGGGAATTGAGACAACTTTGATAAGTGGACCTTGAGTTGAGAACAAAAGCCTTTTTCGCCCCGAGTGGAACAAAATTGACTGTAAATATTTAATTATTCAGGCAGGCAGCCTTTGCAGCAGCCCTCAACCCTCAGTGATGCTCAGATAGTGTTCTCCTGGTGAGAACATGGGCAGAGTAGTTAAAGAGGTGCAGGGAAGATTATTTTATTAAACCTCCAACGGTAGAGTAATGTTGCTCTAGTCTTTTTCAGAGACTCAGTGGAATGCATTGATGTATTCAGACATCAACATGGCTACTGATAATATATTGTATGTTCAAAGAAACTGGGTTTATTTAGTGACAGAGCAGACACAAAGGAGTAATGACACTCAAGTCTGAATTTGTCAGTACTCATATTGTTGGTGTTTTTTAAACTTAATACATAATATCATTAACTTGATCTTAAAATGGCCTTTAGGGAAATTTTAAATTTCACTATTGAGAACATCAATTATGATCCTGTACCTAAAGTATGACCTGAGCTATTCAAGAACAGATCTGAGGAAACACGTTGCCCATGTATTGAGACAATGTTGAAGAGTGGCTACAGTGAACACAACTCTTTATGATCTTCACGTCTCTTGAAACCCAATACGAATGTCACGGCTCAATCACCAAATGACTTGCTGAAACTTTAATTCTCTGATCACATTAAGTGGCAACAGAAAAAAAAACAACCCATCAACTCAACTTAAATCCTGTGCTGAGTATCGCCTCCAGTTAAAGGAAGCTGCTGTCAGGTTCAGATTGTTCCTGCTGTCTGTCACCAGTGATTAGGTTTCCATCACAGCCAGACAACTTCATTTGATGAGCAATGGTTTTAGTGATAACAGAACACTCATTCACTTATTTACAATCTGTTTGTCTGTTACCAGAGATTCACCACATTGTAATGTATCCATACCCCCACTGCTGGTAGTCGTTGCGTGCAGCCAACAGCAACCTTCAGTTTCCAGTCTGTTTCTCCGTCCAGCTGATCGGTTCTGATGAAACAGGAACCTGAAAAAAAAAAAAAAGGACAGAAGTACTATCAAGATTCTTGTCCTGTTACATGGTTTGCACAGCTCTCTCGCACTGACGGTGGGGTCTTATTGTCACAATACAGTGATCAGTGTGTTTATTTAGCTATGCTTTGCTTCTTTCCAAAATATACAGATATGCACATTCCGGTCATTTACTCTATATACACACACTATACAGTATATACACACTATATACAGTAAGTCAGAGGTTGCACTCCTCTGGAGCAACTAGGGGTTAAGTGTCTCGCTCAAGGACACGTTGGTGGATGTGTCGCAGTGGGAATCTAACCCAGGTCTCCCAAACCAAGAGCATGCACCTTATCCACTGTTCCATGCACTGTGTCATGGCCTCCCCAAGTTCTGACACTTAAGTGATTCAATTGGCTATCCAAGGGTAGCCAATTGAACCTTATGTTCCCCTTAGATTAATGTATAGTACACAGTTATAGTAACAGTTTTCACACTCTGCAGAACAAACCAATATGCTAAATGTCATTATATTGCTTATAACCTTGTTTCAAAGTGAATTCTATGATTAGAGTTTGAGGAAGATGATGTTAGTGTTTATAGCTATATTACAATTTCACACAGAAAATTGAGGATTTAGTATGAAACTCAGCAAAAACATATTTTGGAAACCCTGGGATGTTCTGAACGAAGTTTTCATGGTTTAACAAAGTTCAGCCTACAAACATTTGAGTTTTGATGAATTTGTTGACAATGAAATTGTGTTGTTGATGAGGTTTACTATAGCATTTAATGCTTAAATGTAAATGTATTAAATGTAACACTATACTTAAAAAAAATAAAAAATAAAAAATGTGTAGCATGTAACAAGTATAATACGGCAATACACTGGCACATTCAACAGCGCAGTGCCTTATAGCCTGTAGCACAATCCGAAGAATCTCTGGCTGCTGTGGACACCACAAGGTCCGATAAACGTTGAGCAGTCGTGACCTGCATTGATTGGAGGTAATATTACATGTGAAACTGATGGATGAGTACAACTATTTGACAGGGAGGGTAAAGGGCAGCTATAAACCATCCCTGGAGGGTTAACTATGATGGAAAACATTAACACAGAGAGGATGATTCATGCTTTCCTTCTGCTGCAATGGTGCTTCAGCTGCTCACATAACATCAGTGAGATGTGTGTGTATGAGTATGTGAAAGACAAAGTATATGAGACCTTGTGTGTGAAAGACAAAGATGTGTTTATGTATGTGTGTGTTTGAGGCATAAAGACATCAACAACTCCCTGCCAAGCATATTGGCACATCAAAGATTGATGGAAATGATGTCCTCAGAACATTTCCTCCCGATACCCCTTAGAAAAGAGCCAGGATCTGACGCAGCTCATTGATTAATTGGAATTTGCATCATCAGTCACAAGAAGAATGTGACATAAATCATATGAATCACTTGCTGCCTTGATCAGATGATGTCAAGGGACTGGAAAGTGTAGGGAAAAGTCCCATTCCTCACCCAAATGATCTTTACACAGTTCGTTAAAGGGCACACAAAGTTCAGCTGTTAGGCATTTTGTATGTTTTATTGTATTTTATTTTTGCATTAATATTTTATCTATTGCAATGATTTTCCCCAATTTTAAAACCTTTATCAATCCAGGAGAAGTTTGCTGAGCATGATTATGTCTTTTCAGCAATATCCTGTTTCACATTGATAAAGTTACACAAACACTTTGCCTGCTCACCATTTCTCTCTGATGTTCTCAGGAATATCATGTCTGCAGGAATCCTTTGGTTCTATAAGAAGAGAGAGAACAAAAACAAGAGTGCAAATGGCAGTGTGTTACTGAGCACTGTGGCAAAAGCCTTTGAATCTTCCTGAATAATTAAACAAGGTCAATACCTTGACCAGAGGGTGAAGGAGAAATATATTTTTTAAGTCTGTCTAACACGCAGTAATGGAAATGTAACTTTTCCAATTTCTAGCAGCAGCTGGATTTCATGTTGGATGAGCTGAAATCCACCTGTTTAACAGGCGAGTTTTTTAAGCATTATTAATTTCACAGCAGAGCAAAATTCTGATTAACACTGTGCCTTCAAATCCAGTAAAGTTATTCTATCTTTCTGGTCAACAACCCTTTGTCTTCTTTTGGAGGTGTGGAGAACATGTAGTAATACATAAAGTCACTAATTTCAACTAAGACAAGAGTAAAATCATGCTGCAAAATGCAAACATTAGGGAAAAAGGCAAATTCTCTTTAAATTAACTCAAACCTGAGAAACTACTGAAGTAATGCAGTATTAATTCTTCAGTGTGAAGAATCTGTTTTACAGAATTAACTTTATCCAGCCGTCCTGCCATCTTCAGAAGTTTTCTGGTGACTCGGCTGTGGTTGGATGTATCAGCAAGGGTGATGAGGCTGAGTACAAATCTGTGGTGGGTGACTTTGTCACATGGTGCAAGCAGAACCATCTGCAGCTCAACGTGACAAAGACTAAGGAGCTGGTTATGAATCTAAGGAGAGCCAAGGCACCAGTGACCCCTGTTTCCATCCAGGGGGGCAGTGTGGACATTGTGGAGGATTACAAATACCTGGGAGTGCACAATGACAAACTGGACTGGGCCAAGAACACCCAAGCCCTCTACAGGAAGGGCCAAAGCAGTCTATTTTCTGAGGAGGCTGAGGTCCTTCAACATCTGCCGGACAATGCTGAGGATGTTTTGAGTCTGTGGTGGCCAATGCTATCCTGTTGCTGTTGCATGCTGGGGCAGCAGGTTGAGGGTAGTGGACGCTAACAGAATCAACAAACTGATCAGCAAGGCCGGTGATGTTGTGGGGGTGGAGCTGGATTCTGTCGGTGGTGTCAGAGAGGAGGATGCTTTCCAAGCTACAGGTCATCGTGGACAATGTCTCCCAGCCACTTGGGTAGTAACATTTGTAGCAGGAAACAGAGCATTTCAAAATCCTTGAATGCGAATATATCATCAGGAAACACTAAAGCTTTACCTTATCAACAATGATCAGGTCCCCAACTTGTATGTCTGAACTCTTCACTTGAACTTTACCTAAGGAAAAAGAAAGGTGGAATGACGAAAAATTTGAAAGACAACAGACAGCAATCTTAAAGTAACTTCACATTAAAATCTGACTCTTCATTTTTAAGATATGCTGTGAATTTTTAAATAGCTATGATATAAAATGCAGCTATTGATTTCTGGCCCTTGAAATTGACACCGACTCCTAAAACCACAACCCACTTTTGCTATTGCTCTTCTCATTGTCTCTCACCTTCTAACAGATTGATTACCTCCTGCATGATAATGTGATACCCTTCTGTTTGCATCTCTGGTTTGAAGCATAGACAAAAACACTGGCACATAGGGTCACACTCAATTATATTGCTTCAATATCCGCTACTACCCTTCTTCTTCTGTGCTCACAAGCACACATAACTGAACATGCACATGAGCACACAGAGAGTGCGAAAGCGACATCCTCAGCCATAGTCACAGATACCACACAGGGGGATTTTACCACACATTCAACACAGGGACAGATCTTAGATCATACAGTCTTGAGAACCTGAGAGAGAAAAAAATCAATGCAATTACAGCGAGAAGAATGACTTCTGTTACAAGTGTTGATCCAGTAAAGTGCCGTCTATTAATTGCATGGGGAGAGCTCGACTATTCAGAGGAATATCCGTTATCATAATGTCAGCAAACAGTTAGAGGCATGAGGAAGACTGCGGATAGATTTCTTTCAGTCCTCTCACTGACCTCGCACTGTGAGCTTGCTGTAGAGTTGAGAGTTCATCTCTTTGTCCCGTTGGTACCGTCGCATTTCATCCACAGCCTCGCGCACCACTGTAACTGCTAACACAAAACCCTGAGTACAAAAAATAAAACAGATCAATCCCAAAATTATCATTTGCAAAGCTTCATTAATACCAGAATCCATTAACTTTACATATAAAGCTTACTTTTACACAAAGGAAAGGTTCATGTCTCACTTTATTAAGTGTTACTTCTCACCTAGAACAGTCTTAACTACAGACATTCTGTCAGTTGCTGAAAAGTTGAATTAAATCTCAAATGAGGTCACGATAACTCAAACTGTTTGCCTTTACCTCTTTCTCTAAGAAAACATTTGATCAACTTGATCATTAGCACAAAACACAGTCCGAAATTGTAAATTAAATTCTTTAAGTCTCCCTCGGATAAATATATGACTCTAAAGTATGAGTTAAAGATGGTCTATTGGCATTAGGTCTGCAACTTACAGTTATTTTCACATGTAAGATATAAAAAAGAGAGAAGCAGCAAATCCTCACATTTGAATTGCTGGAACCAGAAGATGTTTGGCCTTTTTTGTATTTAAAAATTAATTCATTATCTTGAGTTTTCTGACAATTATCATTTCAGCTCTAATTGGCTTATGTTGAATTTATTAATCACAACACGACTGTTTTAAATAAACAATAACACCACCCACAAATACATACGAACAAAGACAGTGTGGCATTATCCAGTGCAGTCATGCTTTGGGAGACCAAAGATATTTTCCAAACAAATCAATTACACAGTAAAAACTGAAGTGCATTTACCAGAGGAGCCCAGTAAGTGTACAAATATCCAATTTTCAGTGATGGCACAAACTGGGAACAGGCCACCACCAGAAAGTAGAGATTGAGGAAGAACTTGAACTGCTGGTAGAGAACCTGAGAGGGGAGCAGAAGACAAAGATTCAGTGAGGTGAGTGACCATGTCAGCAAGGTGACTCAAAGACGACGACAGCTGCCAAAGAAGACAAAGAGGATGCAGCAACAACAAAGCAGGCGGGATGGGTTACTGTACATGTTCCAAGGTGGAATAAGATACAAGTTAATGCTGTTAACTTTACATTAACCTAATGGAAACTCTGTACCCTGAATGCCATTTGAAACAGAAGTTCTCAAAGTGTCAGACTTCACATGGCACGGCAACTTGGTACAATGTTGTTTGGCTGGTGCGACGTTTTGGAGAATAAACACAAAACAAACAATAAGCACAAAACAAACAGGACCACAATAATGACTAAAGAAGGAAAATTCACCAACTTTCTTAAATCACACACACCACATCTGACTTACTGAGGGCTGTTTGCAAATGGGCTATCCATCAACAGGGATCCCTTAGTATTCTATTCATCTAAGGTCAAATTTTGAATAATGTTTGCAATAATGAGTGTAGCGTCTAGTCACAGATTATCAGAGACAATGGGATCAATGGGCGATGCTCTACAGTTAATGAACCCCCTGACCTTTAGGGAAAAATGCACACTGCTAAACTCAATTTGTGTGTATTTAATAATTCAAAGTGGTGGGGAAAAAACAGAGCAGTTTCGTTCACCATCGATGAGAATATCTACGTCTCTAATAGACAGTTGACATTTTATGGCCTGGGCCGAGGGCAGCCCTCTTAATCATGGAACCATTTGGTTTTTTAATAAGTAAGTCTGATGGATCTCTAATGTCCCCTACAGTGTAATCCTGTAACTTAATGACAGAACAGTTAACAATTAGAGTCAGCGCATGCTACTGTGCTTTACATACTGTTAATCTGTGACAAGATCAGCGTATTTCAACTGGAAGGATTAATTGACATTGAAAGGACTATAAAAGTTAATACCCGCTGGACCATCGACTCACACAGAAAAGCCATAACTTGGAACAAAGATTAGAGCATGAAATGTGAATTTTGTTACATACGGAAAGACAGTTTACCTAATGGAGGCTAAAATTCTTTGTTATTCTCTGAAATCCAACTCACCCCAGGCACAAAGGTAAAGATGTTGTACTTCTGGTTTTTGATGGCGTTTTTGGGGTACTTCTCTTCACATTTCTCCGGGCAGCCGAGCCAGACCGTCCTGGCCTTCAGCTCCTTCTTCCTCCGACATATATGTGCAAGGCAGTCACAGCAGCTGAGAGGAGAAGAATCGATATGAGCCAGCATGTAAACACATTACACCAACCGCATGCTGCTAAATGTTTAGGGCTGCAACTAACAATCATTTTCATTATCATTTAATCCGCCAATTACTTTCTTGATAAATCAAAGAAAATTGTGATGCCTGAAATCTAGGTGAATTACTTGTTTTCTACAACCAACAAGCTAAAACCAAACAGACAAAAGCAGAAAATCCTAGCAATTAAGGAGGTCTTTTTTGCATGAGAGTTGACTTAAATGGATTAATCGATTATCAAAATATGTTGCAGTTTACATTATTACCGACCGTCTAATTGTTTAATATTAATCGTTTCATATCTATTGTATATCTGTGTTTAGTTTGTGTCCTACAACCTTAGACACTTGGGAAAAAAAAACTGACTGCTGCCAGTAAATTTAGGTTTTTTAAACAAGCAAATGGCTGTAGGCAAAGGCTGATCGTGACAACTGATTTAGGGCTATGTGATATGGCAAAAAAATTATATCCGGATATATAACATTTTTTTGTAAATTCAATTAAATATGGCATTTTCAACTGGAAGTAGGAATATTTCTCTGCATTTTAAAAGTGGAGTAAGTGAGAACTTAGAAGGGAGAAATCCAACAGCATGACAAATACCCTGATGGAGTGAACAACGACACAACAAGAAGCTCTCCAGCTCTCCAGCTGTTACAGCTAACATCACAACAGCATGTCTTAGTGAACTATAAGTAAGTTGAATGTCCTGCTCAAACCAAGACCAAGTCAAGACCAAAACTTTTAGGGGCTGAGACCAAGACCAATTCCCCATATTAGATGACACACAATAAAATGTGGAACAACATCATGGGTACTTCTATCTATAATTATCATTATTGATTTATGACACAACACAATTTTTTACAAGCATTATACTTTCTGGGTGACTCTTGTAACATTATTCCACATTTGATCATTCATTTTTGACCTGCAAATGTGTGTTCAAACTCTTAAAGTAAAGTACCATGTGCTTATGGCCATACGGAGCAACCAATTTATTATGTACATTTTTCATTTTAACACAATTTTAATTAGGGTTATTGGCTGCATTTGAAGCAATAAGGTTTACGTCCAATCAAAGTAAGGATGTTAACAAATAAATCAGACAATGCAAAAGCAATTTATTTATATTCCCAAAGTTACGGTCTTGAAATAAAATCCTGAGTCCTCAATGTCCGAGACAAGACCGAGTACAAATGTGGTCGAGACCATCAAAGACTGGTCTCAAGCACTACAACACTAGTGAACAGTCTTCTAACTAGGAGGACAGCTCAGAATACACTTCTGGTTACAGAAAGTGAAAAGACAGAAATGTAAAAAATTGTCATAAAAGCCAAAGAGCAACTGATTATCTAACACATCAGCCAGATTCAAATAAAGTTATTTTGCATCCAATTAAAAAAAACAACATATATATATTTATAACATTCATTACAATAAATGCCTGGATTTTTGTAATGAAAAAAAGAACACAATGACCCCTTACTACAGACTGAGACTTACCAATTCAGTAATCTCAATTCTCATTAATATTCTCAGCTGTTCAATAAATAGTGGCCTCTGAGCTCCTCAGCTGTGCTCTACTGCATCCTACACTACTGATGTTATTGATATCCATGGTCTTGTCAGTGTTAATTAGATCTTCAAGGCTTCTTTTGACACAGTTTTATAAAGACATCTTTTGCTTCTAGCACTTTGAATGATCTGAAAAGGTTACGTTTTCTCCAGGAGGGAATTCTCTTGTTCAAGCTGTGGGAGTCAGACACTTCTAGAGCCGAATAAGCCGCTAAGCCTCAACAACCGGACACGCCGAATGTGTGCAGACAAACACACTGTATGGCAGAATACAATATGCATATGTCTTCGTTTCCTTGTTAGTTTTACCTTGTGTCGACTCTTTCTAAAGACCAGACATTTCCTATGTACCCATGTTATTATTGTGATATTAACAAAAAAAAAAAGAAAAAGAGAGGGATGAATTGTAGATTGACATTTACTTTTTAAAAAGTATTTGACTTTCTATCAACCTGCTAATGACTACATTGGGGCTTATCTAGCATATCTGATATCAAATGCAAACAGAGGTGTAGTGTGGGGGTAAATTACAATGAGAGCAGCTTGATGTGAGCATGACCTAAACTGGCACCTGGGGGGGAAGTGGGGAGAGTGTCAGTGTATACCGTCATGCTGATCGACTTGGCTTTTCCACTTTTTAAGCAAGTTGGCAAAACATAAAACTAAATAAACCAACTTTGGTAAAAAGTCTTGTTTGTATTGGCCTCGATGTTCTCTGTCTCTGTGCACTCCGAGTCCAGTTTCATAAGAGCGATTATTTGAGCAAATGAATGCTATTCAAATAATATGCCATTTGAACAGTCAGGGCTTATTCACTGTGAATTATTTGTGTTTTATAATCTCACACTAAGCACACATAAAATTACTGGAAAGCATCAAACTGGTCAGCTGTGAAAAATCCGATTTGTTCATTAGTGGGGGGGATGGGAGGGGGGATCAATATGCAGCTTCAACTGGAGATGCACCACTACCAACAAAACGACACCAAAAACAGATCATTCTATGAAATTCACCCGTAAATGTTACTTTCTGGGCACTGAAGTGCTGCACAAACATTTGTTTATAAATGTTACATGTTATTGTTCTGGCATAAACAAACACTCCTCTCTTATCCAGAAAGGAGCATCTTTAGAGGGCAAAACCTGTCAAATTAATCATTAGCTGGATAAACCGCACCGTTCTGTTTGACCTGAAAATCTTTTTGGGCTGATGGTGCGCATCGAGGAACTCGACCAAAAACATGCCCTTATCCTCTCTTTGCACTTCATGCACAACTACCAGTGCGTTCGAAATCCAAACTGATCATCATGAGCATACTTACTGACATTATACACTACACATACATTTACAGAATGACAAAATACTGACAACTCTGAGTGGTTAAAGGTCCAAATGGAAATATACAATAACTCTCATATTGACTTTGCAGTGCAACAGAGGAATTTATTTGACAGCAGTAGATATCTGTGTGTGTTTACTCTGAAAATACCTGACCTTGCAACTATTCTTGGACTATGGTTTTACAACCGATACGCTGAGCTCTTTATGTTTCTAGATCAGTTAGACAGCCTACAAAGTAATGGGCGATCGATACAGGTTTTTTAATGGCTAATACCAATATTTAGAGAACAGAGCTGCCAGTGGCCGATTTATTATGCAGATATCAAAACAAAAAAAGTAATGTATAATCCCATTATTATTATAGAATATACAATCTAATATACATGGTTAGCTTAGCTAGTAATGTGTTTTAGATGTAATTTTTTATTAAATTAATGAAATTAGGGCTGCAGCTAACGATGATTTTAGCATTCGAAGCTTCTACAGATTATTTCAACGATTCATCGATGCATCATTGAAGAAGTACTTGTGCTTGGCGGCACTTGGCGCCCCCCCGGTAACGGGATCAGCTGTGCATGTTTATAGGCGATTAGTCCTTTCGGAAATTGATAGTGTGTTATACAGCAAACATCAGACCAACAACCAGACAGCTGCTTTAAAAACAAACATCACCCAGTACAAGTTATACTAAAGGCTCGTGCAGACTACACGACTTTCAGCGTTGGCCGATGGACGTGCTGTTCACACAACTTGCCGTCTTGTGACGGAAGTCTTGAGGTCGTTGTGGCGTTCACGCTACGTGACTGATCGGTGACAGGGGGTCACACACACTACAGGAGCTGACAGCGGCTTTGTCACCCGACGCTGGTCACCAAACCACGTTTTGTCAAGAAAACACACATGCAAATGTGAAACATTTACATGAGCGATTCTGCACACGAAACAGCTGTTTGTTATTTTCAAGATGGCAATTATAAAAGACAAAGAATATGGGTGAAAGGATGGATTAGCACACGCAGGTAGCAGGGATTGTCTGAGCTACAGAGAGAGCTGCAGGGGAGTTAAAAGGTGCAGCTCCCCAACACCCAGTTAATTCTTGACTGAGGTTACAACTCACGGCCCAAAAAGGAGAACAACAATAACAATATTTTCAGCTGAGAACTGCGGATTACTTTGGCTGGCCTTCAACTCAACAATCAATCATGATTTCAGTTAAATGCTAAAGTTGCTGTTACTGTTATCTTGTCTGTGGTCCGCTGGCAGAACACCGGTTGCTTTCTGATCAGCTGCCGTCGTGCTGTTGCCGAGGCGACATAAGTTTCGTTTTACGGTGGACAGATGGTAACATTAAAGAGTTGTTGTTTTCTTTAGCTTGAAATAATCCCATACTTTGGACACTTTCTTCTTTGTCCCTTGCTATTTTCTCTCCTTCTTCCTTCACTTTGCAAACAGCTTCATTATAATCACGTCGTGTTCACAGCGTGAGGGCGATGTGCGACAGTAATAAATGTCCATGCGAAACACTGTGCTGTACAGTTATATGGATTAAAAGAAGCATCGATGCAAAGAATTTGCATTTTATTAAATCGATGACTTGTTTCAGCCTAAATTCAATAGAAACATAAATACATACAAATATACTCAGAAGTGACATCATTCAACTGCATTATTCTCTGCAGTATAACAATATATATTTAACGCTAACCAGAAAGGTTTTAGATCAGATTTGATGTCATTTAGGAGAAACATGTTAACATGTAGAAAAGACTATGGTGACTGAGGAAATTTTGGGCTCGAAACTAACTTTTTCACCGGCTTCCCAACAACAAGGTTGCATACAGATGTTTTTTTTGTTTGTTGACTGCAGACATCGGTCATTTCTGATTACGATAAAATGCCTGATATTGGCCTGATTAATCAGTCTGTTATTACTGGAAAGTATAAATCTTAGACTACTGTAATAAAAGTGAGAAAATTATGTTAATGTTTGGCAGTATGTGGCAGAAGGTTAAAACGTGTTGCAGGAACTTTGAGAATATTTGATCATTTTTGTTTATTTAGAAATGGTTTCAGCAACTTTCTCCTGAGGACTGAACTAAAGCAAGCGGGATAAGTCCAGCTACATGAGACTAGAATATGATCGTTCCATGATTTGTTTTGAGTTTTCATGCACAAATGACCAAGTCATTAAGTTATAATAAAAACATTTAAACAACAATAATGCAAAGCTGTAGAAATACCTGCCACAGAGGACTTTCCACCCCCCCAGGAGGAACCAGCCCAGGCCTCTCTGTCTCTGACTGACTCTGGCCCGGGGCAGCGTCTGGTAGTCGCTCTCATCATTCTCAAAGCCTTCCTCCGACATCATCAGAGGCATCTCGTCCAGGTTAGAGGGCTCATCTTCTGGGGAGTATCTGTGAGGACAGAGTACAGTAAAATATAAAGAAACTGAAAAATGGAATTACAATACATAGTGTTCAGCAGGATCCACTGTCTTGAAAGAGGAATGGTAACAATTACAGACACTGTTCCAGCCTTATAAATTATTATAAAAGTCACAATATTTGCTTGAGGTTAATCATGATAACACCACATCAAAAGAGATAGATATAAATTCAATAGTAATGATTTTCTATTAAAATGTAATGAAAATGAGAATTATACACTCTGCACTTCTGACAAAATACTCTACTCATAACGATAAATTCCTCTTTCAATCCACATGGATGCCAAATTATACATGATCTACATATTGTACAGGTGAAGAAAAGCCAAGATTAAAGCAACATTATGTAGTAATTTTATCTTAAAATAACAGCTTCAGACACATTTTGATGGACGACTGATATTGCACTATGTAGCATAAGGAATCCCGGGCAGCAAACCTATAGCGAGAACGGCGCAATGCTTTATGGCATTATATCATACAACAACAAGACTCTTCAGCAAGCAAGCTGTTAGAAAACAGCAAAAATTATATAATGTACAATGTAAGTTCTTTCAGTATGTTCAGTATGGACGTCATGGCTGCGAAGCGACTGAAGAAGACGTCGGAGGAAGCTAGGAAGAGGCAAGAGTAAATTTCGGACTGGCTTTTACTCATTGCGTGAGCTAAAACAGCTAAAAGAATGCAGGACAGGTCTCAGCAACGTTAACTAATGGCAGAGGTGAAGAGGCCAAAGAGGCTGTTGGTGGAAGAAGCTAAAAAAAAGAGAAAGAAAGTGACCAAGCAAAAGGCTACCGGACTTTGCCAAGAGGTTTGTGAAATGAAAAGGCTGAAAGATGTCTAACTGGCCTTCTGTCTGCTGGAGTGGTATAATGTTGCTGTGTCTTGTGTTGTTACCCTAGCTTGATGTTTGGCAATAAGTTGTCAACTTGCCAGTTTTTTTTATCATTAAGTAATGTATGACATTTACGACAGCGGTGAATCACACCACCACCAAATCATAAAAAACAACAACTCTTACACAATGTTGCTTTAACACTAGTTAGAGTAGTTGGCTCAGTTCCTCTATCACTGAGTACTGTAGAGTATGTCTCCTATTCACATTATAAAGAAACACTGGAGAAGCACGTAAATAATTCATGAGGCCCCTCTAAAGAATCATTAAAGTCTGTAGCCTTACGGAGAAAACCTCTATGTGCTCACAATGCTGGATAAGTCACCATAAATCCAGACTAGTTGCACACCGACAACACAGGGCAGGAATATACACATTAAATATAATATTGAATGAAAATCTTTTGTAATACACTGATATTTAAGTAATTAAGCAAAAGTCTACAGTCCTATATCGAAACTCAGATAAGGTGACAGATAGTCTGCTATAGTACGCAATGAGTATGAGTATAAAAAGGTACCAAAGAGTCTATCAGGTTTACGATAAGAAGAGATTTTCTCTTGGTAGCTATAAAGTCAAGACCATTTCCATTTCTACTGGCATATAGTAGTCTATGCTATTCTTAAACTGTGTAAAAAAGACCCACGACCATATTTATACCTGTAATATTTCTCCATGCACATCCACACTTCAGTCATTCCACACATGGTAAGCGGGGCCCCATACTAATTTTTTTCAATGTTTCATAACTACAAAAATAAATAAACTCAAGCATCATGCTGTTTGTGAAGAAATTAAATAAGCCAAAGCTGCTCTTTCAGTATGCTGTCAAACTACCTGCTGAATGTCCTGATGCAGATATTTCACACAGGTGAGACAGGTTAAAAACCAAGTGAGAATCCACCTCTTTTTATTAAATAGTTATTGTCAATTAATTATGCCGCAAACCCAAATCTGGTGTTAATGGGATGTGATGAAGCTGCCTACTTCACTACCATCAAAGTTGATCACACTGATTCAACACAATGAGACATTTTATGGACAAAAACATCAAAAGTCTTATCAGATACCTTCAGAACTAAGATACTGGTGCCACGTTACAAGCTAAACGTGTCAAGTCTGCTTCCTTTACCAGCAGCCACTTTTTGAATGAAACATCCACGCCACCATGCAGAAAAAAAAAAATATCATTGGCATCATTTCTTATAATATCACTTTTAGATTCTCACACCAGGACTGACAAGGTGCTAACTGCAGGTGTTGAGATTCGCAGAGTATTTGCTGATGAATGTTTTTATGTTTTCTGCACAAAGGGTGTACATTTGAAAAAGCCAGGGACTGATGATAAAAGATTTTAAATGTACAAAGAATTCTGTGATGATTTCTGCTGATTCACAACACAATAAATTAAGGAAAATTAACTGAAAAACCGGTGTACACAGGTCGAAGCCTCTGCACTGACTTGAATGAACATATTACTGCTGTGTGAATACAATGTTGCTCAGAGGTAAGCAGGGAGCTTTAACATCCAACACTTGAAAGTTGACTACAAAGCATCACTACATTCACAAGTGTGATTTTAAATTTAGTACAGTTTTTCATTTCAATCAATTGAAAAAGTGAAACAGAACTACTACATGTAAATGCACAGAATTGTGCATTTACATGTAGTAGTTCTGTTTCACCCAGTCTACACTTTGAACTTCATTTCCAGACAGCTAAAAAAGGAAAACATAATAAATACAGAACATATTTTTAGGTTGAGGCAGATGTTTTCAGCTAGGCTGCCCCACCCAAAAAAGAAAATCTCAATTTGGTAAACTCTGGAATAGAAGCAGCATGAATGGTCACTCTGTACATGAATAAGTTTCTTGACCTACAAAAAAACATGGACATGTAAACAAGCATAAAACTAGCATCAGCGGGATTATGAGCTTAAGATCAACCACCCTCACTAGTTCTCACTGATACGGCCCACCAGAGATGCTCATCATGCCAAAGCAAAACATGCAGACGGTGGTGAAGCCTGAGAGCTGAGAGCTCCTGCAACTTTACTTAAGGAACAAGAGAGATAATGATACTTTAAATAAGAGCACACTCAGTCCTAAAACAACTTGTTAGCTATCCTCACCACGTTAGCCAGCATGGACTGTTTCACACCCAAACTAAGGCAACAACAATCCCAGAAAGCATGTATTACTTAATCTGTAGTGCTACATTCAACACAGATCCCTAGCATAATATTTATACACTTTTATCTTATCTATGCCTTTGATAAGTTTGGTTCCAGACCTCTGAATATCTGTCCACATCTCCAATTCTATATATTAACACTAGAATAACCACAGATGATTCTTATTAACTGTAATATCTCCAGCACTCTCTCCCCGTCAATGTGATGCTTGGTCTCTCCAAGTCCTAATTTCAAGTGTTTATTCTAGATTCGGGTGAAAAACATTTTAACAAAAGTGTGATTTCCATGAGATTCTGTAAAATTACCGGCCAAATTATTGTCAAATTATTTTCTCGACTGTTGGCAGTTTTGTTTTAAACTTTGTATGTAGGTGAAAGATTCTGCATGATGTGGGGAAAACTGCAAATATTTACAGGGAATAAATCTACTTTTTTCATATCAAACTATGGCATAAAAAGTGGCAAATAAATAAAAACAAACAAACTAAGAAGGTTAAGAAGTCTTGTGGGTAAAATGTTTGCTGGTCAACGTAACCTAAGAGAGTAGCAGAGTTCAAGTGGGATAATGCTGTCACCGTATAAACCTTAAATTGTTCATTGCCAATCAGAAAGACAGTGAGCAGCAAGAAGAATAGATAATGGCTGATGGTAAGAGTAAAACTCTATACTCTCTCAAACAGAATAGTTTAACTGGACAGACCTCAAGACAAATGGAAGGTAAACTGTAAAGTCTGAAAAGCAAAAATATGCACTTTACTTAATATGGGAGGAGAAGCTCTTAAAAAGACAGGGACTGTAGACTAAAAGGATTACACAAATTGAATACTCAAAAAGTGGTGGTAGTGCAAACAGCAAATCAATTTGACGTGTTGGATTTAACCCCAAACCACTGTGCTTTAGACAATGTATGAATCATCAACAACCAGGAATTTTCATCACTGTTTCTGTGTTTCGTTTACATGTTTTTTGGACTTGCCAACAAGGCACATTTATAGCCACAGTGTTTCTCACTAGGTAACTCACACGTATGATTACATAATAATTCAACTCCAAATCCAGTGGAAACGTGGGCTGGTTTGTAAAAAGGTTTTCTGGCTCTGTGCACCACAGGCATCATTGCCAACAACTGCTTTCTGTGTTGGTGGAAAAGCTTTAACAAGTAACTGTCACATTTTTTAAATGCAGTTTTTATTATTAAGAGCAAAAGAAACAGAGGTGTTTCTCTTAAATCTAAAGTTTAAATGTAAGGTTGATAAACATCATCACAACTCAAGAAGAGCTGCTTATATGCAAAGCTAATTGTGGTAGATACATTTATGGTGGGCTGCCAATTAAATATATGCACAGACGTAAACAATCAATATCAACCTTTTACTTGGTCTAAAAGTACCTGGTCATGCGACTAGTTCACTTCCTGTCCATTCCTGACCCTGATGGGCTTTATTAGCTCATCATCGTCCAGTCTGAAAAATGAACAAGCTGGTGAATTATGTCTACATCATGCAACAACACTTTTATAGCATGTGACGAACCCAACACAGTTAAGCTATCATGTGACTGTAAGTTAGATGCCAGAGGGGACTGATCAGTGCAGTGATCAACATATATCTGTCACTAACGCACGCTAAGAGGTTGTCCAGTTTGTTGTAATGGACTAGTAAAAGGCAGATTAAACATTAGACGGATTTTTATCTTTATGGATGATGTCGTGAGCGAACCAAGCAGCTGTCAAATGAGAAAATGCGAAGCTGTCAGCAGCAGTGCTAGCATCGCAAGCTAACAACCCGACCCCCGCACACAGACGCGAGGCAGTGAAATGTAAACATTTTAGACAAACGGTTGTTTCTTCAGTACGCGACCAAAGAAAGAGCCCAGCTAGCCCCTACGTACCTTGAAAGTCTGGCTGAGCTGTAATACGGTCCTCTCTTCGAGTTCTTCCGCACCGGATTTAACGGGATGCTGTCAGCCATCTTGGCTGGGCAGTCCACAGCCTGACGTCACTCTAAAAAGCCTTTAGGATTTATGCTGCATTCGCGTACTGTGTAAAAATATCGTAACTATAAAAGAAGAAGTAACGTTAACTGGAACGCGAGGTTTACGGTTTCTTTCCGTCATTCTGTCGCTGTAACACAACGAAGCTCTGGGCGACGGTTCTCTAAAAATAAGCAATATAAACAAAGAATGTGTGTCATCTTACCAAAAGTAGTCCTGATTGAATGTAATAAAAAGGAGTGTGCGCTTCCCAGGAGACGCAAAAGGCAGCAATAGTGACCCGTTGCCGATCAGGGTCACTGTGAAGTGACGAGTAAAATGTATAGTTTGCACAGCACGGGGTGCTCAAGCATATTAAAATCGAATTAGAATAAACCGTGAACGACTTTAGAGCAGATATGTATTGATAAAGATCATGAAATGTAATTGAAAGCTCAGAAAAGCTTTTAAGTGAACCTTTGAGAGGAGTATTTAATGCCCCTTCCCTAAACACACCCCTTTTCAACAAGTCTAAAGCTGACTACTCTGTCTTACTTTCTTTATTTTTCATTTAAGAACCAGACAATATACCATATAAGTCATATATTTAATTGGTGTGTGTCTCCCAACATAATTTGCAACAGCCAAGGAAATATCCACTAATATGAAAAAACTTACACTTTCTGATGTGCTCTCTGTAAATGATGAGGTAGAATTACCTGTTTGTATATGCATCCACTCACAGCTGTGATATAAATCTGTTAACATCATAAACTCTGGAATGCAAAATGAAAACAGATTACACCAAAACAATGACAGCTTTAACAGCTTATTATTATTATCGTTATTGTTGTTGTCGTTGTTATTATTATGTTATGTTTCACCTTGAGAAGGGTTTTGCTGCAGGCCTACAACAAGAGCATTAAAGATAAAGATACAAAAACATGTTAACAAATGCATTTTGTATTAAACATTATACTGCAGTTGTTGCAGTAAAAATTATGCTTTCTTGCTTACATAATGCATAAGCTCAAGAGAGAGGTAACATCTGGAAAAGTAGTTACAGAGATTAAGCTAAATGAAATGAAAGAGACTGTTGAATTTTTTTGTAATTTCTGGGAAGTAGTGGGCGAAATAGCATCAAGACAAATAAGCTCTTTACAGTGGTTAAACAGAGAGAGGTAGTGAATTGAACATACAGACAGTTTGTTCTAGCTTTTATTCGGTCCAACTGTTGTTCAAAAATGACAATTTCTCATCATCACATTGACAATAGCTCACTGCAACTTGTAATTGTGGGTATTTATGAGCATATTTTGTGCTTTGCACCAGCTATCAGTTCTGGGCAGCTGTCCGGAGGAGATAGCGCACTCGTTGCATTATTGATTTGAACAGATGTTCCCTTCTTCAGAGCAGCCCTTCCTCAAAGCACCGTAGGCATTCTCAGGTACAAGTTAAACAACTTATTTAATAGAAAAAAACATTCACAAATGGCAGCAAAGCAAAATGTGAATACCCTACTATTCTCTGTCAATTGATAAAAAGTTTTTTTTTAAGTATATATACAATACATAATAACAAACAAGGTGTTTTACAAATATTTTAACGTCCATAATAGATTGCATAAGTATCAAGTCCCCATTCAGCTTTTTTTCAATTGATTCCAATTTCTTTGCTGTCATCTATCAGCATAGAAAAATGCCTATTATTTCCCAGGTCCATGCCTGTCTTGGTTCGACTTGTTATTGGACTTCCTGCAGTGCTCACTCGGTCCATGCCTGCAGTCAGAGGGTGAAGCTGAGAGATGCCTCTGTTCTGAATCACTGAGATCTCGTTGTTCTTTGTGGCCAGGCTGTTGGCGATAGCTGTCGCATAGCGGTTCCAAAATCCAGGGTCTACATTCATTGCTCGAGCTGCCAGGTCCTTCTGAAACATTTCCCCAAACTTCACGGCCTCTCCACCCAGAAGGGCCATGGGGTTTTCTACCGACAGCCGCCGGCCTCTCCTGGCTGGTGCATTGTTCCACATGTGAGTTCCCATATGAACCTGAAAATAACATTTAAGATATTAGATTTGGTGGATGCTTTGATTTCAAAAAGCAAACATGTTTAGCATGGACGGTCCCAAATACCAAACCCTCTATACTCTCTTAACGCATCCATTCTAAATACTACTATACTGACAGGCTTATTGAAAAAAAGAGAATATCAAAAAATTTCATACATATTTTTTGACTTGGAAAGAAATCCCATGTGCTTACAAGATCTTAAAATACCATAGCTCCACTAGCATAGGTTTTCAAATACTGATTTAGAGCTGAAACGATTAGTTGATTCATAGATTAGTAGCTCAACAGAAAATCAATCAACAACAATTTTTATAATCGGTTATTCGAGTTTTGGGCTTTTCAAATGTAAAGACTTTAAGCTTTTCTTTGTCTTGTATGATAGTACACTGAAATATATTGGTTTTGGCAGACTCATCGATAGGGAAAATAATTTTAATTTGCAGCCCTATAGGCCTACTGATTTTTTTGAGAATCAAGTGACATAACATGTTGCAGGCATGTTGTATACATGAAAAAAAGTCTTCAGGGTCTTCCTCAGATTTAAAAACATTTTTGGGGCGAAGAGAAAGGAACTAAAACAGCCATAATAGGACAGATGTGGTGGTAAAATATGGACAGGGCATTATAAATTCATGTTGAATCGTATGTGGATTTAGAACAGACTTTTGTTTCAAATTTACATACAAGTGTAAATGTATTCTTATAAGAATAAATAAGTTGTAATGTAAAAAGTGTACAAATTCTATAGAATTTGTACATTTTTGATTAAAGGGGAATGTTCTGCATTTACAACTGGCTGTACTTTCTCTTGTCCATCTGCATTTTTATGTTCCCCTACAATTACAGGTAGGTTATGTCAATGCCATTTACACTGCCATGCAATAAAATCCAGTCCCTGGAAGTATGGTTTTATCCATATACAACACAATAGACCCACTACACTTATGTACTGGAAACACACAAACAAAACTGTGGATGACCCTCCATAATCATATGACAATATGTAATATTTCACAAAAGGGACGTATTTTTCACAAAATATGTCAACAAAGCTATAAGCTTGAATGCAGACAGCACAACAGAAAAACAGCCATTCTCTACCTTCAGATTGCCTTTCGTGGTGAAAGCTCTGCCGCAGACGGAGCAGACGAACGGTTTCTCTCCGGTATGTGTGCGCTCATGGATCTGTAGGGCGCTGGCTGACGAGAAGTTCTTCCCACAGGCGTTGCAGTTGTGCTGCTTTGGGGTTCGACGAGGGGGAGCAGGGCCAAGCAAGGAGGTCACCGCTGGGCTGCTGACTGATGCATAAGTCGGAGGGATGTGGACGCTAAATGGTGGGTGCTGCCCTTCAGACAGGTTGTTTGGTTGACTGTGACCGTTCACCTCGGTTTTTATCATGCCTGATGATGTGCTGGTAACCAGGCTGGGAATGCTTTGACCTGCAGCTGAAATGAAAGTGCAGAGGTGAAGTTTTTCTCCCTTATAATGTAGTTTTATTTAAATGTTCTATAGATTATTCAGACATGAAAAATTTTAAAAATATTTGAACAACACATTGAACTTTAGTAGGCTCAATTTAATACAATATTGTAAATGTACCTCTTTCTCTGCTCAGTTGGAAAGACATACTGAAAGGAGTCTCCTCTTTCACACATAACTTGCTGGTGTGTATTCCCCTCAGCTCTTGGGCCACTGCGGCTGTTGATGCAGAGGTAGGAGACTCAGATTGCTCTCTCTTCACTGAGGCTGCCAAAGCCTCTTGGGATTCTGGCCTGTTGTTCACTGCAGGTGATTTGATCATCATGCCTTCTGAGTTACTTTGAATAGGAGACGCTGATAGACGAGGGGAACAGGAGGATTCGGACAGGTTTGGGCTGTTTGCGCTGCAGTTCTCCACCCTTGTCTCTGATAGGGAGCATTTAACATTGAGTTGGTTGCTGTCATTAAAACCATTTGTTAGGAATTTTATACCGAAGGAGTTTAGGCTTACAGTGGAGTCAATCATCCTCATTTGGTTCTCCAGAGCAGCTATACTTGAAACAATGGCGGAGGACTTAGGAGGGGAATTACAATCAGAGATCAAGGGTTTAGATGAATTTGCACCTTGCTCCATATTCTCTACCTCCTCTTCCTCATTGTCATCATCCATTGAAATATCATCAATGAGGTCATTGCTATTGCTGCTGAGGCTGTCAAAGTTCCTCTCGCTGACAGAGATATCGCTGTCTATCTCCTGCAGCCCGTCCACCAGAGTTGAGTCTGGAATCTGCCCGACCATGTGCATACGAATATGCTGCTGAAGGACAACAGCATTGTTGAACTTCTTTTGGCAAATAGGACATGAGTGTTGTACTTGAACAGGAGGATTTTCTCTGTGAACACCAATGTGAGCCTTTAGGTTGCCTTTGGTGGTGAAAGCTCTGCCACATACTTTACATTTAAAGGGCCTCTCCCCAGTGTGAATGCGGTAATGCATCTTTAGTGCACTCTGACAGCTGAGGACGCGGTGACAGAGGATGCACTGGTTGGGGTCTATGATCTTTTTGTCAATGTTCTCCACCAGCTGCTGAAGCTTTGAGGTTTCAGATGTTTGCATAGAGTCTAGGAGACCACCGGTTGGGAACTTAGTTTCATCTGAGTTGAGCGAGAGGGGCGGAGAGTTGGAGACGGGGGATGCTGAAGTGACAGGTTCAGGTGTGGTGGCCACAGATGGGATCATACTGCTTGCTGCTTCTGTTACTGGGTTGGCTCTCAGTCTCACGGAGCAGTTTTGGGGCAGGTGTACTCCCTCTGTTTTCAGTATATTGGATGCTTCTGTCTCACGATTAGACTGTGGAGACTCTGAAACAGGAGAGAAATGAGCCTCACTGCCTCTGTGGTTAGGTGACAAAGATACACATTCAAAGGGAGCTGGCTGGTAGGGAGATTTAA